TATAGTGGAAGGTCCTTGCCAGCTTGCTGTTTGGACTTGTTTTTTTGTGTGTACCAGATCTGAGGCTTGAACTCAGGGCCTGGGCACTCATTGTCCTTGAAGTTTCTCAGCCAAATCTAGTGCGCTACCACTTGAGCTACAGCTTCACTTCCAGCTTTTTGGTCGTTAACTGGAGATAAGCCATGGACGTTCCTGATGGGGTGGCTGGCTTCAAACTGTGATCCGCAGATCTGAATTTCCTGAGTACCTAGGATGGCAGACATGGACCACCAGTACTTGGCTATCAGTAAGGGTTTTTTTGTTGTTGTTGTTGTTGTTCTGTCTTTATATTAATTAATTGGTAACTCTCAAGCTTCATTATATTTTTATTTAAGTAGTTGTACAGAGAGGCTACCATTCAACATGTCAATTGGTAAGCATGAAGCATCTTGATCAATGTCACCCTTAGGGATCCTTTATACATCTCACAAGGTGATACACACACACACACACACACACACACACACACACACACACCCTTGGGTGGGTGACATATATACTTGGGTGACTTAAGCATTTCTCAAATTTGTGCCACAGAGAGAAGGATTTCAGCATCTGGATTTGGGAAGAAGGGACAAAATCACTCTCTAACAAGGACAAGGGCTACAAATCCAAGAAGCAAGCTAGCATTCTCTGTGGGACCAATCGTGTTCAGGGGAATCCAGGTCATTTTGGAGGTAGGAGTAAGAAAGGTATTTGTGGTGGCTAATATTTTGGGCTAACTTGATTGGACCATGGTTGTCTGTGAGGGGTTTCTGGTAGAGGGTAACAGACACTTTGTGTTGTTGGGTATACAGTTCCAAGGAAAACACCATGAAGGCAAAACCAGTGCATGTTCAGGATGCATAGAGTTCAATAGCACATTATTTCTGCTTTTCCCATAGCACTGCAAAACTTGCATTATAGACATGCTGCCCTTCACAAATCTCAAAATTTCATGGTGTCTTTTCCTTGGTTGGTGGGGGTACCATTTGCTTTGAAAAGGCACATTAGCCAGGTGTTGGTAGCTCACGTCTGTAATCCTAGCTATTCAGGAGGCTGAAGTATGAGGATCATAGTTCAAAGGCAGCTAGCTAGTGCAGGAAAGTCTGTGGGACACTTATCTCCAGTTAACCATCCAAAACTCAGAAATGGAGCGATGGCTCAAGGAGTAGAACACTAGCCTTATGGAAAAATTGTCAGGACCTGAGTTTAGCACCTGAATTCAATTCCCCAGAACTAGCACAAAAGAAAAAAAAAAGGAGAAAAGCATATTATCACAAAATTAAGGGCAGGGAAAAACTCAGCAGATCACATTATTTTTGCTTTGGGGTAGGGGGTGGTGGTACTGGGGCTTGAACTCGGGGCCTTGTGCTTTTGCTTGGCTTTTTCCACTCAAGGCCAGCACTGTACCACTTGAACCATGCTTTGAGTTCTAATCACATAGTTTACATTCCAGTGATGATAGCATGGGACTGGACTGATTGAGAGTTTCTTCATATTAACTGATATGAAGAAATTGATTAAATTGACATATCAATTCATATCAATATGCATACAGGGGAATTTAAGACTGGTTAGCTTTGATGTTGATTTTTAAAGAGTATCTGCTTTTCACCCATGCTCCATTAAAATCGTGTGTAACAGATCCATGGATTGTGTATGATAAATCCATATAAACCATGTGTAATACATCCAAGCTTATTATAAATTATTGGTTCTATTTCTCTCTCTCTCTCTCTCTCTCTCTCTCTCTTAACCTTTTTTTTTGGGGGGGGGTCGGTCATAAGGCTTGAACTCTGGGCTTGGTGCTGTCTCTGTGCTCTTCAGTTCAAGGCAAGCCCTCTACCACTTGAGCATAGTGCCACTTCCGGTTTTCTGGTGGTTAACTGGAGTCTCACAGACTTTTCTTCCTGGGCTGGCTTTGAACCGTAATCCTCAGATCTCAGCCTCAGCCTCCTGAGTAGCTAGGATTACAGGTGTGAGCCACTAGCGCCCGGCTTTTTTTTTCTCACTTTTAAAAAGTTTATTTAATAAGGAAAAAGTAAGGACCATTCAACAGAGGGACCAGAAAATGGGTTGTCCCAATGTGAGTCCCTGGATTGTAGCTTTATGTGGTCTCTGCCCTCTCTCCTTTCTCTCCTCCCTTCAGGAAATCTGGGAGATTATGATTGGTTTGTTGAAAACAGGCCAGACCTTCTCCTGGGTGGGTGGTCCAAGAAAGGTGGGTTTGGCCTAAGACTTGGCAGGAGCCAAGTTAGTGGCTTGTAGCAGGGTTGGCCTGGGTTATGGCAAGACCCATGACCCTCCTTGGGTGGCGACCACTGGTGGTGGAGGTAGTCAGCTGGCCAAACCAGTTCTCTGATGTCCTTCATTTGCTGCCTTTGTGTGTTCCCTGACTGCTGTGGGTACGTGGAGCTGGGGGGACTTGGTGGGGGGAGGGGAGAAAGGGAGGTTTGAGCTCTGTTCTGGCTTCTTCCTGCTGAGTGGGAGGAACAAAGGGGCCCCTGACAGCTGCCAGAGGAGACTTGGAGGAACCCAGGGGTGTCTCTCTCTTTTGAAGGCCTTAATTAATACAGCATTGAAGTCATTTTGCCCACTGACATCTATTTTCTTCTCAAACAGTCAAGATCTTCCACTGAGCATGAAGAAGGTTAGGATTTTTTTTTTTGTCAGAAGAACACAAATTACATATTTGCTGAAGTGGAGTTTTTTTACATAAAAGATTCTTTCTCTAGCATAAACGAATTCTTTTATTACTTGTGAGAATTATCTCTTCTGTAAGATTACATATGGAAGGTCTGTGTCTTCAAAGTGAGAAGAGGGTGGTTTCTTGTTGGAACTATTTGCTTGGATAGTATTCCAGATTTATCATTTTTCTAGCTGTAGGACCTTGGGAAAATTATTCAACCTGTTTGCCTTTGAGTATTTACCTTGTGGTGAAGACTATAGACATTCTCAGAGCACTTTGAAGGTAACTGGCTATACTGAAGAGATGGTGATGTGGTCCATCAGCATTAGCTTAGCCCCAGTCATGGGTCCACATTAAACAGACAGCAAGGACACACTGGCCATTGGCTACAGTGGCATTTCCAGATTCAAGGGATAATAAACTGGTCTGCGCTTGCTGTCCTTGTCTGCACAGTGACCCCTATCCTAGGCTGCTGCTCTCATCTCTTATTATCAAGAAAGTTGTCTTACAAGGATGAACCTGGACAGAGTCACATACTGAGAAATGGCACAACAAACGATTCCATTCATTCCAGGTCCTGCTCTATAACCACAAGTTTAACTATTTTGTTAAACTGACTCAGGGGAACATTTTGAACACCTGACAATTGAATCTACTGGCTTACTGGAAATAGTACCACACTATTCAAAAAGAAATGCCCTCATTACCTAACTTAACTATAACCCCTCTGTACTTCACCCTTATAATAAAAATTAAATGTATATTTTTTCTTTAATAAAAAGAAAATAGGGGCTGGGAAGGTGGCTCAGTGGTAGAGCACTTGCCTTGCATGCCTGAGGCTCTGGGTTCCATTCCTCAGCACCACATAAGCAAAAAGAAAAAAGCCGGAAGTGGCGCTGTGGCTCAAGTGGTAGAGCGCTAGCCTTGAGCTGAAGAGCTGAGGGACAGTGCCCAGGCCCAGAGTTCAGGCCGCACGACCAGACCCCAAAAAAAATTAAAAAAAAAAAAACTGAAACCAAGCCCAACACTCTAAGCACCACTGATTTTAGAGCTTTATTTTGTTCTGTGTCGTGTGTGTGTAGATAGGTAATTGGACTTGAACTCAAGGCCTTTATGCTCAAGACTGTCTCTCTACCACTTGAACCCCACTGGCTTTTTGTTGGAGATCAGAGTTTCACAGACTTTTTTTGCCTACACTGGTTTAGAATTGCGATCCTCAGATCTCAGCCTCCTGAGTAGCTAGGATTATGGGCATGAGCCACCAGTGGCTAACTTTCTGTCAGTTTTTGTTCTGTCTTTATAGTAACACATTCATTTAATTTCTAATTCTTGGACTGTAAAAGAGAAACAAAACTCCAGAGCTGAATGCTGTTCTGAGCAGCAGGTATTTTGAGACAGGCAAGGCCCTGAGGAAAACAGCCTCAAAGGTACTGTAAACCCTACACCCTGTTCTCATCTCCTTCAAATCCTCCAATTCCTATTTCTTATTAACTAGTGACTAAAAGTTCATCTCTTGTTGTGTATTGTGTCACAATAAAAATAAGTTGTTGTGGCCCAAGGCAGACTTTCTGTTTATCTGTGCTTCATAGAGTAGGCCTACAAGATATTCAGTTGCTAAATATAAAGCAATCTCTAAAAGCACTTTGTGAATTCTGCGGGTTTCAAATCTATCTCATTTCTTTAATAGCCTCTTATGCACCTCAGATTGCAGACGTGCAAGAAAGAACCAATTACTATTGCCACATTTAACACTTGTACATTTTATTTAGTTAAATCAGCCATTGTACAACATTGCAGCTATGTATTGTTAGTGTTGTATTTTGTTTCCATTAACTAATACATGCCCTCATAAATATATTCAATTAGTGTTATCACCATGGGAACAAGATGCTGATTCATCAACTGAAAAATCACTTCTTCTCACAGTATTCAAGTTTTTTTTTGTTTTTTTGATAACACAGCAAAAAAATCAAAAAAAAAATCAAAGGAAGGTGAATAACCATTATGTTGCTACAGACATCATCTGCACTGCAAATAACACAACAGAAATGCTTTTCTTGAGCTCCAGTGAAGGTTTTGACAGGAAGGCCGTGGTATGTCTCAAAATTTCACCATAGGTTTCTCTTATTTTGGCTGCCAATGATTGCTTTATTCCCTATCCAACTAGCATTTGAGGCTTAGGAGATTTGGTTTATGGGAATCCTCCCTCCCAGTAGAATTTCTCTCTTGGCAACATTACTTTCAATGATGAAGTGCCATTGTTTGTCGTGTCTCTTTTCTTTTTGTTTTGACATTCAGAGCAATGAGTCATTTTTGCACAACAGGAAAAGACCAGATAGAGTTGGAAAAAGTTCAGTTCCTGGAGGATAGATGCTTTTATTTTTGTTTTAATTCATTTTCATTGAATATAGTTTTCTTTAACAAATAACTGATTCAAAATGTATACTGTGTATATAATTGTGAATATATATATATATATAATGTCAAAATGTTACACAGCTCCAACCACTAGAGGAGTAAGAAACAGAATGTGAAAATCATTCAGATGGTTCTTCTCCCTTCTTGGAAACAAAGAAAAATGAAAAAGAAAAAGAAAAGTGCACAGATTCACTTCAGAGTTTCCCCAGGGGAAATTTGGATTTCAAATAAATAAACCCCAAATTTTAACCCACACCAAATTTGCCAAGGACTTCTCACTCTTTTCTGTAAGCTGAAAAACAGACCTAGCTAGAAAGTGAAGAGTGCTCACTCAAGGGTGGAAAGGATGAAAACCATGAGTGTAATTAGAAGAGGGGTTTTGAGTGTGATTTTGACTTTTTTTTTCAAATGCCACATGCAGATAGTCAAGAGGATATAAACACAAAAAGAAAAGAGAAAAAGGAAAATCACTGCAATATGGTGAGGGGAATTTAATCTTGTAGTGTCCTGGGCAAAATCTTATCTTCAATGGATTATCTACAGTGCAGCGGCCAGAAGGAAGGACCACCAGTAAGACAGTGTGGTTTGCAAAAAGCAACAATGAAAACTGGAAAACTACAGTAGTTATAGCTTTTAAAATACCCTGCCAACGTGTCCAAAAATCTCAAAGACCTGAAGACGCTAGAATGTCGCCGGACGTTGCTTCTAGCAACTGAATACCTCATTGCTTTGACCTGTTTTGCCTTCCGCTCCTTTGCCCGCACCCTCAAGAGCCTAATGGAGTCATAAATTATTGCTGGTCAGCACCAGCTGTCACTTCTTAGTTAGGACAGTGTTTTTTTTTTTTCAATATTATTAACCCACGTTTTATTAGGAGCAATGGTTACTCTGGAAGTGGTAGGACATGGTAGGTAGGTCTGAAGTGCTTCTTTTGCAATATTAACATTCGATTGTGTTAGCAATATCTTCATTAACCGTTATTCAGCCATTTCTAGAGGCCTTTGATGCCATGATGCCCAGTGACGTTATGCTAGGCAGTGGCTTTGATTTTAATATGTGGTTGATCTGAGCATCTCAGCTATATACATTATATATGGATACATCCCTCCGAAGGAGTCCTCTATCTGTTACTGGAAGAGATCTGCAGGTGAAGTCTTCTGATCAATGAATTTCCATGGAGCTGGTTGCAGAAGCAAAGCACAACAGAGGCGGCCAGTTCCCTGGATAGCACAGACACACAAGGTAGTGAGTGGATAGAGCATCCAGAATGAAGGATGCTATCTTTGGTCACAAATTAGCTTTATAGTTAAGGAAGATGTGGAAGAAGGGGGGGTGGGAATCAAAGGGCTCTATATCTGCTAACAGTGGCAATGTCAGGGGAATCCCATTGATTAGGCCAGTTAGGTCATTCTTCTAAGGAAGTGGAAAGTTGCATATTGAGTGAATGTGTGGTTTCTGGTGTGAGAACTGGGCAGTCCTTCATTGGGCCTCTTGCTTTGAGTCCTCCTTGCAGAAATGCCGAAGGAGTTGCTGGAGATCGCGCTGGAGGTCATCCTGCTCCAGTGCCTCTGCTACGTCCTCCAGCTGCTCCAGGTCAATGCGTGTCCCACGCTGGTCCTTCACCACAGCCCTCTTCTGTGTACTCGCCTTACTCATTGTTGTCCTAGAAGAGAGAAGAGATGTTTGTACTCTTCATTGGGAAAAGGCAGCTGGTAGGTCTGAGGGTAAACTGATATTAAAGTGGTTCTTGACTTCATTCTAGGTAATTCCATACCAAATGACTAGTATAACTACACCTGCCTTTTTTGTGTGTGCCAGTCCTGGGGACTTAAACTCGGGGCCTAGTTGCCATCCCTGAGCGTTTGTGCTCAGAGCTAGCACTGGATCACTTGAGCCACCGCTCCACTTCTGGCTTTTTGGTAGACAATTGGAGATAAGAGTCTTATGGACTTTCCTGGTTGGACTGGCTTCAAACTGTGATCTTCACGAATCCTCCTGAGTAGCTTTATAAGTGTGAGCCCCCTGTCTCCAGCTTCATCTATTTCTTTTAAACATGATTCCCATATCCAGAAACTTTACTCATGAGTTTTTAAAAAGTTTTTTATTTGGAAGACAATGTATTTTTTAATCTTTAGGAAGTAATTGAAACCATTCTTGAATAGGATAGTCTCAAAAAGAAACCATGTCATCAGTTGTGTTTTGGTTAAGTGGCAATGATCTAAAAAAGCCTTGTCCATCCTTAAAAAATGATTCCACTTTTTTGACAGGCTAAGAAAATCCTTTGAAATTTAACGTGTGCAAAACACTTTAGCTAACTGTTTCATTCTTAAAATCATTTTGCCATCCCATTTCCCCAAATTATTCTTGAATAGAATATTGCCATGAGTCACAGATCTTTAAAAACAGAATGATTATTTGCTCAATATACAAGAAAAGCAACTATTCTCATAAGAGGCCTACAAGGCTTCCTGTGGAGTTGAGGAAGGAGAAAGAGAGAGAGAGAAAGCGTCCTCTGCAAGGAAAATGTTACTTCTGTATTTTCAGAACCATAGTATTTTGCTCCTTTAGTATATCCTACTATACTTCATCATCAATCTGACATATTCCTGCTATTCATTGGACTAATGATTACTTAAGAGGCAAGCCCAGTGGCTCACAACTATAATCCAGCTGATCAGGAGACTTGAGATCTGAGGATCATAGTTCATAAGACTCATCTTCAATTAACCAAAAAAGACACAAGTGGAAACATGGCTCAAATGGGTAAAGTGCTACTCCTGAGTGAAAAAGCTAAAGGACAGTACTCAGACACTGAATTCAAGCCCCAGTGCTGGCTCAACAACAACAAAAATATATGTAAGAGGCTATCACTCATCATTACATTTCATACAATTATTGCATCATGATGCAATAATTTCATTCTCTGTTCTTCTTACTGCCTACTTGGAAGTATTGGATGAATGTTATCTATATCATTATAACAAACACAGAAACTCAATCTTTGAGAATTAAAGCAACGTCTCCCATTTGAAACATTAGCATGTCCTGGTTCCAAAAGTCCAGCGTCCCAGAGCCTGAATCCTCAATGACAAAACCCTACATCTACACTCAAACCAGTAAAGGGAAGGACCAGTATTGGCTCTTTGAGCCAGCATTATCTCTATGGATTCCAAGTGTTCAGAGGTGAGAAGCTCTGCGTACCACCCAATACCTCTACACATTCATTAAGCTCATCCCGAGTTATGAAAATGACTTACTTCAGACAAAATACTTTCAACTTTCTTTTAAACATCCCTTCCCGCCCCCCCCTCTTCTCTCACATTCTCTTACTCTCCCCTCGGATACTGCATGGATTATTTTGCATTTGAAGATAGACTTAATTTTGTTCTTCTCGATTAAAAAAAAAGTTAAACTTGATTGCAATGGTTGAAGTCAGATTATGTTTTTCTAACTATTGAATAGCTTAACTTTATTTCCTCCCCCCACAAAAAAAAAAAAAAAAGGATAAAGATCTGACAGAAAGTAGGCTTCACTGCGTTAGTGTCACAAGCTTGACCTCAATCTCCGGATATTTTCCTACATTTTCTGCAAGTGTATGCAGATGAGCATACTCATGAATATGATATATGCATATGGTCAAAACACCTTCAGTAGGTTGAGTGACTAACTGTGGGAATCAAATAGACTAAATCCATAGCTTCAAATTCAACTGCTACAATGGAGCACCTCACAGATCCTCTGACTCTAGGGCACACAGCGGTTGCATAATTTCATCAGAACAACTGAATAAAAGACTTCAACGTGAGATGAAGCATTTTTCTCCTTAATTCATGAGTGTTTTAAGGTTCTAAGAGAACAATTGTACCCTTTCAAATTCCTAGCTGCTACTGCTTTTCACATTTGATTGGAGGGTGGGATGGTGACAGAACCTTTAATTTTGCTGTTCTAATTATTATGTTCTGAGAGCTTAAAATAGCTGGTAGAGTACTATACATGATCATCTTTTCTTTTCAATGAAATGAAAGGCACAATAGTAACTTGGATTCCCATTGTGTCTCCACCCCACCCTCCACCCCCCACCCGAAAGAAGCTGAGAACATTCTGTTAATCTTGATAGCACTCATAGTGCAGCTACAAGACCACCTGAAGGGTGCTCAAGCTCATGTATCAAATCCATGGCAGTTCACTGCATCGCACTGCTAGTGGTCTTCTTATTTTTCTTCTTTACCTTATGTGAAGGTACTTGTACAAAGGGATTTCTAGTCAACCAATCAGTTTGTAAATACAATGCATCTTGATCCATGCCACCCCTTCCATCATGCTCCTCCCTCTTTCCCAATGCCACCCAGCCAGTACCCTTCTATCTGCAGAGAAAGTACCATGTAGTACCACCTCCCACACTTTTTTTGCTTCCTAAATCCCCCAGTTCAGCATCACTAGATACACTCCCATTTCTGGGCATCCAAGTCATGCTTACATTTACTTGTCACTTGCATGCAGAGTCGTGAAACATCATGTTAAAAGCATGGTGTACCCATAAGTAATGACTGGCTGTGACTGAGCTGAATGTAGCTTGTCCCCAAATTGAGTTGTGAGCAATTGATTAGATAAAGCATCTCTCCTTGTGCTCTTTAACTCTATCAGTCACCAGTGCCTTGACTTTAACTACATTAGTGACACTATAGAGAGGTAAATAAGCCCCAGGGAGTCTGGCTGTGTAAAGTTATGCCTCACAATCACTGTGCCTCTGGGTTAAATTCAGGGGGGAGAGGATGGGTGTAGGAGGTGGGGGAAGGAAGGGATAGTGGGGGAACAACAAGGGAGGGGTAACAATGCTCGACAAGAAATGTACTCATTGCCTGACTCATGTACAGCATGCCTGGCTCATGTACAGCATCTTTACAATAAAGTAAAATTTAAAAAAATGAAGTATCAGGAGATGCTCTAGGTGCAGTACAACAACATATCTGAGCAAAGACCTAAAATATAGAAGAGTTAGCCATTCCTGAGGGTTTCCAGGGGATTTGCCATGGTTCTATCCTTCTTAAAACTGGAAATGTGTTTCATAGTGTTAGTTGGCAAAGCATCACACCATGCTAACCCAAACCTTTTAATTATTGATCCATCCTCTTTTAGGATCTCATTCTCTACTAAACTGGGAAAGTGAACCTTCAGGTGGCTACCTGTGTAACTCAAAGCCTGGGGTGGGAAAGAAGGAAAACAAGGTATCACTTATCATAGACCAATTTTCAATCTATCCGCTGCTTTGCAAATCCACAGTCGGTATGAAAGAAGATATCTGAATAGGTATAAAAGTAGTTCCCAGGAGTTGATCTGTGAATTGAGTTTTATTTAACAAGTCCTTGAAAATTCTTCCCATTCTATGAAGGATTTCTTTACATTATGTTACAAAAATCTGCTAACTAACATCCATAATGCCTGACTGAATTTCTTTCTTGCCTGACTCCTTTCTTCCTCCTGGGCAGAGCTGAATAATAAATACAATTACCACAGGCAAAATCATAGAAATGAAGTCCAGTGTGTAAAAACTCAGAAAACTTAGCCACTGAACATTCAAGATTACCAGTTGTCAAATGTGAAGACCTGGAAATATCTAGCGATGATTTGCCTGTAATGTCCAAATACATTTACATACATTTTAAATACGTTTTGCAGACATAGATAATTTTAAACACTCCTGGGAAACAAAGCCAGGGCCTTGTTAATGCTTAACAAGCATTACAAGAGATACAGATGCAGCCCTGGTCTGCGACTAGAAGAGAATACATCTCTGCATGTAACTTCAAAATGGTTCAATAACAAAAATATCTTTTGTAATTATTTGCATGTGTTTTGGGACCATATGTATTTCAGAATTTAGATTGCTAATAGATATCATGATGAATCCATTGTGCATTACAAATATACCAGAAAGATACAACATCCTGTAATCAAACTCCATTTATACTCACACAAAATCTATAAATCTTCACTTGATGTATTATAAAAAGGCTCCATATAGTTTTATGCTAGATCATGTCAGGTGTTAGGTGAGGCTTATCGAGGAGGTCATGCCAAGTCTTACTAGTTTGTGCTTAACTTAGAAAATTCATTTTGATCTTTGGAATATTCAAACTTGGAACTCAGAATAAGAGTCTATAGAGTTACCACTGAAAACCCATTTTCTAATTGCTGAGAACCAGCAATGGTTATTCTTTTTCATGAACAGATATCAATAATTTTATCTAAATTTCTTTAGTGCCTATCATTGTTAATATTGAGAATATTAGCAAGCCAAGTTAATTTGTAGTACCTTTGCTTCTTTTCCTTATAAACTGGGATAATAGGGCATTGCTGTTGTTCTTATGTAAGGTACACTTTACTTCTGACGTTCTGATTTTGGCTTAGTCCAAGTGAATCTGAATAGTTTTGGATTTTTCAAAGCTCATAGGCTGGCTAGGATGAAGGCTACAGGTTGAGCAAACATTCCTTCTCCATATGCATTATTCAAACAGGAAATAAAGTCTCTTGAATTGGTCTAGAGCCTTCTATGAAGTCACGTATGAGATGATACAATGGCGATGTCCACTTTAAACACAATGCAAACATAAAGCACATGTACAAAGCAAATAAAACAAGGTAGAATGCTTCTATACCTCTTCAAAGTCATCTTTGGCTGAAGGAAGATCAGTGGCTAGCCTAGAATCCCCCAGATGCTTTTCCATCCTCTCTCCACGTACCATAGTTGTCTTAACAACTTTGCTGACTCTACGGCCTTCTACTGGTTCAGCCTGAAATTGTGAGGTGCTGGACAAAATGCTGGGTTCAGATAAAGTTACCTGATGGACACACAATACACAATTTCTGATGAACACAATATGACAAATAATGAAACTAATAATGTTGAAGGAAAACAACACATGATGACTGGAGTATAATCTGCTGGACTTCTAGCAAACATTATTTTGGAAATAAGAATCATAATTGGCTGGGGATATGTGTTTAATGATTGTTTCCATTGGACCTACTCAACCAGTTAATCAGCCACTTGGATAGAAATGCATGGGTCCATTTTATTTTGTTGTTGTTGTTTGTATGTTTTTGTTTTATACTGAGGCTTGAACACAGGGCCTCATGCTTTCCCTCAGCTTTTTCTACTCAAGGCTAACATTCTACCACTTGAGTAAGCTCCATTCTTGTTTTTTTGCTGGTTAACTGGAGATAAGAGTCTATGGATTTTCCTATCTGGAATGGCTTTGAACTGTCATCCTCAGTTCTTAGCCTCCTGAGTAGCTAGGATTACAGGTGTGAGCCACTGGCACTGGGCTCAGGATGTGAAAATCACACATTAATCTAGAGTGGCCTTTGGAAGACAGGGGTAACAATCAGGCCAGAGCACCTCAAGACTTCATATCTTCATAGCTTACTTGCCAGAAAATAGAATTTCATTCTTTATTTTGTTGTTGGTTATTTTTTTTGTTGGTCTTTTTTTTGTGGTTATTGTTGAACTTAGGGCCTGAGCACTGTCCCTGAGCTTTTTTTTTTTTTTTTTTTGGTCAGTCATGTGGCCTGAATTCTGGGCCTGGGCACTGTTCCTCAGCTCTTGAGCTCAAGGCTAGTGCTCTACCATTTCAGCCATAGTGCCACTTCCAGCATTTTCTGCTTATGTGGTGCTGAGGAATTGAACCCAGGGACTCATGCATGCAAGGCAAGCACTCTACCACTGAGCCACCTTCTCAGCCCCCCCTGAGCTTTTTATGATCAAGGCCACAGCACCACTTCCAGCTTGGTCTGTGGTTAATTGGAGATAAGAGTCTCATAGCCTTTCCTGATGACTTCAAACTGCAATCCTCAGATCTCAGCCACCTGAGTAGCTAGGAGTACAGGGATGAGCCTAGCAGAATTTCATTCTTTGACTTTGGGATTTCTGCCATCGTTAACTATGAGTTAAATAGAAATAAAAATGACAAAACAAGGACAATGAGAATAATGGTAACAAAGCTCCTAAGAGGTTATTTGAAAATTATACAAAGTCATGAAACAGGAAAAAATGGAGTATGTAAAGACAGCAGATTTTCATAGAAAGACCAACAGGAACATAGAATCTCCTTCATCTCCCTTGAACTCCAATTTGTTCTCTAGGCAAATAGGACTTGGACAACTGGTTGACCTCACCTCTGACTGTTCAGTGTCACTCTTCAACACCACACGTTTTATAACTTTGGAATAGCCATCCCCATCCTCGATGCTGATAGGTTCCTGGGGCATCCCTTGCATGGTAATCTCTTCTTTCTCTGTGCCATCAGAGGCTACATACCGTCTAATGATTTTCCTAGTAACCTGAAATACAGTTCATGGATGTGTCTTGTTTCTGGGTTGCACCACTGGAGTGATTAAAAAAATATTAAACAGAAAGTGTGAAATTAGCCATGTAAGAAAACACAAGCCAGTACCTTCTTCACGACGGTGTGTCCATGTTCGTCAATATACTCTTCTTCTGTGACGGTTTCTGGGGGTATGTCAGGCATATCATCGCCCTAAGTAGTTGAAACAAGAGGTTTACTTTACTCTTTGCACTGTTCCTGAGGAACCCTGTCCAAGTGCTTATAATGGGAGGAATGTTAGAAAACCAAAGGTGAGGCTGAAAAGCATTCCTGAGATGCAAAATTCCTATCTGATTATTTAAAAAAAGAAGAAGAAGAAGAAGCAGGTGAGTAATAACATGCATAGGAGGTTGTAATCAAAGTTAGGTAAACAAAGGAACAAATAACACAAGATAAATAGATTAGCAAGAACTGAAGAATGTAATCTTCCTGCTGTCTGCTTTCTTGGAGGTGGGCTGCAGATGTGGCTGCCATTGCATTTCTTTATCAACAAAAAGGGGAAAGTGAAGGGCTGCTTTCCAGTGGTCATGCATTACTGAAGGAACATGCCAAGCTTCTATTGCTCCAGGTGCATCACTCTGTAAGGGTACATGGACAGAACTGCCCCAGACGTGCAGCATGGTCAATAGCTAGTACCTGAATAATAACTCTTCGGCGGACAACCCTGGTAGTTACCATCGCCTCCTCATCAGAGCTGACCTCCAGCTCCCCTAATTCCTCCATTATCTCCTGGTGGAAGCACGGAAGCACCCAGTTGTTTTACTTTTTGAAATTAACTTTTTCTATGTAGTTTACATTGAACACATGATCTTCCTACCACAGCCTCCCGGATATGGAGTTACAGGAATACACCACTGTGCCCAGCTATCTCGTTGAATTTCACATGCTAAGAAATGACTTCTCTGCTGCATTCTGCTTTAACTCACACTGTGTTCTGAAAGTTTTATTCATGGTGGAATATTTTGGTGGAAAAATCAGATGTGTGGTATGGTCTCAAGCATCAACAAGTATATGTAGTTTTTTAGTTCATGGAATGGGGAAAAATACCCATGATTCTGAGAGTTGTCGGAGAAATCATCTGTCAAAATCTGTCTAAAGAAGTATCTTTCCCACCTAACTTATACTATGGAAAACTCCTAATGAATAGCTGAAAGAAATGTTTCCAAACCTTGTGGGCAGCATAGTGCAGCGTTGTAAGCCATAAGGTTCTTGTTTAGACTTGAAATTATTAACTCACACCTGTAGGCATGGCTCATGCTTGCCCTAGAACTTTCCACAGGAAGTCATCATTTCCCATAGCTACTATCTAGTTGTTAGCACATTTCCCTGGCATTGACAAGGTCAGGATATGAATAATATTAGGTTTGTTTGGAGAAGTTACAAATCAGACTAAATGGGTTTGACCTAAAGTCAAAGATGAGACTAAGAACATAATTTAAGATTAAAGCTATGTCTTACAAATTACTCTTTCCTGAGGAATAGCTTTGTTTCCTTCCTTTTCCATCCTTTCTTCCCTTTTCTTCTCCCTTCTTGTCATTTTTCTCACTCACCTGTCTGACAGTTTACTACGTAGCTAAAGCTGGCTCTAACTCTCAATCTCACTGCCTCAACCTCTTGAGAGCTCTGGGACTACAGGCATGTCATATCTATCTTGGATTTTTAATTTTTGTAAAAGGAAAAAAAATCTCAATTTGCTTAACATATCTAAAAATATCCTAGCTAGAAGTTGGGCACCAATGGTTTACACTTGTAATCTTAGCTGTTTAGGAAACTGAGATCTGAGGGTCATGATTCTAAGCCAGCCCGGGCAGGAAAGTTTGTGAGACTCTTACCTCCAATTAAATACCAAGAAGCTGGAAGTAGAGTTGTGGCTCAAATGGTAGAGTGCTAGCCTTGAGCAAGAAAGCTCAGGGATGGCACTCAGGCCCTGTATTCAAGCCCAGGACTGGTACAAAAATCCTAGTTAGAATTCTCTGCTAAAGAAAAACATACAAATTCTAAACAAAATTGTAATTTAATACGGCCAACAAGATTAGTAACTAAAATTGGAAGTTCAGTTTTCATATTATGAACATGAGAACTTAAGGGTCAACACATAAGTGATCAGATATAAGTGGAAACCCATCAAGAATGCATGGGACAGGCCTGGATAAGGCATGTAGAATGCAGAAGGACTTAGCAACCCGTATATGCATAGAATAGATTGAACAAAAAATTCACCAATAATTTTTTGAAGTCTACACATCACTTGGCCAACCACTTGGTTCTCAGGCCAAGATTGATAACTTTTAACCCCAAAACATGAAGGAGACATTTTACTAAAATTCACAGGAGCCAAGAATTTGAGATGAATAATTCTGTACAGAAACAAATATAGGTTAGAAAGCAATTCATGTGGTGATTTCATTTTTTACCTTTGCTGCCAAAACCAAGACACGTGCATGTACACACACACATGCACACACACACACACACACACACACACACACACACACACACACACACACACACACACACACACAGACTTCTCCTGTGCCTGAAGCTTTCTTCATTTCAGCTGTGCTTCTAATAAATCCTGGAATCAGATAATATTACCCTCCTTGTGAATAAAAACCAGTGCTTTTTAATTGTATGCCACTTTTCCCTCAAAAGATTCCAATTCTGTTCTAAGGAACTCTTCTAAGGAACTGAGGTATATCAACTAATCTCCAGATACGGAACCCACAGAGACCACATTTTATGAATAAATGAGTTGACTGTCTCTCCTAAGAGGATCTGTGTCTCTCTTTTTGCAACTTTAAAACTCAGGGACATGGTGAGAAAATCTTGTGTTGCTCTGAGGCATTTTTGCACTTAAAAACAATGAGTCTACATATCGTTTTTTCTTCCTAGGCTATTTCTAAAATAAACCTAAGGAAATCTAACTTGGAAATGATCCTTCCTCAATTGAGGAAAGTTTGTCTAAGACATTGCACAGTCCTACTTTGAGTAGATTTGTCACCAGATGGTACAAACAGATCTCAGGACTGATGGCAACAGCATGTCTGTCCCAGAAGTTCTACCTAAGACTCTCACAAATCTCTGACTATTCTTTCACTTCAGTATTTACTTTGTTGTTAGTGGTGATGATTGTGGAGTTTGAAAAAAGGGTCTGGGTGCTGTGCCTGTGTTCTTTTTGCTCAAGGCTAGCTAATACTCTACCACTTTGAACCATAGCTCCACTACTGGTTTTGGAGTGGTTAATTGGGGATAAGAATCTCACAGCGACTGGAGATCTCATAGGAATCTGCCTGGGCTTGCTTCAAATCATGATCTTCAGATCTCAGCCTACTGAGTAACCAGGATTACAGGCATGAGCCACCAGTGTCGAGCTACAGTGTTCATTCTGACTAGCAAAAGTGTTTCCAATGATCCACTAGAGTTTATGATCCCATAGCTTCCTGGTTTAGATAGAACCATTGGCTTTCTGATTCTGAAAAGGACGAAGGTTTTCCCATGACCTAGTTTAATAGAAATTAATTTAACATTTATTTTGTTTTGTTTGAATTCCAAAAAAAAATCATCAGAGAAACAGAAACTAAAAAGTATGTATACTTTGTTAGAGGGGGCCAGCAAACAAGAGCATCTTACCTTTTCAAAAGCTGCATCTGTATCCTGCCTTGCCAAGGCCTGTGGGTGGTCCTCAGCTGACTCTTCTATCACCAGGCTGGTTTTCGGTGGAGAACTCTCCTCCTTGGGCTTAGGGGACTCTTCCGGTTCTTGCACAATGGGAGAGCAGCTTGGCTCACTGGATGTTGGTGTGTGGAGGTACATTCTCTCCTCCTCATGTGGGGTACTCCTGATCTCTTCAGGAGTCTTGCTGGGAGAGGCAGGTACTGTTGTGGCCTTTTGAGTCTTTGGCCCTTCTGCTCCTGGAGTAGTTACACTGGAAGGGAAAAGCCAAATTATACCCCAGCAGCATTTGTACTTTTCCTACCCAAGCAAGGAACTTGGAAGGGAAGATGAAACTGGTCTTCACAGTCCATGATAGCTAAGACTGGTTATGTAAGTTTGGTCAAGAAAGAAATCTGAAGAAAGATAATATTGTAAGATAGAGTACAGTTACAGCTTCATTTACTGGTATGATGAAATCCCATATTCTTAGATATAAATTATGTTGAAATGCATTATTGTTTTATAACCTTTATCAAGTACGTAAGCTATAAATTCATCTTTCTATTTTTTTCCTTTTGGATTTTATTTTTCTTTTGTGCCAGACTTTTCTACCTAAGACTGGTGCTATAACACTTAATCCACATCTTCACTTATGGCCTTTTTCTGGCAGCTTAACTGGAGATAAGAGTCTTACTGATGTTTCTGCCCAGGCTGGCTTGGAACCACAATCCACAGATCTCAACCTCCTGAGTAGCTAGGATTACAAGCAGAAGCCACTGGTTACCAATTCATATTCTCAAATTTTAAACTAGAAATATTTTTGCTCCTTTTTATCGTTAGTGTAATTTTCTATCATGCTATTGATATTCAATAATAAAAGGCTTTTTGGTGTTCCTTCCTCTTCCTCCAGTTTTTTCCTTTGTCCTTCTCTCTTTCTTGCCCAACCATTCAGCTTTCCCCTGCTTCTGCAGGTAGATGAGAGGAGGGACTTGAGGGAAAAAAGCTTGATGTTGTGTCATTTCTTTGAGCTCATTTCTTTGTCCCTCTACCCATGATTCGGTGACCAGAAAACAATACTCCCTTCATGACAAAGGAAGGACTATGATGCCATCATCTCATGATAGTGTACTTGCCTCTCTGATATGTTTTCTCTGCCTGGAGAACCATTCTCAATGAATTAACTCTTTCTTTTGTACCTACAAAATTCAGAGTTTGAGTTCTGAACTACATTGCTCTGTAACTTCCTTTAGCCAGACAATATCTCAAAAATTCCTCTTTACAATTTATTATTTACTCTAACCTTATTCTACCTCATTTTAGTGGTGTTTAATGTTGGGCAAATAATTTGTGTTGTATTTCTGTTTCTATATTTAGTTACTTTGTACAGTTGCTGAAATACTTTGTGGGTTGTCAAATGTACAGTGCCTCTATTCATCCCCTAAACCAGTCATGGTCCAATGGACCATGCTACCATTTTAGAAGCATTACCAATGTAGCAATCATTGTAAATAACAACTGTATTGAGAGTAAAGAAGGTACCGCAATGCTATAAGTAACAACTGTGTTGTCTAGATGATACTTTTTTTTTTTTTGGTCGGTCATGGGGCTTGAACTGTGGGCCTGGGTGCTTTCCCTCAGCTCTTCAGCTCAAGGCAAGTGCTCCACCACTTGAGCTACTGGGCCACTTCTGGTTTTCTGGTAGTTTATTGGAGATAAGAGTCTGCCGGGGCTAGCTTTGAACCATGATCCTTAGATCTCAGCCTCCTGAGTAGCTAGGTTTACAGGCATGAGCCATCGGTGCCCAGCTAGATGATGTTTTTACATGGCAAACAACGAAGTTACAGAAATGAAGAATGGAGTATGCATGTCATTATCATAGCTTATAGATATATAAGTAAAAACTCAAGGCACTTGAGACTGTGAAAAAAATCACAGATCTAGAAGTGAATCCAAGTAGGTCTCTATCATCTCTAATACGCAACACAATGATATGTCCTCAGTGTTTCAGGTTTTTATTTTTATTTTTAGTAGCTCTGGGATTGATGATAGGTAGATGCTTTTTGAATTATTTGCAACTATTTATGTCTGTATCTGCCTGGCACCTTTGTCATGTTTACTTTTGTTCTTTGGACCCACATTGAGCAGACTTTCTTTTGAAACTTACAAGTATTCCTGCCGATCTTCAGGCAGGTCTTGCATTTTCCCTGAGAAATCTTGTTGAACTTGTTCCTTGTGCACTTGTGGAGACAGCACTGGTTCTGAGGGGTCCACCTCAGCTTTGGGGGTACAATCCTGGAAAGTGGAATAGCCTCCAGAGATGTCTTCCTCAGAGACAATAGGTGGGTGATCGTAAGACTCGTTTTCTTTAGACACAGCTTGTTCTTCTTTCTGCTTGTGCCGGGCAGTGCAGAGCTCCTCTGGAAGTACTGAGAATCCTAGGGAGCAGAACAGATTAAATTAAGCTTTAGATGGAAGCTAGACCGAATAGGGAGGAAAGGCTCCCTTTAGGAGGTGATAGCTGAGCAATAGTCAAAAGAAATAGAGTGAAAAGCTCTATTGATCAGATTAGAAAACACTCTAGGGTGGGACAGAGAGAAAGCACCAGGAATTTGAAGCAGAAGAATAGATGAGTAGCAAGCAGATCAAACTTCTGGGACAGTGAGAGAGAGCTAGAGGTGGGAGGTGTCTTGCTACTTACTAATGCATGCCATCACTTAAATTACGAGATGAAATAAGCTACCACAAATGGCTTCGAGGAGGAGAGCAGTAAGGCAGAAAAACGTATGGAAAGAGAAGTTATCCTAGAAAGTAAGTGAAGAAAGTATTTAAGAAGGGATTAAATGTTTATGCCAAATGCTAGTAAGGAGCAAAGTCATTTGAACACTGAAATTTATCCATGGATTTGTCGACAAGGAAATAATTACCAGAGTCTACAAGACGGGCTGGAGTAGGGAAAGTTCTCACAAGATGAGGGGAGAAATACATGGTATATGTTGCGGTAAAAAGAGCTGTCTTGTTTTGTTCTAAAAGATGAGATCTGTTAAAGTATATCTCAATGGTACTGGGTCTGGCCTAGTTGTGGGAAGTCAGAATGGACACTGTAGGAATGAAGCCTCTGAGTGGAGAAAAGGGAATACAATTCAGCCCCAAGGAAGTGGTGATGGCTTTAGCTAGGCAAGCAATGTAATCTAAGGTGGGCTTGTGGCTCAAGTGGAAGAGCAACTTGTCTAGCAATTCCAAGGCCCTGAGTTCAAACCCATTACCACCAGAAAAGAAAAAAAAAGCAATGTGATCTACTATATTACAAGGTAGATTTTATGCACAGAGATTTATTCATCTTGGTAGATTTTGTAGTGGAAGGTTATGGACATTTGTTTGTAATTCTGTATTTCTAGAAGATATGAAAAATGATCATCAAGTAGGCATAGATAAAGAGAAATATTGGTAGTTTGAAGGAAGAAAGGAAGGTGTAACACAGAGGTGGGGGTGCTTGGAGTTTATAAATGAATGACAATAAATTAGAGAAAGTACAATATTAAAAAGGTGGTAAGGCTAGGTGCTAGTAGTTCAGAGGCTAAGAGCTGAGGATTGTGGTTCAAAACCAGTCCCAGAAGAAAAGTCTGTGAGACTCTTATCTCCAGTTAGCCAAAGAGCTGGAATAAGCAGTGGCTCAAGTAGTAGAGCAGCTAGCCTTTAGCATAAAAAAAATAAGGGAGAGTGCCTTGACACTGAATTCAAGGCCTACTTGTGACACACACACATGCACAATGGCTGGATATCACAGTGGATCTTGAGAATTTTTGTGCGGAAGGAAAAGAAAGAATAAGAGGGGCTGGGAAGGTGGCTCAGTGGTAGAGCGCTTGCCTTGCATGCCTGAGGCCCTGGGTTCGATTCCTCAGCACCACATAAGCAAAAAGAAAAAAGCTGGAAGTGGCGCTGTGGCTCACGTGATAGAGCACTAGCCTTGAGCTGAAGAGCTGAGGGACAGCACCCAGGCCCAGAGTTCAGGCCCCACGACTGGACCCTCCCCCCCAAAAAAAGAAAGAATAAGAGTACTGCTTTTTGAGTATGTGTTGCTCAGTAGTAAGTAATTAGTAATGGCGTAGTGTTGGTTGTGAGCATAAAATTCTGTGGCTGAGTAGAGTTACGAGATAATTATCAGACATCCTCAGAAACTGAGAAAAAGGAATTAGGTCAGATGTATTAATGTGGTAGAGTAACAGAGAATACATAATTGGGGAAGTTGTAAAAAAAAGCAAGGAAATCAAGGTAGCAAGGAAATGAAAGTGCTATCACTAAAGGTCTTTCTTGTAAAATGAGAGAAACAATAGGTCCAGCACCTGAACACACACACACACACACACACACACACACACACACACACACACACACAAAACACTTGTTTGACCTTCACTATGATCCAGTGTAATGGTCTGTTCAATTTCTGCATAGCTGTGACTGATGCGCTCCTGCAGCGTTTCTGTGCTGGTCTCCATGAGATGAACAATATCCATCCGGTTGATCTTGGTGAGGCATTCAATGAGGCTGGTATCTAAGAAAGTGTAGAATACATTAGCATTCATTACACTTGTTACATTTGAGAGGTGCTCTTTGAACATTTTTTCTTTCATTAAGTCGCCTTAGTAAATCTTTTGGCACATTGTATAGATAACAGCTATAAACTTAATTAGGGACTCTGTGAAAAGAAGCAGAGAGATAAAACACAGTTGTGATATGGCACTGACACAAGTTCAAAAAGTTGGAGTTCCAGATAACATATATGACCCCCAAGAAGATCCAAATTTCAGTTAACAAAATATATATTTAGGAAAAGTCTATTCCAAATATTGCAAGGAATGCTAAAGAAAAAAGTGCTTGTTGACTACCTAGCATTTAAATTCAACTGGCAATGATACTAAGAAGTATTAGAGCAAGGAATGATGCAGTAGATAGCTCACAGCATATCATTATGGAGACACTAGGGGAAGTGGAAAACATGGTCTGCTGAGAAGGTCTGTGTTTGATGATAAGCTACAGCTTATCACTTCCCATGTTATTCCACCAGGTAAGTCTGACTATAATGCATCATCTCATAGACACATCCCCTGATACTTTTCCTCTCACCTAAGTTTGTTTGGGGGGAGCAAAGGAAGTCAAAACTGAAAGTAATTCATCACCCATAAGACCACTGCAAGCAAAGCAATTGTGTCCATCATGGATATTTAGAAAATCTGGAGCTTGAATAACATGCCTGTTGGCAGCCAGTATCAATATCATTTCTTATTAGTTAACACTGTTTCCAGGCATGGACTACAAGACTTTCTTCGTGCCCCCTGTCTGTTTTAGAAATGACAATAGCTTATCTTCATTTGCCAACACTTCTTGAAAATAAGGGCATTTTATGTTACTATCTTCCTGGATGTATGAAAAAGTGGGGTGGTTCCAAGCTCAGTGCTGATGGCTCCCACCTAGAATACTAGCTACGCAGGAGACTGAGGTCTAAGGATTGAGTAGGTAAACCTATGAAATTCTCATCTCCAAATAACCACCAAAAGGTTATTTTGTAGCTCAAGTGAAAAGATGCTAGCACTGAGCAAAAAAGCTAGGGACAACACGGCAGTCCTGAGTTCAATACTGGCATATATATATATATATATATATATATATATATATATATACACATATATACATATATATTATATATATGTGTATATGTATATATACATATATATATATATATATATCCATCCACAAAAGAAAGGAAGGAAGGAAGGGAGAGAGGGAAGGAAGGGAGGGAGGGAAGGAAGGAAGGAGGGAGGGAGGGAGGAAATGAAGTGATTTGAATTGAGCAAGAAAGTTCCACTTTGTACATTTTACTTGGAGTTCTGCACATACCTGTAGCATGCTTCCCATCCCTTTCTAGCCAGTACTTCAGCAGTGCGTGGCTCTGGTCTTGAAGGGAGTTGGGGTTCTCAATTCGAATTTGATGAATTTGTTCCTCAGTGAAATCCAGTTCCCTTGCTAATTCTAGAAGAGAAGATAACTACTTTGTAAACACATTGATTTGCAGGCCTCTGCCTGTATACCCTGGTTTGTGACATGACAATGACATTTTCTTGCACTGCCATGAGCCTTTGGCTTTCTTTTATTTCTATACATTAGAAGTGGTTTGTGTTTATGTGCGTATGTGTGTATTTGATTTCTTAAAATACTAATCATGAGTATAGATCTTACCACTACCATCATGGAAATGGTAGTGATTGAAGTAGTACTGACAAACTACAAATAGTTGAAACCAGTTGATTCCAAAATGCAGACATGATCATTAATATGTTTATACTTTTAGCCAAGATAATGGAAAATAAATTACAAAATAGGAGAAATATATTACCATTTGTATAGAAGGGTTTAAAAATGGTTGTTTTATTGTTGTTGTCTTGCTCTGTAGCCTACGTTGGCTTCACACTCATAATTCTCCTGCCCCAGTCTTTCCTGAGTGCTGGCATTACTAGCGTATAGTATCATTTCCTACTTAAGTGATGGCTCCCCCACCCACTACCCTGGGGTAGAACTCAGGACTGAGCGCTGTCCCTGAACTTTTTGGCTCAAGGCTAGCATTCTATCATTTGAGCCACAGCTTCACGTCTGATTTTCTGGTGGTTAATTGGATATAAGAGTCTCATGGACTTTCCTGCCACGGCTGGCTTCAAACTGTGATGTTCAGATCTCAGCCTCTTGAGTACCCAGGACAATATTTACTATGAAGATACTTGATACACTAAAAGAAGCATCCCTGGTTAGATCTCAAATTAAGCTTTAAGAAATTCATATCTAAATTTTTACTCTGAAACATAATAACCTCCTTCACCCCTAACTTAGATGTCTGCAACTGCTAGCGGAGTATGTTGAAAGCTGGTTTATTGTCAACCTTCTAAAGTCTGAAGTTACTCCACATTTCAGAGTCAATGGATGGCCTTCTGATAAAAAGGGAAGTCATTCTCATTTACCTGTCCAGCTGAAGCCAAGGTGATCGGCAATGTAAGCCAGCCTCTCCTCAATCCGCTCCTGCTCATCCTGTGGATCTACAGAAGGTCAAAAACAGAATGGCCAAAGGTTGTCTATGACAGGAGAGGAACCACAGTATCGATCATCCAAAGAAAGGAAGTCACTTGTCCAAAGATTTGAAAATAGCACAAGTTTGCTATTGTATTTTTCATCTTGTTGCGTTGTGTGTTTGTCTGCTTTCTGGGGGTGGGATGGGGAATGAATCTGATATGGCTTATGGGAACCATCTGCTTCCATTTCTCTTTAATCAAGACTAGTTACTGAACATACAAATAGAAATTGCTGATTTTTAGTCATCTGTGTGTGTGTGTGTGTGTGTGTGTGTGTGTGTGTGTGTGTGTGTGTGTGAATCTGGAGCTTGAACTCGGCTTAAGTACTGTCCCTGAGCTTTTGTGCTCAGTGTCTTCACTTGAGCCACAGCTCTACTTCTGGCCTTTTGGTAGTTGATTGGAAATAAGAATCACATGGGCTTTCTTGCTCAGGCTGGAACTACAATCCTCAGCTCTCAGCCTCATGAGTAGCTAGGATTACAGGCGTGAGCCACTGGTACCTGGCTTTAATTTCTTTTCAAATGATCTGATAATACTGCCCACCAAAAGTCATTTTGCTCTTGAAACATTAGAGCAATGGAAAATGGGATGCAGAATTGGAATAATTAGTTAAGACCTCTTATGTGACGGTAGAGGTCATTACTGGGTTATGTCTGAAACAAAGCTTGTTTGAAACTCGCAAGAGATCTTGTTTAAGGTTGGACAGATAATGTTCGCTTTATCCAATGTGGCCAAAAGCAAATCTGCTTCATTCTGATGATGTCAGGAAAATGCAATGATAGAATCACACTCATTGTGTGCATTGTGGCACAGATGTGAATATGTCTTTTGAGCCACATTTCTGCCTGCTTGTGATGTGGTCAACTCACCCATTATTTATTTTCACAAGCGATATAACTTTTCCCATTTAACTTTAACGCTTCTGGTTTGATGGGCAGCATTTTAGATGGCTTTATGAAATTTAGGAACAGTAGTCTTCATTGTAGAGATAATGGAAGACCACAGGTTACTTCTCAAAGTAATCTATGGTTTTCATTCTTTCTTTCTTTTTTTCCTTTACAATTCAAAGGATCGTCATTCCCTTATAGTCACCTTAAATGGTGCAAAGTTTGAGTTTTTGTTGTCTGCTGTATCTCATTTGAGTACCCTCTCTATTCCTCTATTGTATAAACAGAAAGCATATGTTTACCTTATATTTGTTTGCTTAAAGAATTACCAAAGGTATCTGAAATCCAACCTTTCTGAATCAAAACCAGACCCACACCAATTGGAATTTCAGGACGTGAGAAATCTTCTTGAGCAAATGGCTTCCTAATAATTACAAAATTGTTAGTACAGATTATTTCAAGGGTCCAGAGGCAAGAAGATCAAGCAATGAGTTCTCAGAGTGCAAAATCAAACCTCACATCATCATGTGCCAAAGCAACATGCTAAATTTGAGGCTAAGGCAGGGACTTCAGAACAACAAAACTCAAAGCTTGCATGAACCTTCCGTGCAGCAGCTAAAGAAAGGCAAGGGTCTCCATTGCCTGGTCAGGTTTATGTTTTCCATAAGCATTCTCATTACTCAATCTTGAGATTGTTTTCATAGACAAGAGTATACAGAAAGGCACAAAACACAAAGGGCTTACACAAACACATTAACCACTACAGAAAGCTTAAAGAAAATGAGACACAAATCACCGAAATAAAACAAACATACAAAAAAAAATCTCTATCAAATTTATGACATGCGTAGCAACAGGGAATCCCAATGGCTGGCAAATACCTTCAGCATGGTCATGGCCATTGTCATCGGGGATGCGTTCAATCAGAGTCTCAATGGACTCATCCCAAATGGGCCTTGTGTCAAAGATGTCCTCAGGAACTGAATGCTCGCTCTCAACGGCTGGCAGATTTTCAATAACTGAAACTTCCAAGGCACTACTACTTTCGTCATCTGAAACTAATTCCTGCTCCTTCTCTGACTGTGTAAGCCTATCCACTAGTTTGGAAGCCTCATCACTAATCTCCTCAAAGAATTCTATGGAATTCCTGTAAAGGTCAAAAAAATGCTCCTTACTTTCTCTTGTAGGGCTCACTCCCCCCTTGCAGGAAGCTGTGCTGCTTTTGCTCTTAACTGGCAAACGGGATGCAAACATCTTTGGTCTTGAGGCCCCTTCTTCTGAGTCTAACTCGAGCTCCTCTGACCTCTCTCTGCTCTCTGCCTCTGTCTCAATGTAACTTCTAGCTTTCACTGGGCATTTGGTCTTTGAGTCCAAAGGACTGGCATCGGATTCGGATTTGCTTCTGTGATCTGAGGTCCTGCTTGTCCCGTCCCGTCCCTGAGCAGTCACTGTCATCTGCAAAGATGAGTCTGGATGTGGGAGTTGCTGCTCCACTCTTTGGATGGATGCTTTGACAGGGATTTTGGACTTTGGTTTTGCTTCATCTTCCGTACTTCCCTCATTCAGACCAGGTGCAGAATCTTCAGAAAATTCGCTCTCCTCCTCTGCAGGGAGAGGTGCTGGGCTTGAGGTGAGTATAGTCCTTGTAGGAATTTGGGATTTGCTTTCAGCAGAAGGCACATTCTCCATGAGGGCGGTGGGGATTTCAATCACTGATTTCTCTTCCTCTGGAGAAGAATCGGGAGACTCATCGTCTCTCTCTGAATATACAGACCTGGTGACTGTGGAAAAATCTAACTGACCTGGTACAGCCGGCTGAAGGGAATCAGGGCAAGGTATCGGCTTCATACTGGACGAAGAAGGTGCATCATCCGTGTGCAGGGTGGAGAGGTCCTCGGCTCCTCCACAATTTGTGGATGCCTCGGGGGAAGCTGAAATCTCCACATGAGACCTAAGGTGCCTATCTGAATCAGGGATTTCCTCCACATCCTCACTCAGGTCATCTGGCACTAATTCGGCTTCATCATCTACTGTTTCTTTCGATTCTGAAAGTGCTAGTGATTCGGCTGACACCTCCAGCTGTGAGGGCTCAGCCCCAGGGGCCCCTTCTTTGATATCTGCTGGAAGAGTCTCTTCCCCAGCTTCTTGACCAATTTGGAAAAAGTGAAAACTTTCATCTGCATAGGACCTTTTGGTCATATCGATGGCCCCGCTTCGGGTCATCTCAAACAACTTTCCTTCTTGAAAGAGGAATGGATTCTGCTCACTTGTCGGGGTCCCCTCTTCTGTTGGCGTCCGGGCAGGAGTGGTGTCTGGGGTAGTACCTTGGGATTGTCTGTCCACCATTAAACCAAAGATCTTTTGCTCCTCTTCTTTCACTCGAGCTTCAAAGGCTTCGTCGTCTTCACGAATCTCGCTCCAGGAATCAGCATCCACATCTGTTTTGGTGATAATGACTTTGCTTATTTGCTCACCGATAACTTCTGGTGTCCTAGATAGAGTAGGTTCTAGAGATGCGGAAGCTTTCTCTGACTGCACTTCCCATGAGGTACTTTCTTGTTCGGATGCTCCTTCGAGGCTCTGGCTCTCGAAATTACATCGTTCGCTCGAAACAGTCCTAGGTGAAGAGCTTTTCACTTCTACATCCTCAACAGAGAATGTCATGGTAGCAGAATACCCTTCAGAAGAGTGAAAGGTTGTGGTGTAATTCATATCTGTTTGGGTTTTGCTTTCTTCACTAGAGAAAAAAGAGGGGGAAGGAACATTTTCATAAGGGCTGGTAATTTGAGGATCAGGGATTTCATCGGCTTTGGCTGGATCACCCGTTAGAGAAGCTGTGGAAACACTATCTGTGTGGGGAAGGACAGAAGAGTCTTGAATGGAACAGTCTTTTGATATGCTCTCCACACTTTGGTCCGTTTTTGTGACCTCCACATTTGTAGTGGAAGAGGTAGAGGATTTCCCTTCACCTAACTTCTCCTCCTCAGATATCGGACAATGAAGCAAAGAAGAGCTTTCTCTGGGGCAATCTCCTGGTGGAGATTCTATCCCAGAAACATCAGGTTCTCCTCCTCCTGTGTCATTTCTGTGACTGTCTTGGGGAGTTGGGGTGTCTTTCTGAAAGGCTAGCTGCTCATCGACATCATCACCTGACAAGTTCTGGTGACCCAAGCAGACAGGTCCAGCTGAGTTGCTAGGACTCACGGGCTCACACCCATGACCATCACAGATCTCTGGCTGATGGGTGGCTCCATTCAGATCCTCACAAGGTCTAACTACACCCTCAGGAGAAACTGTGGGTCTATCCTCAGCTAAATGGGCCTCACCCTCTTTCTCTTCTTCTGAGTTACTTGGCTCTTCTGGAAGCTCTTCGTTCATCTTGAAGGTATATTGTTTGGAAACTATAGGCTGGAACTGAACTTCTTCGGGACTGGAATTGGAGTCCATGCTGGATGGAAGTGGGGAAGGAGGTTGCACTCGAATTACTGGTTCTGACAAAAGGCCTGAGTCGGCACCTTTCTTTAGCTGAGTCAGTTCAGGCTCACTTTCTGAAGAAGAAGAAGCCTTTCTGCTCTCGGAGGTCACCAGGACAGGGACATCTCTTTCACCCTCTACACCCTCCATCTGTTTGGGTTCCTCCAGGCCTACTGAACAGTCACCATCGGGGTCAGAGGCTGAGGAAGATTCCTCTTGCTTGGACTCTTTTCTGTAATCCCTTTTCTGCTTAGCTTCCTGTTCAAGTTCATCGAACATCTTGATTTTGGTGACCATTTTGAACATTTCCTCTTCCGGAGTGAACCTCTTTTTCTCTCCATTTTCTGAGTCATCCTCCTCGGCGCACTCCTGAATGACAGCTGGCTTGGGGGCAGACGTGGCATCGGTGGCTTTGGGTGTGACCTCATAGCTAACTTCTTCAGAGCTGGGGGTGTCGGGGGAGAGAGGGCTCTTCCCTGAGCTCTCCATGAGGGATGTCTGCTCAAGGCTATCATCCTCAGCACTTCCATCAGGGTCTCGGAGGAGCCGGGACCTCATGGAAACTACTTCCGTCATGAGTTCTGTTTTGGAAATAGCTGCGGGATAAGGGAAATGACTTGACAGCATCCCTGCCTTGGTCTTTGGTTCAACGGGGCTACTTTCCAAGGAATCCCGGCAAGGAGATTCCTTCAGAGGACTTGGTTCCAGAGAATCGGGAGTTTTGTGCGAGGAGTTATCTTCTAACACAGGGCTGGCTTCCAAAGAATCTTTGTGGCTGACTGCTAAGGACTCGTCAGCCATTGGGCTAAGTACCTCACTGTCTCGGCTAGGGAGGGCAAGTTCTAATCCCTGAGGACTTCTAATGACCCCCTGGGGCTTGGGTCCTGTATCTGTGTCTGTCTTTACAGCAGCACCAGGCAATGGTGAAGTTTCCATCCCCTCTGAGGTGGTGGTAGATTCCTGAGCTTCCTGGTTAGCCTGTGCCTCGTGAGCTGAACTTTGGGGTATGAGCTGACCTTCCCCACAGGATGATGCATCCTCAGGGACTGCCCGGGGTGATTCTTTTGTCAATGATGTGCTAGCGTTGCCAGGTCCTTCTTGTTGAGGATACACAGGCTGGGGAGCATCTGGAGAGACCTCCCTGTGAGAACGTTCAGAAGCGAGCTCCGAACCCTCAGCCAGTGCAGCACCTTGATCTTCACAACCATCCATCCTGTCTTTGGTTGTGGGATGTTCTTTCTCTGAAGGAATTTCTAGGGGTGTTTCTACCTTTGGGGTGAGTTCCTTTGTCTCCTCCATTTGTTCCTCACTTTTCTTTGGTGAGAAGGACAGGCTCTCTGGGCTAGTCTCAGGGGTCTCTGCTAGGCCTTCATGCTTATAGCTCTCTTCTGAACTTATCTGAGGGGTCCCCTCCATCAGGCTGCCACAAGGTGAGGGTGCTAGCCCTTCCGGCTTTAGGCCCTCAGTACTGCTATCCAAAGTACCACTCTGTAAAGAAAGAGCAGGGAGAAAGTCGTCTTTCATGTAATCTAGTGGGAAGGTGGTGTTAAAAGGGCTGGTGAGGACCTGGTCTAATTGCAATTGAGCTTTTTCAGTCTCTTGGCTCATGCAGAATTGTTGATATTTGTCATTGCTTTCTAACTCTTGCTTAATGACTTCAGAAAAGTCAGTGGAGGTTTTTCTATTGGGGCTGATCTGGAGTTCCATCTCTCCCTGCTCCTCTGCCCTCTTTTCTTTGGACATATCTGGCTCTTGATGGCTTTCTTCTTCAGATGCTGGCTGAACAGGTTCGGGAGTTTTGTGGTTGGCAGCTTTCTCCTTTTCTCCAACAGCTTCATCTCTCTTCAACCCCATGGCGATCGCGTGAGCTCTTCTTCTGGATTCTGGAGTACCAGTTACCAGGAATTTCTGGCCACGTTTGATTGACTCTGTTCTCTGTATATCTCTCTGGGTAATTGCCTGCCCCTTCTCTTTTTCTATCCGACTTTTACTTTTTTCCTGGGACTGCTTTTGTTTTACTGATTTGTGCTCAAAGAGTCCAGTTTTATGTTTAGATGGGTCTTGGCCTGACTGGAAAGCTTTCATCAACTCTCGAACCGACATCGTTTCCTCAATTCTTTCTGTTTTTGAGGTGGGTGATACAGGAGGCTGCTTGTCTGTTTTCCCAGAGGGTGACACAGGAAGGTGCCTGTCGCTTTTCCCAGTGGTTGACACAGGCGAATGCTTTTCCGTTCTTCCAGAAGGGGACACAGGCAGGCGTTTTTCTGTTCTCCCAGGTGACACTGGGGGATGTTTCTCTGTTCTACTAGAAGGTGATATGGGTGGGCGTTTGTCTGTTTTCCCTGAAGGGGATGCCGGCGTGTGTCTTTCTGTTTTTGTCGATGACACAGGGGAGTGTCGTTCCGTTTTTGTTGAAGGTGACCCAGGCGAGTGTTTCTCAGGTTTACTTGACAACACAGGTGAATGTCTTTCCGGTTTGGCAGAGGGAGACACAGGTGAGTGTTTCTCAGGTTTACCAGATGGCGACACTGGAGCGTGCCTCTCTGGTTTTGCAGAGGAGAGGGAAGAAAGCCTTTCTGCTTTAGAGGATGGTGCATGCCTGTCTGACTTCAGAGAGGGGGATGACGCAGCTGGATGTGTCCTGAGAGGGGCCTTTTTGGGCACCTCCTCTTTGCCTTTGACTCTAATGGGCAACTTGCTTCGCCCTTTCTGTTCATCTTCCACTCGCTTCTGGAGGGCCTTCACTTTGTCCTTGATGGAGCCAATGGGAGTTTCTTCTATCAGAGGAGATGTGGCCTTCACCGTGGAGAGAGGTTCAGGGGCTAACCCTGAGTCTTCATCCACTGACTCCTCGGAGCTACACTTTTTAAGCTCAGTCTTTTCCTCACTGGCTTGTGAACCTTCTTCTTTTGGTTTGGGTTTTTCTTTCAATTTTCTTCTCACGGGCTTTTTGATTCCCAGGCTTGCTTTGACCTGTTTAAGGGTACTCGGTTTCTCCCCTGACAGGGTACCCTTCTTTTCATGATCAGAGCCCTTGCCGGTGGCTGGAGCCTCAGAAGTCTTCCCTGGCGTGTCTTGAACTGGTTTGTCCCTATGAGGTGGTGCATACGAATTGAGGTCCTCAGTAAGGTAGTTCACTAGCCCAGCTGAGTCTTTCTCTGTCTTGACTTTAGTCTCTTGGCCTATTCTAACCTCTACACATGGATATTCAGTGATTTCTAAAGGGGCTTTTAGCTTAGCTTCTTCTATTTCCTCCTCACTGACAAGCACCCATTCCTCTTCCACTAGTTCTGACTCAGCCTGAGAACTCTGCCCTCTGCCTTCATCTCTCACGCAGGTTCCACTTCTCAGGATCTCATTCACTTTCTCTAAGTCCTCTTTCACTCTTTCCACAATTTCAAAGGGCTCGCCAGGCTCGTCCTCAGCAGCCTTCTCCAGCTCCTTCACTTTAAGGGAACCTGCCTTATCAGACACATCTGTGGTCAAGATGGCGGTCATTTTGATCAAGTCTTGTTTCATCTCAGAAACTTCCGAGAGCAAGTCCGGACTTGCTAGGACAGGAACTTCATTAACCAGGTGACTTTTCAGCACAGATGTTTCTGTAGATTCTGTCTCATCATCTTTGATGTGAATGAAAAACATCGAAAGTAAAATGGAAATCAAAAAAGATATTGGCAAATGTAATCAGGATCGAAAGGACACAGTGTCTTTTCCTGTTGTGGTGGGAGGGGGCAACAGAATGGACTAGGAATGGTGGTTTCACAAGGTCTCGGGGTACAAGAGCAAAGCAAGGCTAACAGAAAAATTAAAAAACGAAAAAAAACTGAAAAGGAAAAATGAGCAGGAAATAACTTGCTTAATTTTCTCACTTGTAGCACATTCACACATACAACAAAACTATCACAAATAATCAAGACATACACACACACAAAAAAAATTATAAACCAAAACAGAGGAGGAACACAGTGAAATTACACAGAGGCATCTCAAGATTGTTCAATGTTACAGATCAATGTTGGAAAATAAAACCAAAAACAAAACCATGAGGGAAAAATAATAAGAAAAAAAATGAAAAGCATTACAAATTGCAGAACATTGATTTCCTCAGGAGAAAGCCAGTAGTAGCAAACTCAGAACAAGGATCATGTGTGGATAGTTACAACCCAATAAATTTGAAATTTAGAATGAGTAGTTCTGCCAATGTACAGTGATGATATGACGCATGTCTGAATCAGCTGCAAACTGGCATTTCATCTAAGGGAAATTCACACCTAACAATGACACACTCTTGGGCTAAAAGGCATGGTAGGTCCTTTCCTTGGAGCAGCCTTGTTTAGACATGTTAAGAGACAGACCAAGGAGGGAAAGATAGGAAAGAAAACCAACAGAAACCACACTTGTGAGTCAACAGAGAGGTGAGTCCAGAGTTAAAAATGGGATGCATGGCAACCCATATCAAAGACAGTCACACGGGACACACGCACAGTTTATGTAAGCCAAGTTATTTCCATGCAAAGCAAAGGTGGGGTCAAAGTGCTAGGGGGTGTGGTCTTGCAGAAAACAACAGGCAGGAGGATGAGGAGAAACTAGAACAAACAGGTAAGGCCTTACTGTGGTGAAGCACATTCAGTTCCCTGGGAGCTTGGACAGAAAATTCTGAATGCAGTTTATATTTGTTTTTCTTTTTTTTTCTATCGATTCTATTTTTTTCAATTTTTTAAATTGCCTTTAAGTAGTCGTACAAAGGAGTTGCCATCTAACAAAGCACTTTATGAATTCAAAATATCTTGATCAATGTTGCCCCTCTCAACTTTGAAGCATGCGCTTAGGGGGGGTCTACAATCATGAGAGGAATGTGAGAAAACCTTTAGGACTTACCTAAAAAGGACTTTAGGAAAAATATCCCTTCCACTAAGCCCTTCTTTGGAGATTATTTTATAACTATTGAAGGTCATTCAATGACTATCCTTAAACTAAAAAAAAAAAAGTAAATCTGTATTCGAAAAGAGTGAAATATTCATAATATCTAGGAGACTCGCACAGAAATCTTTGACATTCTGGCAAAATGGTAATGTCTTTTTTCTTCCATTTCTTTTGATAGTAAAGACAGATGACGTTTAGTTCCTACTAGTTTGTACAAAGAAGCAAAAGAAAGGCCAATTTAAGTAAACACAGTAGAAAAAAAATGTAAACAGAGTTGTCCTGAAGAATGAGAGCCAGGAAAATCAAATCTGTTTAAAGAAAGAAAAAAACAAAAACAAAAAAGAAGGTCTGGAGCTATGGCTCAGCAGTACCAGTAGAGTGCCCTCTTGAGCAAGTAGGAGGTCCTGAGTTCAAACCCCAGGACCACCACAAAAATAAATAACTAGAATTACGAAGAAAAAGAAGAATTATTTGCAGGCAAAATAATGTCATTTAAAAGCACCTTCTCTCAAGATAATTTAAGGAGCTCTAGTATGTGAATATGTAAATATATTAAATTTATATGAATATAAATTTGTTCAGCCATATAAACTAGTGAGCATACTTACTTTAGTTCTGAATAGTGATGTAACATAAAGGTAAGCCACCATTAAAGCCATTTCAATAATGTGTAGTAAGTCACATTATGTGTAGACTTAAAAAGAAAACTCTACGAATCATTGTATAAGGACCAAATGACCATAGTTAACATGGTTCTGAGTTTTCTCTTTTCAGGAGGACTATGCTGAAATGAAGTAAATTGAAATGAATACTTAAAAATCAATAAGCATTGAAAATTAGGCTTATTTTTCTAATGCATTTGAAGCATACAAGGGAGAAACACAAAAAATCAACTTGAGTTTCTACAAGAAACCAAGGAGTCAGAGGGAATGGGCCAACACATTAAAACCTGAATTAATATTCCAAACCTGAGGTAAATTCTAGCATCGTTTTTTTTTTAGTTCTGTAAAAACCAGTGCTCTCTAGACTAGATTGAGGTAAGCTGTTTGCACTATTATTATTTAAAATTAGTCCTTTTAATAAGACAGTGTGAGTAGCAATTTCATCCCAAAGGTCTTAATTTTTGTATTCTTGGCACCTCTTGTTTTTCTTTCCTCTATTTCTTTTCTTCCTTTTTCTCTTCCTTCCTTCTCTCCTTCCCTCCCTATCTCCCTCCCTCCTTCCTTCCTTTCTCTCTTTCTGTCTTTTTCTTTCTCTCCTTTATGTCATTCCATATTTCTTCCATATTTCTTTCTATCTATCTTTCTTTCAAGCTAGTATAGGAGATTGAACTCAAGGCTTTGAACTCTTCCTTGACTTTTTTTGGTTAAAGTTTGTGCTCTACCACTTGAGTCACAATTCACTACCATCTTTTTGCTGGTCAATTAGACCTAAGAATCTCATCGACAGGGCTGACTTTGAACCATGATCCTTAGATTTTAGCCTCCTGGGTAGGTAACATTACAGGTGTAAGCTATTTGTACCCATCTGCTTCTTGTTCTTTTTGTTGTTGTTGTTGTTCCAACAAATGTTCACAACAGTCTTAGATCTCAGCCTAGCTAGCCTTCAGTTACACTTCACCACAGTAAGGAATGCAAGGGAAGGAGAAGGTGGGGAAAGAGGTAGCCTTAGCTACTAAATATTAAGACAGTATCGCTTTTCCAAATGCCTCCTACAGAAACAAGGTAAAACAAACCAAAAAAAACCCTCTTGACAGAAGTCACTGGTGCTCAGCATAAAAAGTGATACTGTCACATCAGTGCTTAAAAAATAATGAGATGAAAATGTTATGCTAACAATGGACAAAACGGTAGGGTGGCTTTCTAAACAAGCGGGACATCAATACCAGGGTTAACAGAAATGCCAAAATAAAGTGAATGCTTAAATGAATTACAGTTGCATTTTAAAATTCTAATCAGCTCACAAATTAGATCTATACCTTTATAATTTAACTGGCCAAGCTGCTTTTTTTCTAAATATATATTAATGATTAATAAAGATAAAAGTATAATTACTACAGAGGTTAGTAATGGCAACTAGCTTGAGTCTTAATTCATGCTTTTTTTAAAAAAAAAAACAATTATAGGCAGCTTTTAAACACACTCAATTTTATTTAAAATCTTACTTTTTTCTGATGTCATATCGATCTGAAAGAAAACATACATAAATTCAATGGTTACATGTTACAATCTTGGCTCACAGACCCTGATGTATCTAATCCCTAACTAAAACATACAAGTGACAACACAGGCAAGAGGAAGGTACAGTAATGACTGATCCTGATGGCCTCCAGGAGTCTTATCCTCACTTTGAAAAATAATAATTGTAATAATCTGGTTTTTTTAGACATTGCAAGTGGAAATACTTTCTAACATGCTACCCTGAGAAGACAGGAGTCATGTTTGATGCGAGACGGTTGGGAAAAGGATGAGATCAGAATTACACAAGTGTCAGATTAATAGAGAAAAGAAAGCAAATACTTAACAAACACTGTGTCAGGGTGATACCTTTCCTACATGGGGCTCATTGTCACTCATAACAAGCTGAAGTTCCACCTCTTACAGTGAATGTGAACTTGATCACTTATCCTGAACAGATCCTGAACATATTCAACAGAAGCACCTGACATCTAATGAGAAGACTTCACTTGTGAACACAAAACGTCTGGTTTTAGAGTTTTGTAGAGGGTTGTATCAGTTTTGTCTTTTCACAGCTGTGGGGACAGGGATGCTGAACACAGGAAGGAAGCTGAGGATGTGACAGGGGTGGTTCAGGGAAAGGATGAGGTCAGCCTGAGTGTGTGTGTGTGGGGGGGGGATTATAGGCAGAATCTGAGTCTACAATCTCCCCTTCATCCTGCTCTAGAGCAGAACAATGAGGGGAAAATATGGGGGAAGAGGAGGAGATTCAAGGCAATCCTCTGAACTAAGGCTTTCCATTTTAAACTGGTGGGGATGGAATATATATTCTATATTAATTTATATTTTCACATTTCAAAGGCATCAGAGTAACAGTTTAAAAAAAAAAAAAAAAGAAAAGCGCTGGGCGCCGGTGGCTCATGCTTGTAATCATAGCTACTCAGGAGAGGCTGAGATCTGAGGATCGTGGTTCAAAGCCAGCCCAGGCAGGAAAATCCATAAGACTCTTATCTCCGATAAAGCACTAGAAAACTGGAAGTGGCGCTGTGGCTCAAGCAGTAGAGCACTGGCCTTGAGCTGACGAGCTGAGGGAAAGCGCCCAAGCCCTGAGTTCAAGCCCCACAGCCAAAAAAAAAAAAAAAGCAACATCTTCAAAAATACATGAAAGTAATCATGTTTCTTTCTTGGAAATAGGAAACAGATATATTCATAATATAAGAATTCCCAATTATTTTTGTTTCTGTTATAATATTTGGGCATTTTGAGATGTCTATATGGGAGAAAAATACATATTTGTTTTCAATATGGAAGGAGATATTATTGAAATGGCTATGTATTCAAGGAAACCCCTCCAGGACTTGGTTTCATCATCTTTGGTGGGGTAGTTGTGTGGATAAAGCAAGAGGAGGAGGGCTTAGAAAAGACACTCCTTGATTGTCTATGAGTAGTGTTCATTAATACAATTCTGCATTAGAATATTATTATAGTCCAATGGATAAACTATATGTTCCTAAATACTTTTGGCTTCAGGGATTCTCACACTTATTTGAACTTTGGACTACACTACCTTTCTAAAAATTACTGAAGAGCCCTGAGAACATATAATATTCATCAAGAAAGGCATGCACTACAAATTACAGCTGAGACAATGCTAGAACCCAAGAACACACAAGCACTATGCCATTACTTGCCAGGGTGATATCACATTACATTAAACTCTACCAGAGTGTAGAGGATTATAGAAGTTAAAATGACAAAGCCACCATTATTAGAAGAGTTTTGACCTTCAGGCACCTCCAGACTCACCTTTGAGAGTGCTGAAATAATCGCTCAGTTGTTGGTGGGGAAGTAGATATTATTGCATAGAGAAAGAGCTAAAGTTTACAAGGAAGCTACTCTAAAGTCAATTCACAAGAAGAAAAAACATCTCCCAGAGGTTCAGTAAAATTCCGTCCCTTCACTTACTAAGAACAGCTATCTATTCTTTAACAAAAAACAGGTTAACTGCTCTTAGCAGTAACAGCAATGACACAGGTATTGACAAATGACAGGATCATTAAGTTACCTCTTCCTCCTGCTCTTGATCTGACTCTGATTCCTTGCCGCCCCAGATGCCATGCAAGACGGAAAAAAAAAAGAGAGAGAAGGGAGAGCAGAGCGTTTAGAAGAAAAGAAGAGTAAATACACTGCGAACACTGATAGGCAAGCACACAGTCTGATTTTTTTTCTAAGTTTACAGAAGGCAGGCAAGAAACTTTAAGATGAATTGTTGAAAAAAGCTTATACAATCAGCAGACAAATGATCCAGAATTTAAAAATATACTGATTTTTACTTGCTAGGTCATCAACCACCTTCAAATTTGACATTTAATAGGTTCGATGGCATTTGTCAACAACCAATAGTGATAATGATCTCCCAGTCGTTTAGAAGTATTGATTGATTGTAAAGGTTAAAAACTACAAAATAAACAACTGATGAAATGTATCCAAAACTTATATGGAATGTAGGAGTTTTATTAGAATAAGGATCTGCTAGATGTTATTGTGTATCTAAATATGTAACACTGAGCATTTTGCTTCTTTTTGTTTTGTGTTACTCAATGGAAAATAGTCTTTGACCTTTGCCTTAGTAACTATGTCTGACATTCCTTGTAAGAAAATGTACAATAAAGGAAAGGCTTTCCTCTATAGCACATTTAAAGCTACCATAATTAGGCAAAGCCTATTAAAGTCTATTCGTGTCTGTATATCACTCAGTTGGCCTGCATGTATTTCTTTATGTTTCTTGTTTGGCACTCTGCCTCTGGTGACTCCAATAATTCATAATATCATGAACTCCAAAGGATATACTGCACCTAGAGTACAATTGGAGTGTACTAATTGGACTGATATAATTACCACCACATTTCAACTTGTGGAGTGTCCTGTATATTTTTATATATTCACAAGTCATTTCATTTTTAATCTCTAATAATAAGAATTTGCAATGTCAAACATAAACTTATGAACATAACAATTTTAAATTTCAAGAATAGATGTTTAAGCAAAAGACACAATTTGACAACCATGGGTCTCAACAGTTTCTATTCACCTCCTTCCCCTTCCTATAATTCATACTGACAGTCATCTATAGTGGCTATCTGTGGCTTCCTATTAAAAAGCGCTATCCAAGAAAGAAAGAAAGAAAGAAAGAAAGAAAGAAAGAAAGAAAGAAAGAAAGAAAGAAAGAAAGAAAGAAAGAAAGAAAGAAAGAAAGAAAGAAAGAAAGAAAGAAAGAAGAAAGAAAGGAAGGAAGGAAGGAAGGAAGGAAGGAAGAGAGGGAGGGAGGAAGGAAGGAAGGAAGGAAGGAAGCAAGCAAGCAAGCAAGCAAGCAAGCAAGCAAGCAGGGAGGGAGGGAGAGAGGGAGGGAGGAAGGAAGGAAGGGTGGAAGGAAGGAAGGAAGAAAAGAAGGAAGGAGGAGGAGGGAAGGAGGGATGGAGGAAGAAAGGAAGGAAGGAAGAATACTTGACAGTAACAAAAGGACAGTTACCCACATCATTTAATTAATTCGGAATTAAAATTACTTAATATTCTAAATTTATTTAATGTTAACCTAATCAGTGAGCTACAGTCATATAATTGGGTGATGTGTGAGGACAAAGCAATGCCTAACTGGTACATTTTAGTACAGAATTTAGTGTTCATTCAGTAGTCCTTCAAACTCACTTCTTGTAACACAGGGATATTTTCTACATTGTCATGCTAAAAATGAAGAAACTTAAAAAAATTCTAGTCCATTCTAATTAGAGCATGTAAAACAATAATAGAGACAAGGCCAATTATTTGATCTTATAGAAAAGGCTGAGGAGGTAGTTGTTACTTTTAAAAGGTATTTCAAAACAATAAAACCTAAACATCCTTCTTTCTCTTCCACATCCTATATATGAATAGATTTTTTTCCACCAAAATTCATTTAATTCAATCCAAGGTAGATTTTTTTTTTCTTTATGTGAGTGAAAATTTTGACTTTTTTTTTTGCTTACATTTAGTGTCTTTGTTCTTGCTCATTTTAAAGCATTTGAGCAACTGTATTATTCACATTACAGCAGATTTTACAATACCTTTGTATAAATTGGAAGCGTGATGTTTAAGTTGCAAATAGCTTGGTGCACCAGGCCTCTCGTGGATTTTGGTTCTTTCATAAATGATAGTCGCCCGCAAGGTTCCTGAGTTGTGTCACGCACCTTGAACAAAAAAGATATACATGCGTCAGCTATACTTGGCATGCACTATTATCTTATTTAAAGAAAATAAAATTCCATGTGATAATGCTTGGTAAATAAATTCGCAGGTCTTCCTTTTTCTTATCATTTACATTGACTTTTAGAATGTCATTCAGTTGTTTTAACTTTACTGAAACATAACTGACAAGTTGTATAAGTGTAAAGGTTATGATGTGATGCTTGCATGTGTGTCCATACTGTGAAATGATTACTATAACCTAGCTAATTAGTATGCTGATTGCCTCATAAAAATTGCCCTCCCTTTTTCTGTGTGACTGAGGAAAACCTAAGATCTCTTTTACCAAATTTCAAATATACCATAGTTGTTTTTGTTGTTGTTGTTTTCAGTTGTGGGGCTTGAACTCAAGGCCTAGGCACTTTCCCTGAGCTTTTTTGCTCAAGGCTAGTACTCTATCACTTTGAGCCACAGCTCTATTTTAGGTTTTCAGGTGGTTAACTCACAGACCTTCCTGTCTGTGCTAGTTTTGATCCTTGATCCTCATATTTCAGCAGCCTGAGTAGCTAGAATTAGAGGCATGAACTACTAGCACCTAGTTTGCAATAGACTTTTTTTTTTTTTGGTCAGCCGTCGGGCTTGAACTCTGGGCTTGGGCGCTGTCCCTGTGCTCTTCAGCTCAAGGCGAGCGCTCTACCACTTGAGCCACAGCACCACTTCCAGTTTTCTAGTGGTTTATTGGAGATAAGAGTCTCATGGACTTTCCTGCCTGGGTGCTTGGAACCACGATCCTCAGATCTCAACCTCTGAGTAGCTAGGATTACAGGCGTGAGCCACCGATAGGAGCCCATCTGCAATAGATTATTATTATCTGTAGTTACCACATGATGCATTAGATCTCCAGAATTTATTCAACTTAAATATACATAATGTAAAGTATACATTATGCAAATTTACTGTTTTTACTATTTTCAGTGTACAATTCATCATGAAACACATTGATGAAACACATTTGTGAAGTTGTGGAATCATCACCCTATCAGAATTTTCCATTTCCCAAAACTAAAATTGCACCTTTTATATGAAAACTTATTTCACCAGTTCCTTATAACTGCTCATTTCTGTCTCTGGGAATTTGTCTATTTAGGTTCCTATATAAGTAGACTCAGACATTCTCTTATTTTAATTAATATAATAATTTCCAGTTTCATCCATATTGCAGTATCAGAATTTTAACAGAGTAAAATATTATAGGAACTGGAAACAAAGCAAAGGAGAATAACTATTTTCCTTTGATTTTATAAATGGCTAAGTCATCCACGTTTATGAACTTTAGAGTTCATACATCCTAAAGAGAAATTGGAATTTACAATGGAACTTGTATATATAATGGCTGAATCGCTAACTGGGATGAATATTCCTAAACAAAAACAACAAATTAATGGTGCATTGGTGTGTCTCAGTAAGATCTGTTGAATAAATTTATCTCTATCCAGGCTCTTAGCCTACTAGCATAAGTGAGAGTTTGGCCTTATGAGGGATTTTATTGCAAAAAGTTGTCAGAATTCTTCTAGTCTCTACATTTGTGAAATTTACACATTAAAAAAAAAAACTAAGCATAGATTAGCACTAGTGGCTCATGCCTGTAATCCTAGCTATTTAGGATGCTGAGATCTGGGGATCATGGTTCAAAGACAGCCCCAGTAGGAATGTCCATGAGACTCTCATCTCCAATTAACCACCAGAAAACTGGAAGTGGTGCTGTACTTCAAGTAGTAGAGCGCTAGCCTTGAGCTGAAGAGCTGAGGGACAGCACCCAGGCCAAGTTCAAGCCCCAGGACTGAAAACAAACAAACAAACAAAAACCTAATCAGAGATAAAAGTCATATCAGTTTTTTAAAAAAACCATGAAAGTTGACTTCCCTTCAAGTTTGGAAAGAGTGGTCAGCATTTCTAATTAATGGACTGGTCATAATTTGTATTTGTTCTCCTCCTTAAACACAGTCTAAAAATTAAAAAATTAGGTTAACATTGAGCTTCAAAATTAAAAATGTTTGATTTTTTTCCAGGACTGTAACATTTTACAGATTTCACTAGTAAAAAAAATCTCTGGAAATTATATAAAAGCACTCAAAAATTTCTCCACTAACAGAGGAAAGCAAATCCTGCCTTGACCTTTAATAAAATGCATGATGACATTGTATTTATACATCACCTTGACAAAGAGAGGAAGTCTGTTTTCTTTGAAGGCAAAAAAACTGAATATATGGTGTTGACCACTCTTGGTTAGTGGCACCAGGTTGCCAAAACAGTCAACATAGATGGGTTTTCCTTCTAATACCTAAGCAAAAATGGAGAAAAAATACAGAATTAAATACAACTATAACAGCATTTACACAAAGAAGTTGTACTACTACTACTTGGAAGTTTCACTTCTTAAATATATGTATGAGTATTACTATAGTTAATTTGCATGTAAGAAAATAGAACAATGAGCCCTTCTGACATTATTTTATGAAGGGATAATAAGATGGGAGGAATGATGAGGGAATGAGGATGAGATTGATCCAGATTCATTGTTTGCATCCATGGAAATGTCACATTGAAACCCCTTTTTTACAACAACTATATGCCGACAGATAAATTTACATATACACGCACAAACAGAGATAAAAATATGTTGGCAATTGCCTTTTTGTCTTATATACAAAAGAAAGCATATACTAGAATTCCTTCTTTTTTTATTAGTAGTAAGAATCGTCAAGTTCATAGTAGTATTTAATATTCTCATTTATAATACTCTATGCTAGTGTTACCTCACAGGTTACCCTACAAAAATCTATATGTATAATTTCTAACTGTAAAATTACAAGTGAGTAACTTTTGACATCACCAAAAGTTAGATGGTTAGACTTCAATATCCAAAGATTTACACTGATAAACATTTTTTTTAAAAGTAATTGGGGAGGGAACCATTAAATGTCCTACTTCAATATTTGCACAAAACAAAGTGCTTACAGGGTTGTTGTTCACGAGGAAGAAAAGAAGAAAGGAAGGAAAGAAGGAAGGAAGGAAGGAAGGAAGGAAGGAAGGAAGGAAGGAAGGAAGGAAGGAAGGAAGGAAGGAAGAAAGGGAGGGAGGGAGGGAGGGAGGGAGGGAGGAAGGGATAGGAAGGAAGGAAAGAGAAAGAAAAGAAAAGAAAGAAAGGAAAGAAAGAGGAAGAGAAAGAAAGGAAGAAAGAAAGAAAGAAAGGAAGAAAGAAAGAAAGAAAGGAAGAAAGAAAGAAAGAAAGAAAGAAAGAAAGAAAGAAAGAAAGAAAGAAAGAAAGAAAGGAAGGAAGGAAGGAAGGAAGGAAGGAAGGAAGGAAGGAAGAAAGAAAGAAAAGGAAGGAAGGCAGAGAAAAATAGAAAAGAAAAGCAACCAAGAAAAGTGAGACATCAAAATGGGATTGTTATCAATGTATTTTGAGTTCATCATTAAAGCCTAGTGTTTCTCCAAATATTATTCTTTGTCAGTAGTACAGTTGAACTCAGGGCCTTGTGCTAGCTAAGCAACTCTCCATCAGCTCTACCATTTGATCCATCCCCCAGCCCTCCAAATTATCTTTATAGGAATCTTTTTATCTTCTCCCGTTCATAGAGATCAACCCTATAGGACAGGCCTAAATCAGTTGAAAACGACTTATTTGGGGCTGTCTGATTTTGGTCCTTTAAGCTAATACAGGTATAAAATATTCTTTAAAAAAACTACCCTGCATATTATACTCTATTTGAAACATAATCCAATAATAAAGCTGTGAGAGTATAGCATATTTATCTTTTTGATACAGTACCTCTACATCCCTGCTCCTGGCCACCTCAGAGAAGTTTTCTTGTTGTTCAAGAGTCTTGTCCACCTTATCATCAGTCATGCAGAAACATCTTAACCTGGCTTCAATGGGGTCATGGGATTTGGCAAACACTACAAATTTGGCCATATAAGGTACACAAATAATTTCTCTATATACTTGTGATGCAAAGGTAACAGATTCTTGGATCTGTCGACAATCTATCAGCCAGAATCTATAAAAGGAAAGGAGAGCAATTATGTAAAGTTTAAAATAAACCCCTTGAAAACACATCGACCTTATGAGCAATGGAGCCATCAAATATTTCTTAGGAAAAGAAGGAAATGAAAGAAGGGGATAATAACCAGAAGGTGAAGGAAAGGGAAGAAGAAGGAAGAGCCTATGAAGTCAGGTAGCAAAAGAAGTACAAAAGGGGAAGAGAACAAAGAGAAGAGATAAAGATGTATCAGGATTCTCAGACCAACTATTCAATGTTATATTTGTTTTTCTTCCTTACAAACTCTTCTTTGTATTCAGTTTTCTGCAAAGATCTTTAGTGTTTCAGATTCATTTAGATTCATAAGTCCAGTATGGGAGACTTTATGGTATATGTGAATGAGGTCCTATTATTTTCCCTGCTTACCACTTTTACTTTTTGTTGTTATTGTTATTGTTGCTCTGGTTCTGGGGCTTGAACTCAGGGCCTAGGCATTGTCCCTTAGCTTTTGCACTCAGGGCTGGTGCTCTATCACTTGAGCCACAGCTCCATTTCTGGCTTTGTGGTAGTTAATTGGAGGCCAGAGTCTCATGGCCAAAGCTTGGACTGACTTTGGACCTTGACCCTCAGATCTCAAGCTCTTGAGTAGCTAGGATTACAGGCATGAGCTCCCAGTGCAGGCCCCTCCTACTTTTAATTTCATGTCCTGATGCTTTTTGACAGTAAGTTCTCAGCTTTTCCTATAGCCACATTCTTTCCCAAGGACCTTTCCAGTCCTCAAGATTAGATCAACTCTACCACTTACAAAAATCTTCTCTAGAATGTTCAGGGAGTGCTGAGTAGATTTCAGAGAATAAATTATTGGCTTCAGATGTATGATTTCCAGACTCCACGAAATATGAGATGATGTTGGGAGGTTTTTGTTTGAATGTCATTTTTCTCAGTACAATAATGTTGCTAAATATTTGCAAACTCTCAGAGCTTCACTTAACCACAGGTTCTTAAAAAAAAGAGATAATTTCATGGAGAGAATGAGATCAACAGGTAGACACTTTTCCAACTTTCTATTTATAGACTTCCGAAGATGTATTCCATAATGTCTTCTATTAAATCTTTCTCCAACGATTATTCTCTTAGTCCTGATTCTTTTCATACAGTCTTCAACATTCCTAGAGATCTTCTTATCCAGTTAAACCTCTCTTTCTTTCAAAAAATTTCATCTATCTCTCTTTCAAATTGTAACAAAATATGCATAACCAAGTTTCCCATTGTAATCATTTTAAAGAGCATTTTATCCAGGCACTGGTGAATCACACCTATAGACTCAGTTCTTCCAGAGGCTAAGATGTGGAGGATCACAATTTGAAGCAAGCTCAGGCAAAAAAGTTCACGCAACTCTTCTTTTCCCAAAAATAATCAGTCAAAAGTCAGTCTGGAAGCATAGCTCAAGGGGTAAAATGACTTCACAGCAAGCATGAGGCTCGTAAGTTCAAACTCCAGGACAGCAAAAAAAGAAGGCAAAAGAAGTAGTCATTTTGTGGCATTAGAATGTGATGTATGATTGACAGAACACACTGACTGAAACACCTGTTGGCTCAGTAGCTCTACCCTGCGCATGAACTATTCCAACACACCTTGCTTGTGGTGTGTCCTATTACTCAACCATTTCTGCATTTCAATCTTTTCTTCCCTGGCTCATAGAAATTAAGTGGTGTGTGTGTGTGTGTGTGTGTGTGTGTGTGTGTGTGTGGTGTGTGTGTCTGTGTGTCTGTGTGTTTAATTCTGAGGCTTGAGCTTGACTTCTCCCTTCTGCTTGGCTTGCTTACTCATGGCTGGTGTTCTATCACTTGAACCATGCTTCCTGTCTGAAATTTTGCTGGCTATTTGAAAAGGAAGTCTTTTGGACTTTTCTATCTCTGCTAGTTTTGAACAGTGGCCCTCCAGGTCTCAGCCTCCTGAGTCATTAGGATTACAGGTGGGAGACTGGCTAGAATTTAAGTTTTAACTGCTCCCATCTGTAAAATGAATGTGTGAAGGTGTGGTTTGTTGTTCCACTTCAGTTATGCACTCCTCGTAATATCAAATTAAAACCATGAAGATGCTTAACATTCAATTAAAGACCATACCAATGGGAATTTAGAATCAAAACCTGAGTTAATGTGTGGTATATTATATAAAACAAGGTAGCTTCAGCTTTTTGAGATATGAATAAAGGTATTTAAGACATAACTAGATAATATGCAAATGTGTTAGGTTGTATAAGAATCCTCTGAGATCTTTGAGCAAACAACAGGGAGTTGTGTTTGTGTTGCTGAATCAGCAACTGAGGCTATTTGGTTAACAATAGAAAATTTCTCATTCCTAAGACCTCTGAGACTGGAAAAATCAGTTGTGACTGTAAAACCACAGCCAGAGTTATCGAATCACACAGCCAAAGCAAACAGGCACTTATTTGCCTTCAATTTCAATCTGATGAGTAGGTCTTTGTTAGTGTATTGCTGGTGTATTACCTGACAGATGTAGTTCAAAATGAGAAAGTCATTAAACAAAAATGTCATTAAAATCAAACAAAAAAATCACTTTTAATGAATTAAGAGAAAAAAAAATAAAACAACAATAAAAATTTTTAAAAACCACCAGTGGGTTTGGGGGAAGTTGTGGAAACAGCATGGAGTTTTCCACTTGCCTGGCAGACACGTTGGTGGTGAAGGAAACACACTCATTGACGAACGTGAGCGGCGTGGTTCCTGTGATGTCTTCCCACTGCGCAGGGGTGGTTCCACCTGAAACAATACGAATGTGAAAGGAAGTTAGGCCAGACTCCGGACTCTGGGCCGTAAAGACAAGTCACCGATTCGCGCTGTGTTCACCAGTCCCATCCCTCATCCCCTTCAAAATACACATCGAAAGCAAAATGAAAAGCACAAAAATCTGCAGGCCAAAACACGAACATTGGGGGATTATAAAGAAAAGCAAAAGACTCCCCAGTACTGACCACTGTTGGAACACTTAAACTTCAAAGCCTTAACAATCTTTTATTGTAATTTCTGGGCTCCGAAGATGATGTTGAACAGTATGTAATTGACTATTTTAAGAGATCTGCTAGCTAAATAAAAAGATGGAAACCTCCTTCAAATAATCTAAATATTCTCTTTTTTATGAACCTCCTATTTCATGCAAGTGTTTTCAAAAAATGAAAAAAAATGTTTGAAAAACATTAAGAGCTCAATAGATGCTACAGGGTGAATGAATGAAAGAGTGAATGAATAGCTTTGGTTGGAGGGCATGGCTCAAGTGGTAGAGAAGCTGGAGAGAGAAGGAGGGAGGGACGAAGGGAGAGAGAAGGAGGAGGAAGGGAGAGAGAGAAAGAGGGAAGGAGGGAGGTACAGAGAAATATTACATGATGATCTTTGTCCACAGGAATCCCCATGAAGGCTAATGACCTATTTTACTTCTACTAAGACATTAAATTTCCAGATGAAAACAAAAAACAATCAAAGAATACAAGCAAGGTATGTCTGGAATGAAAAAAACAAATCTCTTGACTGCAAAGTTTCTTAAAGAAGAGAGTCACTTATCAAACACAAAGTTATGCAAGCTTATTCTAGTAAGTTTTAAAATATGCCCACACCCACTCCCTCAGACTGCCGCCAAAAATACTTAGCAGAAATTATATAATATAGCAAAATACAAATATCCAAACGCTTAGGTATTTTAAGTTAATGTAAATGTACTTATTATTTTTAAATAATTTTAATGAAGTGTAGAGAATTAAGTGTAGTTTAGCAACAGCCCATCTGAAGACACGACACAGGAATAAGTAGAATAAATGGCACCCATGCCCATATGACATCATCCTTGGTTATCACAAAGGCAGAGTTTGCCATAGACACTCTTCAGTCTCTACGTTTTCTCTGTGTATCATTATGCGTCTCATGATAGATGAGGAAGCTTCTTTGTTGTATAATCAACCACAGAACAGATATTATGGGAAAGTTAAGTAATGGCTGGGCAAGCATGATCTCTGAAGTAATCTTATGAGAAGCAAATGATTTATTTTCCCTACACACATTGTGGTCCATCAAAATCAAATTTCTGTCACCAAACTTTGGGGTCAAGCTTAATTGTTCTTTGTCTTGAAAAAATTAGAAAGAGACAACAAAAAATAGGGTTGAATATTTCTGTCAACATGAAGGAGACATTTTTTTAAAATTCAAATACAACTAAAACAACCAGGGATGTGTTATCCTTCCAAATGACCAAATATCAGCCAATCTTAAAGAACTCTCTCTGATTTTCCAAAGGTAATTCTATCTGCTGTTGTGATGAAGACAAAAACAATTCCTACATGGAACCATTTGGTTGGACTACTGAGTACAATAAAGATGCAACTTTTATTTTTCTCTCAAATGGATACAAGTCTTCAGTGAACACCGAAAGTCGGCCTTTGGAGGTGTGTGGGCTAGGGTTTGACCCTGAACCCTGTCAAGCAAAGTACAGATCTTTCTATGTTGGTTTAATGCTCAGCAAAATGAGGTTAAAATTTCCTTACAGAATTTCCCATATCAATTAAATAGTAATGTATGTAAGGTATCTAATAACTTGACAAGCACATTGCCTTTTACCATTTACTTTCCCTAATTAATTGAAAGTGATTTTCCTGATTTGTTGCATGGAACCCAACAGACATCTTATACCGAAAGTAAGTTAATGAATACTTAAAGTTTCTTCATTTAGAGTTCTCTATTAACATAGCCCTATGCGACTCACCTGTGATACTGCATAGCAATCTTAGGGTTGGTGCATCTCCCCCAAAACCATTCAACATGACGTCACTTGAAGCTTTGGGGACTGGAATGGTCATGGTGATTGGCTTATGGAATTTTCTTCTTCTAGGTTCCAAGGTGACAATGGGGCTGAAGGTAGCTTTGTTTCCTAAGATCTTCTTAACAAGCTCACTGTGCATGGGCTGAGCCTTTCAAAGTAAAGAGACACATTAAACTAAACTATGTATCCTTACACCTAATGCCAAATGTCTTAGCCAATATATTGCTTTTCATCTCACAATTAGCTTGGTAGACTTCAAATATGGCAGCCATAAAGATTTTTTTCCACATTATTTCCTCACTTTTATTGATAAACAGAAGTAAATATGTGGAAATACAGGGACTCTGATCAACATGTTTGAATCAAGTGGTTTGTTGGAACATCATTTTTGATTTACTTAATTGTTATTATAAAGGTGATGTACAGGAGGATTACAATAACATGAATCAGGTAATGAGTCCATTTCCTTCTGTTTCCTCATTCTTGCCCACTCCCTCCCTCCCATCTCCACCCATGAGTTATATAGTTCATTTTCACCAGTGTCCAATGAGCAACCCTGCTGCACATTTCCACCCTTCTTCCTTTGAGTTCTGTGCCCTTCCCTCTCCCTTCCCAAAGATATACCTGTGAATACACCATACATAAGGTGAAGAAGACAGAATCATCAAAAACTAGAGACCAAGAAGAAGGGGGGGAAGAGAAGGTGGAAGGAGGAGGGGGTGGTGGTGATGGTGGTGGTCTTTTGATTCCATGTCTTGGAGTTCATTTTAGTACGTATATTAATTGATATACATACTAAATACTATTTCTGAGCATTCACATCCAACTTTGTCGGACTTAGGGTCTCTGATGGCAACTTTTGCTCAGTAAGGAATCATTTGATTCTCATTTGTAAGGGAAATGTTTAATTGTTGCGGGGGAAGCAGTCATGGAAGGAAGGATCCACTGCATTCCACGCGGGCTTACCTGGAGCCCCACTCGGATGCGCTTGGTCAGAGCCCCCTCCGGGAACACGGCCTGCACCTGGGGCACCACCGTGCTGCTGAGCACGCCTCCCTCCGGCCCGATCAGGTTGCTGTCCTGCTTGATGCGAGAGACCACCGCAAAGTACTGCGGAAAGTCCCGAGTGATGATGCGGCAGATTCGTTTCTTTTCAAGGTCTTCCGGGCTATCCAGCACTGAGACAAGAAATGACGCATCTGCATCTAGCAAGCATTTCCTTTAGCAAGCATCCTAGCAAACTCACTGAGCCGATGTAGAAGAAAAACTCGTTCCTATCTGAATAGGAAAAATAGCCAAAGCCAGGTTGCCTTCACAACAGAAGAAAATCAGTATTGGAACGTTTTATGGCCTGCCAGTGTTTAGCCTGCATATTTTCTTTGTGAAGGTGGCACTTTTCAGGGCCACTGTGAACGAGAGGATCTCATATTGTGTATGGGAGGGTGTTTGTGGGCAAACCAGCCCTGAAGATGAAATTGTTCTATTCTTGAATGCTGCACAATTTCTCCTTGCACAATTCAAAGTTACCTCAAGACCAGCTCTTCTACTTTTAAGAACTAACATAGCCCTTTTGCATTCCTAGGGAAACAGTGCAGGAATAAAAAAGGGTAAGGTTTATGTTCATACCTTTATACCAATGAGGTAGTTGTTTCTGTGGTTGTCACTTGGATATATCATCTAAGATCAAAGGCTGGGCTCTATATAAATTGTTTTAGTGTAGATATGTAGGGTAATACAAAGAAAACAGACTGGTTGAAAACACAGAATATTTGAACTAAATGGCTCACTGAATTTTAAGGGATTTGGAAACCGGTTCCTTTTTAGAAATAATTTTTAATTAATTATAACGGCATTGATAGTAACTATTTTTGGTTGACTGCTGGGTATGCAAGACTAGCTAGGAAAAGGCAAATGACCAAGATCTGATTATTTATAATCAAGGGCTGATACTCAGATAAATGTCTAGCATATGCTTATGAAAACAAAAACATACTTCCAAGCATACAAACACAAATATACACAAATCTGATTTTTTTTTCATTTCAAAAGAAACCTTTACATATATAGAAAGGTTGGTCCCCATTAAATGGCAAGATGCCATTACTCATGTCTATGTCAATGACAGGTAATCCTTCAGAAGAATATCCCAAATCAATGTGCTACCAAAACAAATGGCTCCCAAGAAGCTAAGTATTACAGGGGACAAGCCTTATCAGCAAGAACTCTGGAATTGTGTTTGATGGTACATGGCCAAAATCTCAGTACTTAGGAGGCTGAGGCATAAGTATCAAGAGTTCAAGGCTAGCCTGTGCTACATAGGAAGATTCTATTGCAAAATGAACAAAAAGAGAATTCTGATCACTTTGTTTGGAGGATTCTATTCTACACATTTAGAGAGCATACTTTATTTCTTCACACACCCCTAGGAAAGTAGTCTTTATTCTTTTTTTAATTCTCTAAAATTTTAATTGAAAAAAATGAAAACTTTATGAAATACTCTCCCCGGCCTGAGGTTGGTTCCCTCTGTCTTTGATTCTGGTTATGGTCCTTGTAATGTGTCTCCCACAGCCTCTGCGTCATTTCATAACCCACCAGAAAGGTTGAAGGGTTCTACTCAATTCACTTCCTTTGTTTTTAATTTTTATTGAGATTAAGTGTTTACATAAAATTTACAAATTTCACAGTGTTGTGAGATAGTGACAGTTAAAGTCACAAACACATTTTAACCTTCACAAGGAAAATGGTCATTATTCTGGTCTATAAGGTTTGTGAATTCTATGAGCTTTAACATGACAACTATTTGTTCCCACATCGGGTGCTATGTACATTTCTTTCCCTTTGCTTAGTGTGAGCTGTTCCTCTTTCTCTCTCATGACCTCCCTCCTATCGATGCCTTTGAGTTGTTTAGCCCATTTTCATCAATGTCCAGTACAACTGTTGTATATTCTAACCTCCACATTTAGTGAGCATACTTTATTTCTCCACACACCCTTATGAAGGTAGTCTTTATTCTTTTATTCCTTCTTCTATTTTTTATTTTATTTAGAGGGCATATTTTATTTTATTTTAAGGGCATATTTTATTTTATTTAGAGGGCATATTTTATTTCTCCGTATACCCCTATGAAGATGGTCTTTATTCTTTTATTCTTTAGTATATTCTTTATTCTTTTATTCTTTATTCTATTCTTTATACTTTATTCTCTTTAGCCACCTGAAGCTATCACCAGGAGTCCTGGAAGACTGAAAAACTTGACAAACAACTATATGTACCCTCACATGTCCATCAATGTACACAACTTGGTATGTTTTTTGGCATTTGGCAAGGGATTTGCCCTATTTTCTTTGTAGTGATTTAAAGTAGACTGTGCCGCAGAATTTGGTTAGTAGTGTTTCTCCATGTATCCTATGAAGGCCTAATATTTCAACTGTGCTTTTATAGAATAATACAGACTTGAGAGCTGCTCTAAACAAAAATCATGGTACCCAATTAGATATGATTGTGTGTGTAGGCTATTTAACCCTGCTCTGAGTTATAGGCAGAAGGATGAGTGAACTTAATTTTCATGTCTCTTTAATAATAAAATGTTAAAAAGAAATCTTATCCTCTAACATACTTTGTTAGATGCAACAATTCCAACAGAACACTTTAACACTCAGTTTCTGAGATTTAAAATTTCCAATTTGGCATTATAGTTTTGTTCATATACCGGGGCTTGAAATCAGGACATTTAAGAATTTCCAATTTGGCATTTTTATTTTGTTTTGTTCCAGAACTGGCGCTTGAAATTAGGATCTGTTTTAGATTTTTCACTCCTGTTTCTCTACCACTTGAGCCACAACACCACTTCTGACTTTTTAGTGGTTAATTGGAGATGAGAGTTTCATGGACTTTCCTGCCCAGATCGCTTTGAACCATAATCCTCAGATCTCAGCCTCCTAATTAGCTAGGATTACAGGTATGATCCATCAGCTCTCAGCCTCAATTCTAGTATTTTAAAAAGTCATGCTTTATTATCCAGTATCATCCATTTTGCTACAAAACAACATCTATTCTAATTTAAGATTCCAAAAAGTTTTACTAAATACAGAAGTGCTTTGTAGCTCCTTATTAGAAGAGGCATTAGCTGTCTTACAGAATTTTCTTTTTCTTGAATATAACAGAAGCAAGATTAGGTGAACCCATGACATGCATTCCAACACATCACGTCGGAACACAGCAGAGATCCTGCTTGTAGCCGAACAAGGCATACACCCACACACCTAAGTTAAAAGGAAGAAATACATCATTTTTATGCATCTTTTAAAATCCTCCTCTGAAGTACCTTCATCCATGCCATTAAGAATCTCATTCAGCTCATCTTCAGTGTAGTCACAGAAATGTTCTTTCCAGTTGTCCCCATTCTCACTGCGCAGGACCACAAGTTCCCTCTCCTTCCCTCTAAGGGCGGCAAAGTGCGGGATCTCCACGATCACAGGCCTGACATAACAATGCAGAACACTGAGTGTGGACAAGAACTAACCCACAGTAAGACAAACACCTCGACCCTGTCTGTTACAAAGTGACCTGGAATTCTGCTCTTTCTGGGGACAGGGACATAGCGGGCTGTCCTCCAGAGCCCGGTGATTAGCAGATGGTGGTGCAGTAGCTCTCCACCGCAGGGCCACCGATCCTTAGGTACATGCTGCAACTATAAGCCAAATGACATTTCCTTGTGAGTGCATGTGGCATTCTGGAACTTCTCCTTTGATCAATGTAGGTAGAACACATTTAACCAAAAGAAATGTGCATGCATATCTAGGATGTATGCCAATCTCCTGAAACATTTTCTACGAAGTGCAAAAATAAAAAAAAAAAAATGACAAAATGGTTTACGAGAAGGGAAATGGCTCATACATTGAAGAAGTCGATGTGTTCTAAATGAGATGCCAAAAAGGTAGATTACTTGTGCTAATGAGCCATGCACTTAGGGTTTTGTCTATAGTTACTTCAAAGAAACAATAGGCATGTGTACACACATAGTATGGCTTGTCAGAAATGTGTCCAATGCCTATTATGTTCAGGATTCAGAACATGCACCATCCTACAATTTTTTAATAGCACATTCATCCTCAAAAAAAAATTAGAGAGGGGCTTTCAATTGTTTTTTTTTTTTTTTGAGTCCAGGTTGCTTTGATACAGACTCCAAACTCATTATAACCACATTGGAACTAGCACAGAGTATAGCTAGGCAGACCTCATGCTTGAACGAAAATGAAGATCACAGCACTTAAAGGGGAAAGATATAGAAACATCACTCAAAAACAAAAAACAAAAACAAAAACAAAAGTCACATACCACAAGGGTCAGAAATGGTCCACTCGAGATAGATTATACAGAATTTAAATCATAGAGAGAGGGACATGTCATGGGTCACAATGACAAGAAGAGAAATCATATTGCAGAAGGAGGAGAAGAATGGGGGGGCCCAGCAGCCATCAATTTGTTTTAAGTCACTCCTACCCAAGGAATTTGGTTCCAGGAGGCCCCAGCTGAAGGATGCGGCTGACCAGACTTTCTCCCTCATTAAGTGGGGGAGGAGCCGTTGGCAGGTGAAGTTTACTGAGAGTACATCCAAAGCAGCAGTGAAAGAAAGAACATAAGTGAGCTTCAGGTGTCATCGTCCACAGAACCCCAGCATCACCAGCTGATGCACAGGGTGACTTTGGGTGTCACCTTGTGTGTGGTTCTGCTCTCTCCATTGGTCCACAAAGAGCAAGGGACAGAGAACCCAGAGTGGACAATGGAGGTGCGTCTGTGGCCAGAAGAGCACTGGGCTGTCAGATAGGTCCTTAATTAGATTCACTGCCAGGGCACTAGCCAACCAAAAAAAAAAAAAAAAAAAAAAAAGTGGGAAAAAAAATGTTTCACAAAGCTGTTGGGAATATAAGAAAAATTCTGCTCTGTCTAGAGGCCAGATGTTTTCTGAATATTTCCCAACAGATTTGAAGATTTATTTTTTTAAGGCCCTACAGCTACCTGAGCGTGTGGGCAAAAAAAAAAAGGGTGTGGGGTGGGGAGGGGTCCGAAGTTAGAATATGAAAAGAATCATCAGCGATCTCTCCAACCTTAATGATCTTTCCCAAAGCACCCCAAAACTTCACAGGCTCCTAAAGCACTGATCTGCCTGATGGGAGGGTACGCAAGGGTGATTTTTGCAATAGGCACATATTGGCACACCTTTTTTGCAGTAGGAGAGTAATTTGGGACAACTTGTGAACCGTTTGCTCCAAATTACAGCCTTTAGAACATCTCCCAAGTTCTAAAGTAAGAAATCCTCTTCCCCACCAGGCAATGACAATGGACAACATTTCCTCCAGTTTTTTCAGTCGCAGAGACTTGAGGTGACAGACTTAAATACAATTGATTGGTTTCAAAAAGAATTTGAAACTTGTCCCCGCTCCAAAACTTCATCCTTGTGTCCATTTTTATTTTAACAGTTGTTGTTCATTTCTTGACACACAGAGATGCCATTTCATAAAAAAAACAGCAGTCATACAAACCAACAGAAGAGAAAACAAAGCTGCTCGAAATTGCCAAAAAATAAAAATAAAAAAACCCGTGCGTGGCGAAAGGGAGCATTGATGTTTTCTTCTCAACACCAGCTGAGGCTACCTAAGCAGTTAGGGTCCTTTTCAAGCTTAGTGTAGCAATTTTGATAACAGAAAGGAAAAAAAATAAAATCACACAAACAAAATCTTTCCATAGTCTCTAAAGGCAACACTGTTCTTCAAAGTGAAGAGAACAATACTGTTTCATAAATTTGGGCTTGGAATAGACCAAGTTGTTTTTTGTTGGTTTTTTTTTCTTTTCTTTTCTTTCTCTTTTGCTGGGTCTGGGACTTGAACTCGGCCTGGGTGCCATCCTTGAGTCATTTTGTACTCAAGGCTAGTACTCTACCACTTGAGGCATAGCTCCACTTCTAGCTTTTTTTTCTGAGTAGTTTATTAGAAAAATGAGTCTCCTGGACTTTCCTGGCTGGACTGGCTTCAAACAGCAATCTTCAGATCTCAGCCTCCTGGGAATGATAGGCATGAGCTATTGATGCCAGTTTTGTTTTTCTTTTCTTAACACTTTGACACTTAAGTCTCAGTTGAGAAAAAAAAATTTTTTTTACAGCTACTAACACATTGAAAGAGAAAAAAAATAATAATAAACTTGAATGTTTAACCTTTTCCTGCCCGGAAGTAATAGGCGGATAGCTGGCATCAGATCTCACTTGTGCTTCTTAGAAATATGGCAAGGCACCAACCTTCTTCCCCAAGGGAGTGACGTACCTGTGGCATTCCATCCTAGGGATTTCATTGAGGGACACAGTTCATCGGTGATTAAGTAAGAGGCTTAGCAGAAACCCTTACCCAAGGAACTGAGCACCAGAGGGTCCAACTTCGATCAGGCGACTGGCCAGGCCTTCCCCTTCCACCATCGGAGGCATTGTCGCCAGTCTATGGCGTTTGACCAGCCGGCAGGTAACTCGTGTTGGGGCTGTGCATTTCCGAGGTGGAATAATGATTCGGAGCCCATTGTGTCTGCATCCTCTCATAGCACCGCCTCGGGCATCCACCATAAAACTAACCAGGAAACTAAAAGGTCAAGAAGGAGGGAGATTAAATATGTGTTGAAATCGAAGAATAAGCAAGCTTTGCGCAGTTAACTTTTTTTTTTCATAAAGTTTGTTCTCAAACATTTCTTTTTAGTCGGATGGCATGGTGGTAAAACCTTTGATTTCAAATTTTATTTTTTTATTTATATTGTTTTAATCATGTATCACTGCCATTTGTTACAAAATGACAATCCCAATCTTTGTCAGTAATGTTGAATATTAACTGTAAAATTAAAAATAGATCTAACTGAGTTTGAGAGAAACTGGGATGGAATTATATGACGTTCATTGACAAGTTTTCTTTTGTTATCAACACAAAGTCTTCTGAATCCTCCTATCTATGTCCCAAATAATCCTCACATTAAAATAATGGAAGCATAGATCAAAGAGGAAAGACTGAATTGCCATTTTTCTAAATTAATTCAATTTGGCTTTTCAGAATTATATATTGTCTAGCCCACTGTCATACAACTCCATGACTTTAAAAAGTTTTAAGTACTTCCTTCCAGTCATGCCAATACCTCTTGTTTCAACGTCATCTTATACAAAATGATATTGAACTCGTTGTTTCCTGACAAAGGTGAAAAGCAAACAGCTCAATGCTGGGAATAGAAGTTATCTGCTACTTACAAGAACATTTTCAACAAATTTTTGCTGGGATCTCCCTGACATACCATTTTAATTGAAAGAGAGGGAATGAGATCGGAGACTATTAATATACTTACTCTTTGTTCTGTTTCTGAAGTATAACTTGGGTGGGAAGCTCTGGTCTCATGCTAGTGGGAGATGTCTATTAGGATTTTCCCCCAATGTATAGTCAACTGAATGTGGAAAGTCATAACTTGGTAATATAATTGCACCTATTAACTTTGACTCCACTTATTTTAAGTGCACCAAGAGAAATTTTCTGAATTTATCAGTTGTTTCCTTTGAATGATATGATTGAGCTTGAAGCCTTGTCTCTTTATGAATCCTTACCCTCTCTGGCACTCAGTTTCTCAAAGATCAAAGGATTAAATAGCACAATAATTTAGTCATTGTGCACACATACACAGACACACACAGTGTGAAGACTGTTAAACAACAATACCAATGTCTTTCCCATTTTCACTGCATTTGCAAGATCTCTACACCAAAACAACAATAAAATAAAAGCAACATATAGGTGTCTCATGGGTCTATTTATAACTACTAGCAACAGAACCAGATTTGACACCTAGATATTGCTTCTATGACAACATGGAGAACACTTGAAAGGGTTTTATTTGTTGTTGTTTTTTGCCAAGTAAGTTATGGGATAGAAACACAATACATTGATGTTATTCTTAGACAAGGGAGGAGGAATATCTTTAGCGTCTTCTTCATAACAGAATACAGAATTCATTAAGCATGCCATTAAACAGAAATCCAGTTGCTAGTAATAAAAAATGGGTGTGAAAGAACCCAAAGTGCCCATCTGAAGCACGACATGCAGGATGAGATCACAAGAGGAGCGGCAGCCCTCGGCATGCATAGCCAGGCAAGGTCTACCATTCATCCCCAGCCTCTGAGCTTCTAGACAGGGACTAAGTCCAGAATTGAGTCAACAGTTCATATGGAAGTGTCGATACTTCTGTTCTTTATTAAACTACCATGAAAGACTGAGGATGGATAGCTCAAGTGGTAGAGTACTTGGCTAGCTTGTGCAATGCTCTGGGTTCAATCCCTAGTATTGAAAGAAAAATTTAAAACAAGAAAAGGAAAGAGATAATGCTGATATTTTTCTTATTACTAGGCGTTATTAAGAATTCTTTAAAAAGTGTATTTGACTTCCAAATGTACGATGATTCAAAGGAGTAAGTAAAAGAATGGATAGAACTTCTAGATGGATATGAAGATTTCATTTACATTCTTGAATAGGATATATTTGCATTCATTTTTGTTGGAAAGTAGGAGAAAATAAGCTATGTTTCCATTAGAGATGTCTTCAACTAGCAATGCTTCTACATTCACTGCAATATATATTTCTGATTCATGGACTCTTTTGAATTGTTTGATTTCTATATCCATGGGCAAACAGAATAAGGATTGTAGCTAGAATTCTAATACACTGCCTGCTGCAGTCAGTACTCTATAGCATCAATACCTTTTGATGCACTTAAAAAAATTCCACACTCATCTTACGTGCTATTACAATTCCACTATATGAATTCCAGTAATGGCTTACGGCCTCTATAAGATCAACACTCCATCCAGCAGAACACGGAGAATATTACTGATGACTCACTCCCTACAGAATGAGTCCAAGTAACCATGTACTTGACTATAACCGTGTTTATATAATTACCTTAGATTACATCCCTGAGTTTCTGTCACTGAAACTCTCATTTTATTTTATTTATTCCATACCTCTTTCCATGTGAACTCTGCCAGGTACTCCACTAATAACAGTCACAGTCAGTGCTGCCAAGAAGCTCAGAGTCTAAGCCTGGATTTCATAGAAAGGTTTCATCATTGTTAACTTCCTGGTCAATGAGACGTGACCTACGGTCTCACCTAGAAGCCATCTAAGAACCATAATGTCAGAGACCATGTCCTCCATGTTTTTCATGCCTAATATAGTATGTATAGAACACACAGTTGGGGGGGCTGTCATAAACTAATTTTTGAATGAGTGAATCAATGAACAAAGAAGTGAAAAGGTGAGTAGTAAGAAGCTGTGTATGTTTATATCTAACACTGGGTAAAAGTAGGAAGTGAGTTAATTCTTTGGTCTCTGGTCAATTATTCCAATCAGAATCCATTCAATTTACTACATTGATACAGCAAAGAAGGTAGGAAGTATTATTCCTACTTTTTAAATATACTGACATAATTTTTATTAGAGGACGTGTAGAGGGGGAGGAGAAAGTAAACAAAACCAAAAGGTTGACTCTAACATAAAGAAACAATTGGAAAGAAGTATCATATGAAGAAAGGCCAAAGATGAGGAAATCAAAATAAAATACTTGCAGAAGGAAGCTGTGAGGAGTGAAATTTGCCTGCAATTATCTTTGTGTCATTACAGGCCAGGAAAACAGTATTTAAGTATTGCATCATATGCAAGTGAATCAGAAAAATTAAATGCCTTGTGCAGGGGAAAATTAAGTTTCTAAAAAAAAAACTTGGTGTTTTTATTAAGTAAATAGAGAAGTGACATGAACTAACAGAAAATAACACATTCAAGTGAGGAAATTTTCTTTAGAGAGAGTGAGAGAGAAGAGGGAGAATGAAGTAAAAGAGAAAGATTTCAAGAAAAAAAAAAGGAAAGACATGGAAGAACTAAGTAGGAGCAGTCAAAATGAAAAAAAATGCTTATAAATCTAGCAAGAAAATACTCTAAACAAACTAGACTCATGATATAACTGGTACATAAAATGTACAGTATATGGGATTGCACACCAAAGGAGGTTTTCCTTTAAATAAGAAAGAATGGGAAAAAATAATGACTGAAGTTTACCACTAGCTGCCAATGAAGTCTATAGGTAAAGGTCCATATGCTTATTTGACTTCAGTAGTTCACATTTTAAAACTGAGTATTATTGGATTGTTTCCTCAAAAGTATAATATGATGGGCTGGGAAGGTAGCTCAGTGGTAAAGCGCTTGCCTTGCATTCATAAGGCCCTGGGTTCAATTCCTCAGCACCACATAAGCAAAAAGAAAAAAGCCGGAAGTGGTGCTATGGCTCAAGTCGTAGAACGCTAGCCTTGAGCTGAAGAGCTGAGGGACAGCGCCCAGGCTCAGAGTTCAGGCCCCACGACCGGACCACCCCCCAAAAGAAGTATAATATGAAAAGGTGCTACTTGGACAAGTATTTGAAATAAGGAATGTCTATTCTGAATGTACAAAGTAGCAACAAGGAAAGCAAAGTGTAAGAGATGCTTTGCCTATGTGGAACCCAGGTTGAAGAGAAAGGTTTGGACCTTTGAGTCATGACTCATTAATTTATCCGCATACTAGAGTTGATTGAATAAATATAATTTTCTTATGTGTGAGGAATATTAAAAATGTATGTGACCTGGGTGCTTGCAGCTCACATCAGTAGTCCTAGCTACTCAGGAGGCTGAGATCTGAGGTGTGAAGCCAGCCAGGGCAGAAAAGTCCATGAAACCCTTATCTCCAGGTAATCACCAAAAAGCCAGAAGTAGAGCTGTAGCTCAAATGGTAGCGTGCTAGCCTTGTGCAAGAAAGCTCAGGTATAACACTTAGACCTTGAATTCAAGCCCCAGGATAGGTATAAATAAAAGCAGAGAGAGAGGGCATGTGATCCTGCCTGAAATCATTTGGAGATGAAAAGAATTGAAGAGCATAATACTGGAGATGGTGTGTAAATTGAATTAAAACCTCACTCTATAGTCCCTAGGTGTAAGACTGAAGCCTCTCCTGTGCAGACGGCTAATTGTAAAGTCCTGATAAAGTAAGTTATGTGTGGATAAAGCAAATAGGATTCAATACATGCTTGTTATTGTTTTGAATATCTTGCAAATTAAAGCATGTATAATACATCTCCTAAAACTAGGACAACTAACACTTACTGAGAATTTGTGCATATTCAAATTTGTGCATGGTTCAATATGGCAATGGAGTATTTATCTGCTCTTTAAATAAAACATAAAAATATTAGTATCCTAGAGCAGAGGAGAACATGGCCTAGACCATGTTCTTTTCCAGGTCTAGACTGTCTGTCTTGAATTTGGAAACCATTGAATTTTGCTCTCTCATCCATAAAACAAGAGACTACCAGACCAGCTCTAAGTTTCCTCCTGGTATTAAAAATGCTAAGTATAGTTAAGTATTAACTAGGTTAGAAACCCTACTTAAAAATAAGTGGTCCATTTCAGATGCTCTGGAAAAACTGCATGTCAGAAAATAATGTCTTTAAGAAATATGCATCATTTTGCTTGATGGGTAACAGTGTTTTGCTGGAAATTGCTTATATATTGCACTCAACATCAAATTAAGATTATACAGACAATAAAAAAAGAAGAACAAAGAAAAAAGAAAAAAAACTATCAGGTCTCCTGGCTTTAATTGCACATCTAACTTTCCAAATGAAATTCAGCAATCATGCAAAAGTAGGAAAAAAATAAGGAAGTTTTCTAAATTGTGAGATACCAGGTTATCACAATTTAAAAAGAATAAAAGCAATCGCAATATGTCTTTTATTATGCAGATGACTTGCCCACAGATACACAAGTCGATTAGCTAAACAGGTTCATGCTTCAGAGGAGGCAGAAAACATGGACTCAGTCTTCAGAAGATTATATCCTCCACCCCAAAAGTTACTGACATTTAAGTTTTACTTTTAATTCATCCAGGGCCATGGGGAGTAGGAAAAGAAGATTGCAGCATTCAGAGTTAGTGACAGGTGAAAGAACAAGAGGAAAAAAGATCATCAGGGTGCTTCAGTGATCTACAAATACATAGCAAGAGAGCTGCCAAGTCATTCCAATTTTCCATGAGCTCTGAGAAAAAGACTATACCATGCTCTTCACCCCTCCTAACTCTCCACAAATTAAAATTTTAAAAAACGGATAAAAATAGATTTTTAAAAATGTGATTTCAGTTTGTTACAATTGCCAAGTAATTAAAGTCAATTGCTTAGGTGGATGTGTGCCAAAATGTAATATTTAGAGTGTGTTGGAGAAAAAACAAAAGGGTAGCCACAGGATGTTTTAAAAACTGAAAATATAAACTTACCTTACTGTAAAATGATAAAATGTGGTACATGTGGGATGACTACAATAAAAATACTTATAACCAGTAGATGCGAAGAAATACTTAAAAATAACTTTAAGTAACAAAAGACCATGGTTATTTTTAGAATGCTAACTTGAGTCTTTCTATAGCACCATCTCAAAAAAAATTTAAAGGTTGCACTTAAAGCAGTAATAGCAAGGAAAGGCACTATTAATAAACCTTCAGCCTTTAATTTCCCTAAAATATGGCGAGACAAAGTGGGGGAAAAAAAACACTTTTCCTGAGTGCCACTTAAAATCACAACCTTTGGTAAAACTTTAAAATAAATGCACAAATGGCCATAATTTGGGGGAATAAAATTGTTAAGCTCTATGCAGCAATTTTTTTTTCTCAACCCCTTCCTGCCCCACAAAACTAGCAAGCAAACAACAACAACAACAAAAACCTGAGATGTGAAGACCATGACTCAGACCAGCAGAGGTTTAAAAAAATATATTTTGGCCCAGCTCCAACTCATGTTCACTACCATTAACCATGCCTACTTTTCCTTCGCAGAGAAAGAAAAGGTGAGCAATACTCAGGACTAGAAGAACTTGACTTGCTGATTCTCTTTGGCTAGGTATCTTCCACACTAAAGCATCCTGAGACGGGGGATAGGCAGAAGGAGATGGCAAAGGAGGAAGGAAGAGAAAGAATTATGCAGAAGTTCACCTGCTGTTGTCACGATCAAGACATGGAGAGGTACGGCTGAAACAGAATAGATACTTTAGCACAGAGAAAGAATGGAGAAAGTGAAAATATAAAGAATGAAACCAGAAGTGACTTTTAAACCAAGGTACATAATTCATATACCAACACACTATTCATCAGTAAAAAGATGGAAATACAAATGAGATACAGCTCTATGCAAATGCTGAGAGATGAACAAGGTATATGTGACTTATTTCCAGTTTAGGACGCTGGGGGGTTGTAAAATCACTGGATAGGTAGCCTTATTCAACACTGGCTCATGGTGGCACTTCATGGAATCTGTGTGCACGGAGCTACATAACATCAAGAGATGCAGGGAGTGAAAAAATAGCAAGTCTTTGATTTGATAGATACAGTTTTGACTCAAAAGCTCTTCATTCAGCCTTCTAATACTTTTTTTAAAAAAAATGATAATGCCCTTCTTGTGATCACAAAAAAATGCAAACAGAAAAGGCACAATTTAAGGCATAACTTTGATGACAAACATCAGAATAGGTAACATCATTATTTTTTTTTTTCTTTAGGATGTCACTCCTTGCATTGGGAATTGGGCCTGATATCTAAATCCAACTTCTGGTCCTACCTTTCCTTCTTCTACCCATGAGTTTGCTCTTCCTTAAAATCCTCCATGAGTTTCTATATAGTTTACTCATGTTTTCAACATTTAATGAGAGATAAAAATATTCATAAAGCCAGAAGGTAAATGGCTCATGCCTATAATCCTAGCTACTTAGAAGGCTGACATCTGAGGATCCTGGTTCAAAGCCATCCCTAGCAGGAAAGTCTATGAGACTCTTATCTCCAGTTAACCACCAAAAAGCTAGAAATGGGTCTGTGGTTCACATGGTAGAGTGCTAGCCTTTAGCACAGAAAAGCTAAAGGATAGTGTCCAGGCCCTAAGTTCAAGCCCAGTACTGCTTTAGAAAAGTATTCATGGTCAACTTACCAGAAATCCAATCTTACTGCATACTTTGCTTTGTTACTTTATAAAGGAAAACTTGGGGAGGCGGGGGTGGAAAGTAACAAGTATAAAAACCCAAAAGAATTTGCCTGTGTGTATCTTAAAGAACACCCAATGTTATATGAAATATGTGAACAACCAATTTAACTGATGTAAGTACTTAGGCAAACTTTTAAACTGCCAGGTGAAATAGACTTAACTTGCTTGCTGCATGTCAGATATTTCCTTAACTGAGCAAGTATCTCCAACATATTTTAAAAATACTCTATTCTTTAGAGTCTGTGGTTCATAGTCAAATTGTCTTCAACATGTTTTGAAAGATCACCATTGTATGGATTTATATTACCATAGTATTTTATAGCACAATGCCATAAGTTGACTTTTAATCGGTGGCACTTGGCTGTCATTAAAACACTATGAAAGTAAAGAAATTTGGAATAACAATATATAAAATATAAAAAGAATTACTAAGCTGATCCATTATATATTTATAAAGTGAAGCAGACTAGAAAATTCAAATTTGCCCTAGCTTAGGTTTATATGATCATGACTTATAGTGCTAGGAAAAGCTGATGATTAGATTCATGGTGTTTCAATGTGGCAACTCCATAAAGAAGAAAAAAATGGTACCATCAGTCTTTAGTCAGACTGGCTGTATTTAGTGGACATAGAAGAGTCGAGTCACTTCACTCATTTCTTCTCTTGCCATGAGCTTTAGTCTTTGAAAACATGGAACAGAGGTAAACTAAAATCACCAGTCCTGCTTTCTGGTAAAAGCAGCACCATTTATTAACCTAAGTTAACTTTATTAAGTTTAATAGAACATTATCAATCTATATGAAAATCTAATTGTATAGTAGTCAAGTTTATCAATAGTAAAGTTTAAGAGTCATTTTTCCTCTATATTTTGACAGGTTGTGAAGTTGTTCAAGAATAAATTCAATTAATTAAAGGGAAAGCCAGTTCTTATAAAAGTTACTATGCAGAAACCTGATACATAATGAATAAAATTACAAGAAATCACTGTTGTCTGACATGATATGAGGAATGCTATTTATATATAGTAAGATTATGTTAATTTTCAAATACCACCACACTTAGGATCTTTGAGGTTTCCACATAATTTCTCATCAGGTTAGAAGCATCTATGGCATTGTGTTGTTGAAATACTATAGTAGAAACACTAATACATGATGGATTACATAAGTAAAAAGTCAAATATTACAATTACTAATTGAATTAATTGGTTTTGTCATTTTGAGTCTTTGGGGTACATTTTGCTTAACTAATCTGCAACTTGTGAAAATTTTGGAACTTGGGTCTAGGGATTGTATAAACATTTACAGCTATATGCTGTTGAGTATTCATTTTCCTGAGGTAGGTAATGATTATTTAGGAAGTGTTTTATCTATGGATTTAATGACATAGAACTAATCTTACAGATAAGTAAACTGAACTGCAGAGATGTCACATGACTTGTCCTCAGTGTCACATGTGGAGTATTAGCATCATGATCTAAACTCTGATTAGTCTGGCCCTAATACACACTATTAACCATTACATTTCTCTCTGACTAGCCCCTGTACTTCTCATCATAACATTCTGTGTGTGTGTGTGCGTGTGTGTGTGTGTGTGTGTGTGTGTGTGTGTGTGTGTGTGTGCTAGGCTTGAACACAGGGTCTGGGGCACTGGCCCTGAGCTTTTTTGTTTTGCTCAAGGCTACTGCTTTACCACTGGAGCCACAGCTCCACTTCTGGTTCTTTGGCAGTTAATTGAAGATGAGTCTCTGGGACTTTTCCTGAGTAGCCAGGATGACAGGCATGAACTGAACTGAACTACTAGCAACTGGCCTTGAATCAGAGTTGAATTCTTTATTTTACTCTCAATCCACTGCTTCGGCCTCCTGACTGCTGGAATTATAAGAATCCACCACTGTACTACAATCAAGTTTAAAATAAATTATTCATATTAAAAATTACCATAACATGACTTTTTTTTTGTCGGTCATGGGGGTTGAACCTCTGGGCCTGGGTGCTGTCCCTCAGCTCTTCAGCTTAAGGTGAACGCTCTACCACTTGAGCCACAGCACCACTTCCAGTTTTGTAGTGGTTTATTGGAGATAAGAGTCTCATGGACTTTCCTACCTGGGCTGGCTTTAAACTGTGAGCCTCAGATCTCAGCCTCCTGAGTAGCTAGGATTACAGGCATGAGCCACCAACACCCAGCTATTACATGACTTTTTAAGTTGAGCTAATAATATTTAAGTATAGTTTATCTAAAATAACCACTTTAAAGGATGAATATGAATTTTAAATAATTATGGTTTCTAGATTCTTGTCCATTATTCTCCATCTATCTCCAGGCCTCTTCTCCTTAATCATCCTTACAAAGAGTCTTAGTAGCAGAATAAAATGTTACCATTTTAAAAATAATTTATAACAGAAATATTATCTCATCTTATACATAATATGTAAGTAAGTTTGGATGAGAATTTATTTTTTATTCCCAAGAAAACTACCTTTGTTTATTTAACAGAACATAACATTGTGTTTATTTTTGGTATCTATATAAATAATTTAATATACTATAAACTCCATTTAGTAGATGATTTGACTAACAAATCCAAGATGTTTAACTAAAATATCTTGGAACATTTTCCCAAAAGGAGACTAGATTAGGATAATAAAAACAACTGAGGTCCATTATTTAAAATAGTACTTGGGATTATGGCTAAGAAACTGGGATTAATAATTCAAACCAAAATAGCCCATTTTGTTAGCTAACATGTGGTTAGGGCTATTAAAAAGGAAAATAAATGAAAAATATGGAGATTTTATGTATAATTATGATATCACCATATTATTCAGAGCAATGACAATGTAAGAAAAATAAAGAGAATAGTGTCACAATTTAAAACTCTTTAAGGAATTTATATGATACATAATTGAATCCTTATACTGCAACAATATGTTAGAAAGCATGATCCAAAGTCCTGATTTTTATTGAGTTAATACAATTTTAACAGGCAATATTGATTTACATACTCTTTAAAGGATACTAAGAAGACAATTGAAAAACTGCCTGGTTGCATGTAAACTTGCTTTTTAACTTAAATGCCCTCTTTAAACAGTTTAAAGAATCATCTGCATATCTGGATGGTTCAAACTTCTGCCAACTTTATTTTAAATCATTAAAATGAGAGGAAAGGTATTCAGTTCAGAGGGCCATGCAATTAATTTTTGCAAGTAGAAATGTTCTAAGAAGTAGCTGGTTCAGGTCCTCTTTTTTTCCCCCTGATGTGAACAGTCAGGAGGTCCGCCAGTACATTCTGGTTAGTGAGCAAGCTGCTTCTTTGACGCAATTCTACTAGTTACTTTAAAACAATGCCCAGCTTTCTGTGCTGAATGCAACTCTTTCTCACTGTGTCATTTGTGAAGCGACAGTCCACAGATGGGAGAAAGCAATGTTATTTACAAGTTTGAACAAAGGTCACCTCCACTGCGAAGCTAGCCATCCACTAAAGCTGCTGGACAAAGCAGTTATTTTCACTCCCATCTCCTTTTACCTCTTGATCTGGATACATAATATTGATGTACTCACCCAGAATGAATGGGGCTGGAAGAAAGAGCCACGTTGTCTAAGTTCTCAGTGCCCCAGCTCAGACGATAAGAATTCCTTTCTGCCTCCTTGGCTAGAGTTGACACCTACACACAAAGAACACTGGATTTTATACAAAAAAAATAAATAAATAAAGGACTCTGCTTCAATTAAAGGAAAATATAATCACATCTGAAAAGTGGCATTACAAGAAGGAGGGGTTGCCTGGGAAAACTTTCATTGTTTTAGAAAATCGCAAAACCAAAGCATTTAAAGTAAATACTTTATCATGTTTATTTTCTGTTCAATTATATGAGAACTGAGATCTCTTTAGTATAATCTTTGAAGAAAGTTGTTGCTCGTCTATGTTCCTATATCCAGCCCTGTAAAATTAATAAGATTCCCACCTGAAATTAAATTATTTCAGAATAAACTGAGCGTTGTTCTTATAGCTGATATTTTTAAACATTGAAAGATATATATTTTTTATTTTTATTAGCATTCAGGGAAGGAGGGTTTATTGTGACATTTCCATAGATGTGCACACTATAATCTAAACAGCCTCACCCCTCTACCACTCTCTCTTAACCCTGTTCCCCTTAAAACAATTTCAACAGGTTTCACACATGCAAATAAACGACTTCAAATGTATTCATTCTCTAACCCCCTCCTTCTCTATGGCCCCTCCCCCATGGAAGCCTATGTTATACTGAAAGATATATTCTGTGCTGTGGCATTTCTATGACAAAGGCATTTTACCTAACTTTCCCCCCTAATTACAGAATTTATTTTTTGTTAATCAAACCCACACAAACCCTTACATAAAATACTTCCCGAACAATGCATTTATGGCTAAAGAAATAAGCAGTATACCTTTTCTGGAGAAAAACAAAACAAGACCAAATGTGCTTATTGCAAACTTTCAACTCTCTATTCCTAGCCAAATCCTCAAGATGGTTTAGTAGAAAAGTTGGAAAGCAAAGATAGGACTGTCGAGGGCCACATACCTGGTGACTGGGGATCACCACCGTGTCTTCGATCATGGCACTGTCCCTTAGGTAGGATGCGTGGCTGAGAGTGTGAGACCTGTCGGAACTGAAGGATCGAAGGCTGGTAGGTTTGCAGGAGGTCATGGCCACATACCCACAGCAGTAGAAGGGTTGGGAGATGAAATGATGAGCCGGCCAGGAGAGTGGAGAAAGCGTGCTATTAGCTAAACAGTGCAACTTCCAGGGGAACACGGGTCTCAGCGGTTGTCCTACCTCTCGGTCCCACAGCGAGACTGACACATCCTCTGACTGGTTCCTGCTACTCAGGGGCAGGGCCACCAGGGAATCCAGAAGTTAAAATTGGATACTTCCTAATCTGATTGCTTTCATTTTTTTTTTCTTCTCAGAGATGTTTGAAACCAACCTCTGCAGTTTACTTACTGCCAGGGCAAGAAAGAATTCCAAGACAGCTTTGATTCAAACTGGGTGAAATGCTCATCACTCTGCCACTAAGAAAACGTATCAGAGGGACAGTAGACAGCCCTCAGAGAGAACAAAAGCCAAGTACAGGTTTTGCTTTCCCTCGTGATATTCCAGGCTCTTACCAGGTCTTTCCCTTCCTGTCTAAGCTGTGAATGACTGGAGGTTAATAAACTCCCCTGGAAGGTACAGTGTGCAATGGATTGTGGCCAGATGCATGCTTCCTGGGGAAGTGGAGTTCCTCTCATTTGTCTCTGCTGACTTCAACTGTGTGATTCTTTGAAAGGAGAGCCCTGTCCCCTCTGCTTGTCCTGTGTGTGTGGTGAGGGAAGCATCAAAGAGTGTTGGTTGCCACAGAGACGAGATGCAAGAGCACAAGGAATTTCCTAAGCATCAGCCCAGAATGCAGACGCACTTGCCAGCACACAGACAAGCTGCCAATGGACACTGACCAAAGCTGCACTGTGGCTCCAAAACAGCATTCAGGCATCAAGGCTTTACAATGGTTACCTTTTTTTTAATAAATAGGAATTTCCAAGTTCTAAGTGACAAAATCAAATGGGTCAGGAAAAACCTGACATTTACATGAATATAACCTCATTATTTTTTTATTTAATTTTTATAGAGACAAGGTCTTGCTATATAACCCAAGCTACCTTCAAACTCACAATGCTAGCCCAGGTTGTAGCTCACAGTCTTTCTGTCTCTGGCCCCCAAGTGATAAGATTACAAGTGTGCATAACCATACCCAGTAATGACAAGTAGACTGATATTTTAAATCATATATATATATATATATACATATACATATGTATATGTATATATATGATCCACACATTAGAGATGTGCTTTCAGAATATCAACCCAAGAGGGTGGGAAAAAGACATATGCAAGTTTTCATAGAAACAAAACTTTCATTTACTTTTAGCTAGTAGGTATTTGGTCAGTGAAGCACTGTAGAATTATGGATGAGATGGTAAACTAGCCTATTTTCTGGTAGAAATGATTTCCATTTTGTAAATACATCTAACTTTGTAGGCCACATTCCTATCATCTCCATGAAGTGTCAGAACCAACTTTCAATTTTCATGGAGGCTGTCCCGAATCATTTTTACTCAAGACTAGTTCTCTACCACTTGAGCCATACCTCCACTTCTGGCTTTTTGGTGGTTAATTGAAAATAAGACTCTCAGAGACTTTTCTACCTGGGCTGGCTTTGAACCTGGAGCCTCACCCCTCCTTACTAGCTAGGATTACAGACATGAGCCAGTGGAACCAAGCTTGATATGTTTTGAATGAGGCCATGTTACATCATCACCTCCAATTCTATTCTTCATTTTGTTGGTTGGTCAAGAAAAGGAAAAGAATGAAGAAGGCCTACCTCTTGAAGTAATATAGCTTGCCTGTGGGGTTAATTGTCTTCGGATCTGTTAACAATTTAATCTTGCTCCATGATTTTAGAATGCAAATATCTAAAGTATAATGTTACATATTTAAAGGTGCCAGGGATAGAGGATCTGCAGTACAAATGGGGCAAGAGGGGAAAATGGCATTATGACACCTAACCCCAAATTCCTACTCTTAATAGAAAGTGAAGCCTTTATCACTAGGTGACACTGATACTAGTCTGAGAGGGCAAGTGAAAAGTGAACATGAACAAGAACACAACGAGTGGTAAAGGAAGGTATCCCAAATTAAAAAAAAAAAAATCCTAATGTGGCTCCTAGTATTGCAAATGTCTACACCTTGAAAGAAAGTCACCAGGCCTAAACTGTCATCCTCCAAGACTAATAGTGAGTGGGTGAACAATTATGTTGGTCTCGGGAATATGGGTTGACAGATCCCATTGCGTTGTAATGGAAAGCTCCATTATGCAGCAAGGATCAGTAGTAAAGACTGACTTTATCGATATCTATGTGATGCCTGACCTGAGTATCTCCATTGATGCTTGAGTGTCTTAATTGGTTTTAACTGGATGCGTAAAGACATCCTGGTTGTACACTTTCATCTTTCTAAAGAACCCCAAAAGCTTAAAACACAGAGTGGGAGATTAAAGAAAAGAAAGAAACAGAAAGCATTCAATCACCTTGATTAAGGTAAAGAAGGATGCTGGGAACTGTGTGATCCTAGCTATTCAGGAGACTGAGAGCTGAGGATCATAGTTCAAAGCCCAACCCTGTTAGGAAAGTCCATGAGAATCTCATTCCCATTTTGGTTCTATTTTTGGCTAAAAACAAGCCAGTAAGGGAAATGTGGCTCAAATAGTAGAGTGCTTTGAGCAAAAAAGCCAAAAGACAGCATCTAGCCCCTCAGTTCAAGCCCCAGTGAAAATTATGAGGACATTTAGACAGAGAGAAAGGTGAGGAGATCTGAAGAGGGAAGGAAAATGAGTAAGTTGAAATCTATACCTATACCTAGCTATAAATCTATACCTATCAATTTTTATTCTAGCTCATTTTATTTACTTCCTTCTGGAAATGCTAATTGGTTATATAAAAATGTTTATAGTTTCTAATTGCTCTATTTGATTTGATTTTGCAGACTCTAAGACGTAATAAACATGGTTGGAATATTCTTGCAACAGAGAAATCATTTTTCTATGAAGAAATAATACCAGCACAAATTTCTAAAATGATTCAAGATTATGGCTCAGAAATGTCTTATTATGGACTCAATTTATATTTTTCCCACTAACGTACAATTGCCTTATGGACTTAAAGACTTCACTGAAAAGTAAATGTGATATTTATTAGACACTGAAATCATGGATGTCTAGACCCTACTCAATAAGCAAACATCAAAAGATGTCAGTATGTCTGCTTTAATGCATGAAGAAGCTTCTGTGGTCTGCTGTTATTTAGGCTTTGCAGTGAATTTTCCACAGCATTTTAAATTTGAGAATGGTAATGCAACAGACGTAAAATCCGAGCAACCATACTTTGTTGTATGTTTATTCAATGTGACCTCATCTGAGCATGTTTTTGTTCTGAATTTATGCACATTTTAGGCGCCAACATCTGTCCCCCATCAGCACGAGGCTGTTCAGATTCTTTGCATAGAAGCCATGCATGTGCCTGATCTACCACTAGGTGGGGCTATGACAACCAAAATAAAGTCACACCTGGGCAGTGTACAGAACTGGCTTGCGGTCTAGTAACCGAGACATCGCTTCTAACCCAGCCGGTTATTGAACTGAGTACAAAAAATTCAAATTTAATAATAAATCCATAATTCTAGAATATAAGCGCCTTCGATCAGCACACACACACACACACACACACACACGCTAAGCAGTGAGCAGGGAAATGTGAACACATCCAGGAAGTTCATGTTTTCATGCTGTAAAATACCTACCTGGGCATGGTACTATTGGGAGCATACCAAATTAAAAGAAAAATAATAATGGAAAAGATGATTACCAGAAAAGATGAAGTGCCTAAGCAAACAAAAAAATTTGTTTAAGTAAAACAAACAAAAAATGTGAGAATGAGACACTGGATTCCCTCTTGGATACAGTGACCTAGATATGCATGGGCAAACCTGGAGAGCACCCTGTGCTTCATGGCCCCTGACTACATGCTAGTCCATTTCTGTTGAGTATAGGTATCAAAGCACCTGCCTCTGTTTTATAGGAAATATACTTTAAATTATTTTTAAACTTAGGTACTTAGGAAAGAAGGGAAAAGGACCCAGCCATGCACTTGTTCTTCATAATAAAGATCATACTGAAAATAAAAGTTCTTGGTCTGAGAGTCATGATTGTTCATAGATGATTGGCGGTTTGTGTGAAGCCATTCATACTCCCTTCTACTGAACTTTGAAGTACTTTAAGAATCTTAGGCCGGGCACTGGTAGCTCACACTTGCAATCCTAGCTCCTCAGGAGGCTGAGATCTGAGGATTGCAATTCAAAAATCAGCAAATGCAGGAAAGTCTGTGAGACTCTTATCTCCAATAAACCATGAGGAAACCAGAAAAAGTATTGTGGCCCAAAGTGGTAGAATGCCACCCTTGAGAGAAAAAGCTCAGGGACAGTGTGCAGGCCTTGGATCGAGCCCCATGACCAACAAAAAAGAATCTCATGTCTCTAAGATACAAATCTATCAATAAATCAGGACTCAACATAGAAAGCAGCAGCCCTGTCATCCCTTTCTCCTTTTGCCTTCTGATCCTTTAAGCCACCAAACCCACACTATCTGCTTAGCCTTCTTCTTTAGCTACCATGCAAAATCCATCACCAAATCTGACCCTCTCAAATTTTTCACTGCTGAAATTCTCTCTACTCTCAACAGTGGTAGACTTTCTACCCTCTCATGATGACCCAGCTAAGACCCCTATAGTAGCTTCTCAGATGATGGCCATAGATTATTCTCAACTTTTAACAGTCTTTCCCTAAAGTACATTCTCTATCTCTGTCACTATCAGAGGATTGCTCTAAAATGCTAGTATGATTTCCCTCTTTTCTCATTATTCTGTTGCCCAAATGTTTTAGGAACATTTGTTTTTGACCCTGTTAAACCTTTAAAAAACCTTCCTATTTTTTTCTGTCCATCCTCATTCATCAATTGGTCTTGATTTGGACTCCTCACTGCAGCTCTAGGGGCTTAGTATGTTCCATTAGTTCAAACCTCTCTTCCCTGTGTTGAGCCTGAACTTAGCAAGCATAATTTAGTTGTAATGGTACCTCCAATATTTAACACAAAGCCTAGCACTAAAATGTACCCATCACATCCACATTAGACTTTTTAAAAAAGAGAAAGGAGAGGGGTATGGGAGATAACATGGATGCTCAAGAGCTTCTGTTCCCTAATTACACATAGAAACTTGGTTACTGCCTAAGGGGTTCGTTTCATAAACTGCTCATATGTGGACTATTCATAAAATAGCTTACAAAAGAGCCAAATTCATAACCTTAGACATGAAAGAGTATTGATGAGAAAAAATATTACACTCCGCAGACAAGCACATACTTGACCTAAGTTAGCAGCCATATTTGTCATGAGCTCATCTAGGATGCTCTTATTCTACTTGTCTCCGAGAGCAACAAGCACCAGACACAGCCACTGTATAACAATTACACACCTCAGAATATTATACAAGTCTCTCAGAGTTTACGACTCAAGTGGAGCACAACCCGGTTTTGCTCAGATTGCTCCTGCTTATAAATTGTAATGCATCAATTATTTATGCTAATTTCTCTATGTCATTTTTCAATTTTCTTTGAGTAGTTGTACAAAGGAGTCACATTGCTTCTTGCATCTACACTTTCACTGATTTCTGTTCTTTGTCCTTTGAAGTGGGAAAAAAAAGCCCATTTTTAACCACAGTTTTCTTTTAACTTTGTTTCCTCTTATTCTCCATAACAAAAATTGTCATGGAAAGTAGGCACCAATAAAAGAGGGGTGTGTCACTGGGTAACAGAATCCTTAATACAAAACTTCCCCTGCCATCTGACAAGAGGACAGCCTGAAGTCCTCAATAATTGTATCTACTTGTTTGTCATCAGACAAATGCATCACCCACACACACTTCTAGCTAGCTTCACGTGTAAGGTTGGATGGATACCTGTCAGATCGTCCCCCCTCCAAGCTGTAGCGCAGGTAATTCATGCCATCCAGGAACTGACTGCTGGGCAGGGAGTCGTCACCTAGTTCTTTGAGATCTTCGGGCCTCAGGTATTCCCCCCCATCCCCGGTCATTGTGTCATCACCTTGGGACAAGAGGAAGACGGAGGAAGTTATTTGCTGACGGTAGCATCCACTACAAAATATGTAATGACTGCCTGTATATCGGTGAAACTGACATGAGGAACGTGAAATTGAACATGAGCACAGCACACAGGCAGGTACTTGCAAAGACGCTAACACACAATAAAGCTCTATTATAGAGCCCTTAACCAAGAAACCCAAGTCAAGACAGCTTACATTCTCCCCCTCACTCCCTCTGTCTTTTCCTTGCTCTACTACTCCATCGAAGAGACAACATTTGATTTTGTTTTCCTATGATGCATCCACAAGAACAAATGAAAAAGTGATGGAGAATGTCCATATTCTCTGACGCAGAAACAGCATGGGAATTAAATAAGCCAATATACCTAACATTCGATATTTAACCAACATTTTCTCTTCCCATAGTTGTCTGCTTCCTCCCCATTCCTTCCCAATGTTCACCTGTGCACCACACACAGATGGAAGTATTCCACCATGCTTGGCTTCTAATTTAATAGGTCTGTATTTAAGAGGATGATAGTAACTACACTGGGTTCTCAAGGACTCTTAGTTTACATCTTATCTAAAAACTGATAACTTAGTAATTGACAACTTTATGCTGGCAAAGTATTACCTTTCTCTACAATTATATTCTAAGAACGAAATATTACTCTGGAACAATATTTATGGCATGAGCTAATTGTGTGAAGAAATCTCAATAATAGTTGCTAAAATTATCCTGAGTATGAACAATCCATGACCCCAAACTTACAGGCTAATAAAATCCACACCTCAAATGCAATCTTAGACAATTCCAAACGTATTAGACATGCTATTTCAAGAGAAATATTAGTATTGTACACAAAAGTTTAAATGTTAAGCAAGTTGCTTCTACCACTAACAAAAAATATTAAAAACAAAGGAAAAGGTTTCACTCCAACAAGTTCCTTAAGTACCTGAGTCACTAAGTGCTTCCCCATCAATAAAGTGGTCCCCACACTGTTTAATGGCTGTTCAATATAGAAGTGAAGATGAGAAAGACAATATATAACGTGCATATATTGCACAAGACAATATATGATATGCATACAGAGATGCTGAACATTAGTTGGCCAGTACAAGAATGAAACACAAGATTATAATAAAAACTTGGACTGCTGGCTTTGGCGATACAATTAAACATACTCATAATGATACACTGATCCAACATTTGCTCATTCTTGTAAAAAGTTCTTATATAAGCTGAGATAAGGCAATGTCTACTACCAATAAGTCACAAATTAGTTCCAAATAAAGACATTTCAATATAAAGCGTTGCCTTATGATTTCACGTGGAAAGATATTTAAAAAACAGTACATTCAATATTTTCCAGTAGAAGAAATCAACATTAGGGCCTCAGCCATCTTTGGGGGCAATAATTGATCAAATATGCATGTTTTCATCTATACACACATGCCAATAATTTTTCAGTCATACACATTTGACCAATAGCTGCACCATTGAAGCTTATTTGACTATTTTAAATACTCCTTTTTATGTTTTCTAACTATAAGGCACCGAATAGCTTATTTATGCTGAATTTGTACTATTTGTTGTTGTACTGTTTTTAAGTCTTTTCTAAGGCTCACTTCTTCTGAATTTAGTACAGACTCCCTCTAGACTTAATGCATATGCTTTCTATATTTACTACATATTTTCTCTGGATTTAATACAGACTCTGTGCATCTGCACTGATCAAAAGGAAGAGATTTCCTAATATAAGGAATACACTAAGGTCTTTAAGGCATTTGAATAAAAACATTTTGAACATAATTAAAAATACATATTAATAATGATTCTAGTATTAGGTACCTATTTCCAGCGTCAAGTCCAGTGTCAAATTTCTTTCCCTTAGTCACATTGTTTATTAAATGTTAAAGATAATATTAGCAGAAAATAAGCTGATCAGAATCCACCTCCTCTCCACCCCGGCACACATGTAATGGAAATATTGTGACAAAAGTGGAGAAGGGATTTAAAATGTGAAGGCATTGTCACCTCCTGCGCCAACCTGGTTCCCAGAGGAAAGGAAGTTTTGACCCTGAGATGACGATGGCACGAAAGATTGCATGGATATCTTACCCTCTTCATCAGACACATCCAGGACCTCAGTCATTGTCTCAGGAACATTGAGCTTGTGTTTTTCAGTTATAGTCTGCAAAGACAAATGCCATTAATGCTCCATTTAAAAGCAAGCCAAACACAAGCTGGAAAGACTTCAGAGATGGGTCTATTCTTGAGTAGTAGCAATAAGCCAGCCAGCCCTGAGTATCCTATCTCATCTACACACAGAATCTGTTCTATGCATATCCAGTTGTTCTGTCTGACAACAAGTGATCGTGGACACTAGTGAAGCTGTATGAGAGAAGACTGGTTGCTTTGAGTTTCCACATGAAAAATAAATTCCTTTGCTAATAATGCCATTAATAGTCACATTGAAAGTGCTGATTAGTGTTTTCAAGCCTTCCATAAAACGAACAAGAGGCAAGAGGCAATGCACAAAGGTAACTGATTAAAAGAAAAACTATTGGGAAAGAACCTATAAATAATCAGAGCCACCGAAAATGTGACATACCTCATCTGGATTAGAGGTCCCACCGTATTTCATTGGGCTACAATTCTACTGTGCTGCTTATTTGCTTCCTTATGGCTCAATGCACTGCAGCTCATTCCTGATGTATTGTGTAAGCTGAAGACACCAGGGCCTGCAGTCTGTCTGCCTAGGTTCAAGTTCTAATTTCATCATTTGTTAGCTACAAGGCCTGCAAGTCTGCAGCCCTTGTTGGGCTTCAATGTTCATATTTATAACACAAGGATTTTGGTAATACCTCATAATATTATGAAGGCTGCGTGATGTACTAGTTGCCAGAGCTCTAAGAATGATATTTGGCAACTGTTGGTATTCAAGAAACAGTTGACATAATTTTATCATTATTATAAGCAAAAATGAAATTAATCTTAAAAGCGCCTCTGAACTTTTTAGCTCTTATACCACATGACCATATGACCTCAAGAATACTCTGAAACTAACTTTGAAAGCTCAACTCATTGAAGCAGAGAACAGATGGGACCCAAGAGGCTAAGTGGACTGGGGAGATGTTTAAGAGATACAAAATTTCAGGTAGCCAGGAACCAGCTCAAAAGATGTGTACTGTTCAATGCAGTGACTATCACAAAAGTGACAGCACATTGTGTGGGGACTCTAAAGACCCAGGGAAACTATGTCTGGATGCAGGAAGTATGAGTTGATGATGTGTATGGAAAACTTTGGGCGTGTGTTTGCTTTGTCCTATTTGGGTGCCAAAAGCTTCAAGGGCATAGGATTCTGAATGCTTAACATTGTGCAGCGATCTTGGCCAAAGACAGACTCACTGACCATTCCTTTGTGTGCTTGATCTCTAACTACATCCTGATAGCCCTTTATCTACCTCTTGGAATGTGTCCTTTGTCCTATGACCACAAACTGCCCAAACTAGAAAGGGAGGTTTCACCTTTCAGTTCATACTGCCCCTGTGTTGGATGACTCGTGTTACTGACAGGCTAATCATATTCTCTAAAGTCTCAGGTTTTCTCACATATTCTTTCCCCTACCAGAAATCTTTATTTCCCTCTTTTCTTATATCATTAGGCAGTAAGATCCTTGGATAAACAATTTCTAACCTTCTCTAGTAAATTACTTCTTCAACTCTATTTGTCTACTATGATCTTGTTAGGACATCATACAAACCAGGTCACATGCACTGAGTGTGTCTGATCTATTTATCGCTTCCCACATAAGAGCAGGAGCTATTTTAGAGTAAGATTCCTTCCACAAATCTGAAACAGTAGGCAATTCTCAGATCTAGACTAAGAAATCGATGATGTGAAACTATGCATAAGTACATTTAAAATTTTACAAAACATCCAGAGGCTGGTGGCTCATGCCTGGTAATCCTAGCTTCTCAGGAAGCTGAGATCAGAAAATCGAGATTCAAAGCCAGTCCAGTCAGGAAAGTCTGTGAGGCTCTTATCTCTAATACCAAAAAAGCTAGAAATGGAGCTGTGTTTTAAGTGGTAGAGTGATACCCATGGGTAAATAGCTCAAGGACAGCAACTGGTCCCTGAATTCAGGCCCTGGAATTAAAGGACTGGAAAAAAATTACAAAATGACTAAATTTTTGTTCTTTTGAAGAGAATCTTAGTTGAAAGACTAGAAAGAAACAAAGAAAGATTTATGATATGCAGATGAAGGCACACTTGAGACCCAGGGTAATAAATTCAGCTTGCCTAAATATTTCTTGTGATGTTTAAACAATCTCACAGGGTCTGCTTCAAGACAGAAAACTAGAAGTGACATTGTGGCTCAGAGTGGTAGAGCACTAGCCTTGAATGAAAGAGCTCAGGCCCTGAGTTCAAGCCCTATGACTGACTAAGAAAAAAAAAAGGAAAGAAAGAGAGAGAGAGAGAGAGAGAGAGAAGAAAGAAAGAAAAATAAAAGTTGCAGAAAAGACAAAAGTAAGCAGCTAAAACGTTAGAGAAGAATAAGGTACATACATATTTGTTGAATGAACAAACTTAACAAATTACTGTAATAATCTATCTGGTTACAATAAAAGTAAGGCACCAAAATAAGAACTATTTAATTAGTTGTGAGTTGAGATAATTTTAGCAGATTTAGAAAATATATGTAAGAAGTTTACAAAAGTTCTAAGCTCAGGACAATGACTCTAAGAAAATGTGCAGGATAAATCTGGCCTGGTGGCTCAAGTCTTTAATTTTAGCTCGTTTGGAAGAGGTGTTTGGGAAAGCATTAGAATTCATGAGAGTCCATCTCAAGCAATGGCTTGTGTGGCAGCATGCACCTGTTTGTTCACCCAAGGGGGAAGCACAATGGCTAGGTACAGTGGTGCATGCCTGTCATCCCCAGAGATACAAAACAAGTAAAAACAAGCAAACAAAAGAAAAACAGTCAAAACTCAGCTTAAAACTCTACTCTGGTTCTTTGGAGAGGGGTAGTACTTGGATTTAAACTCAGGACTTAGACCCTGGTTCTGTTAGCTTTAGTTACTTTTCTCCCGATACGATCTCACATTTCTAGCTAAAGGTTAATCACTTAGCTTACCATTTTCCTACCTATGCTTCACTTGTACTCTACTGATTTATCACCATGCCCACTCAGCTTGTTGGCTGAGATGGGGTCTTGTTAAATTTTTGTCAGAGCTAGCTTGGACCTTGATCCTCACAATCTCTACTTTCTGAGTAGCTAGAACCCCAGAAGTGAACCATAGCAACTCAGTTGATTGATAATAAATTTCCTTAATATTTAAATAACCATATATGTTCATATATGATTATATATAATAATCATACTGTAAATAATATTGCATATATTATATATAATATTGTATATAAAATGATTATTATATATAATAACATCATTATATATAATCATATATATGAATATATATACAGACAAGCAACCATATATAAATAAGCATATTCATAAGCTTATACATGTGCGTGATTGTTGATATTGATTCTTATTTTAGTAGTTAGTTAAGTAGTTTATGCTCTACTTACCAGTGATTATATGCAACATAAAATATGATGAGTTTAAAAATTTATAGATAATGTAAATAATTGATGCTGGCTGATGGACAAGTGGAGGGATGAGTCATATCTCATAGTTTTTCCAATCAACCTTAGTTGATTGGGTTTGCTGACTGCTGCTGCCAGAAATGTGTCCCCTTTACTCTGAGTCCTTCTGGCAAATATGTAGTGATTGTATCCATGGGAGAATAGAAAATTGTCTCATCTTCCCCACTGTGCATTTCAAAGTAAAATTAGAAAAGCAAAGGTTAAGGAAAAACAAATCATGATTCCGAAATGTCTCAGAAATTTCTGCAGCAGTAACGTGTCCTTTATGCTCTGCTGCCTTTCTGTGCTCTCTTACAATGACTTTACTCATGCTTTGGGGTAAAGAAGGCTGGAAGGAAGGAAATCAAAGTAAAATTTCTTTGATCAAAGAAAATGCACATGACTACTCAAATAACCCAGCCTATGAATCCAAGTGATGGAAAACTGTCATTGTGTAACAGCTATAATTCATCTACCACAATTGGAATGGTAAAACCATCTGATTTGATTTGATCTTTCAGAAGCATCTCCTGTCATCACTTAATAGTTGTAAATTATTTGTTAATGAATCCACATACTTTAGGAAATGTTATTGATTTATGATATGACACTCCCACCAAAATCAATGAAGGGCACAAAATTCTTATGAAGTTACTTTTTCAGCAAACCCAACTTTAGTTATGTGGAAATAGATAGAACATGGGTTTTGGGTCCTACAACTCAAATCTGAATCTTATAATTGCTCTCCATGAGTGTGTTCTAGCTTTTACACTTAAGGCTGGCACTCTACCATTTGAGCCAAGTCTCCACTTCTGGCTTTTGTAAGTACCACGCGCTAAACAACTGCACTACTGGAGCTCCCACTTCTGGCTTTTAATTGGAGATAAGAGTCCCATGGATCTTTCTGCTTCACTGGTTTTGATCATGATCTTCAGATCTCAGCCTCCTGAGTAACTATGATTATAAGCATAAGCCACTGGCACCCAGCCATGTGGTGTATTTGTAATTCTGAATATTAATGGTTATAATTAATGTTAATTGTAATGGGAAAAGAATGATTGGAAACCTCTCCTTTCCCCCCCCCAAAAAAACAAATATAATGTAAGATGACTTCACTAAAGAATAACTTTACATATCAAGTTTTAGCTCCAAATTCCACATTGCAAAATAGTTACTCATAATCCCATGAGAAGTCAGTTCAGAGAAATGGAGAGTAAAGAAAAAACAGCACCAAAAGATATAACCAGTAACAGTATCCATTCAGATAAAGTATTTGCTTAGCTAATGTGGATGATGACTGTGTTGTGTTAACAGAATGCAGAAATACTGCAAGGGTTTATATTTGGTTTAATAGTTTTTTACCTAGCAACTTGAATTCTGAGAATAGGGTTTTTTGTTATTGTTGTTTTGTTTTCGCCTTTTGGGAAGGAGGAATAATGCTCAGAAAGCAAGTATGAAAAATAATAGCTATGTGGGAGCAACGATAAAAGCCACAACTCAGAGTATTCAAAGAGAAATTGTGATTTCCCTTTAGCTAAATGTTCTGGAGATGTGACCTCTCCACACATATCAGGTGTGCTCAATTTCCAACACAGTATCTGAGGTCTGGCTTAGAGGTGGCTATTAGAATATGTTCTGGGCAATGGACACTGACGGCTCATGTCTGTAACCCTAACTACTCAAAACTGAGATCTGAGGATCCAGGTTCAAAACCAGTCCAGACAATGAGAAACTTGTCTCTAATTAAACAGCAGAAAAGCTGGAAGTGGCACTGTGGCTCAAGTGAAGAAGTACCAGCCTTGAGAGAAAAAAATAAAACAACTAATGGACAGTGCCCAGGCCCTGAGTTCAAACCCTAGTAAAACTCACCCCCTCACACATACACATGTGAGTATTATGTGTGTGTGTGTGTGTGTGTGTGTGTGTGTGAGAGAGAGAGAGAGAGAGAGAGAGAGAGAGAGAGAGAGAGAGAGAGAGAGAGAGAGACATGAAAGAAAGTATTTATTTGCTTCCAGATCTTTACGTTTAAGGTCATTTTCTCTTAATAATAGCTATAAACCACACATGTCGTTCTATGGTGTTACTGATCTTAGTTAAAATTTATGTCGGGTGGAGCAAAACTGTGAAGCTAGTTGTAGGAAGGGGCATGCTGTGGCTCTTTAGCATGCAGCATCTATTTTGATCTCCAATAAATAATAAAAGAATGAATCAGATGATAAAATGAATGAAAGCAGGTTCAAGATAGCAAGAGAGGTACAGTTGACATCTAGCAGTAAATTAATGACAAGATGCACACTTGATTGCAAGAGCATGGAAAAAGTCATAAAGCTGATAACAACAAATGACTTCCTCAGGAGGCTGAGAACTGAGGATCATGGTTCAAAGCCAACCCCAGGCAGGAAAGTTCAAGAGACTCTTAACTCCTATGAACCACCAAAATCACCAAGCCAAAATAAAACAATAACAATGAAAGCCAGAAGTGGAGCTGTGGCTCAAGTGGTAGAGCACTAGCCTTGAGCAAAAAAGATCAGGGTAGCCAGGCACCAGAAGCTCATGCCTCTAATACTGGCTACTCAGTAGGCCGAGATCTGAGGATCACAGTTTGAAGCCAGCTCCGGCAGAAAAGTTCATGAGACTCTTATGTCAAACTACTTAGAAAAAGCTAGAAGTGGCGCTGTGGCTGAAGTGGTATAGTGCTTGCCTTGAGCACAGAGGCTCAGGAACAGTGCACAGGCCAAGCCTCAGGATAAGAAAGAAAGAAAGAGAGAAAGAAAGAGAAAGAAAGAGAGAAAGAGAGAAAGAGAGAGAAAGAAAGAAAGAAAGGAAGGAAGGAGGAAAGAAGGAAGGAAGGAAGGAAGGAAGGAAGGAAGGAAGGAAGGAAGGAAGGAAGGAAGGAAGGAAGGAAGGAAGGAAGGAAGGAAGGAAGGAAGGAAAAAAAGGAAAACACTTTCTAACCACAGATGTACTTGGTTGCTTGGCCAATCTTGCTACTTCATTTATTTGTGATATAAACATGGTTTTAGTAATGCCAAAAAAAGGCATAGGTGTACAGACTATTAATATGAAGAATTTTCTGGACTAACAAATCTTATAAATCTTCTAGTAAGAAAAAGCAATTAAGATTCAGCTAGTTTGGTGCTGGTGGCTCACGCCTGTAACCCTCGCTACTCAGAAGGCTGAGATATGAGCATTGCAGTTCAAAGCCAGCTCTAGCAGAAAAGTCCCCGGGAGACCCTTATCTCCAATTAACCACTCAAAAATCAGAAGTGGCATTGTGGCTCAAGTGGCAGAGTGCTAGCCTTGAGAACAAAGAGGCTCAGGGATAGTGCCCAGGCCCTGAGTTCAAGCCCCATGACCAAAAAAAAAACAAAAAAACAAAAAACAATCCAGCCTCATAAAGCAAAGCACAAATACACTCCAAGACAGGGATAGGACTGAGTTTTTCATGTGCAATTTATTAATGCTATATTTTAAATTTTGCAAAACATTGGAGTCTGCTGGTGAAAGGTTTTAATATTCTCTCTCATCTAAAAACTCTGCCTGGGTCTTGCAGCTCATTAATAAATCATGCTACACTTTATTTAAACCTCACCATTAAGCCAACTGTATTCCATCTACTTCAATACATGTCAAGGGGGACTTGCTGTCAGCCTAGATATGCAATTTCTTTCTTTCCTCTCCCATCTGTCCAAGGAGTGAAACATTCCAAAACTTCTCTCAGGCTTGGAGTATGTACGAGAAACTTCTTCAGAATTCTTCATTTCTTGATTTATGGTTCTATTGTCTCTCTACAGAATATCTAATGTTTGTCGGCTGCTCTGATTCTCTGTTCGACAGAGATGAGTTAACAACTGATTCTTTATTGATTGTGTGCTGGATTTTAAAAGCTGATCAGCCCAAGAAACACAAATGTAATAGCATTTCCACCTTCCTGCTAGGAGCCCCCTCTTAATGGCCTCTGCAGGCGTTACTCCAGCTGAATGGTTGGAGAGCATTAAGATTCAATGGGATTGTCAGGCCCTTCACTCTCTCAGGCTTTCTGTGGCAAAGGCCACTGGCCATCACTGCTCTCCCTTAAAGAACCAGGAGTTGTACTAAACAATAAAAATCAAAGACTTTAAATACATACTCTTTCATGGTATAGCCAGTTTACCTCCTAAGCTCATGAACTGTCTTTTTGAATAAGAACGAATAGTCAGAAATACAAGTAAGGATAAATTGTCACTCTTTATAGAGTATATTTGACACAGCCAGGGAGCAATGCAATCAAGAAGACTGGGGTCTTTCTAGAGGCTCTTTCATTCCCCAGGCCCAAGTTGAGTCCTCTGTGGCCTTTGGTATCATTCTGACAGCAGTAAGTGCCACATACAACTAGAGAAAAAGTGCACAGGTGCCAGAGGGGGGAAATGTCACAGGGGGAAAAAAAAGGTACTTTTCTACAATTATAAAACTATATTCCCACGTTTTGCACTGAATCCCCTTGAAGAAAAGAAGTCCAAACCCCTGTTTTCATTGTGCCAGGTGTTTGTTTGCATCTGAATACTTCTGTGTAGATTCTACAATACATTCACCAACATCCAGAAGAGGAAGAGGAAGAAGGAGAAGGAGAAGGAGAAAGGAAGAAGAAGGATGAGGAGGAGGAAGGAGAAGAAGAAGAAGAAGAAGAAGAAGAAGAAGAAGAAGAAGAAGAAGAAGAAGAAGAAGAAGAAGAAGAAGAAGAAGAAGAAGAAGAAGAAGAAGAAGAAGAAGAAGAAGAAGAAGAAGAAGAAGAAGAAGAAGAAGAAGAAGAAGAAGAAGAAGGAAGAAGAAGAAGAAGTTGTTCAGTTCTAAAAGGTCTGCAGAGTGTGACTGGAAAAGCATGTGGCTGGATAACCCAGAGGGCGGGAGCAGGCCGGCCGGTGGCTGGTACTCACCGTGGTGGTGGTGGTCACCTCTTCGGTCACCACCTTCAGAGTATCGACCACAGAGATGTAGCCCAGGCGCTTTGCAATCGCCAAGGCGGTGTTACCATTCTGAAGAGAGAGGGAGAGAGGAGAGAGGGAAAAGGAGAGTGAGAACCGAGAGGGAGGACTGTGATGGGGAGCCAATGAGATCACCCGAGCGGCGGCGTGAGCCAGCATTTCCTTCCAAAACAAGGCACTGCTCGGGGAAAATCACTAGTTTTTACCATTACATCTAAATCTGTCTTTGTAACTTCTTTAGACTATAGCCCGGGTCACCATGGTAACACAACAAGCTTGCATCTGCCTGCTCTTTTTTAATAAGAAGCACTTGATGCTTTAACCCCTAAGGTGGTCACACATCTTCTGCAAATGCTCTACTAAGCTTGAGGAAAGTACCTCCGGCCCTGAGGATGATATTCCCTGCTCTCTGCTCCCCAAAGTACTGGGGGAATACCAGTACCCTTACTCCTCACCAGGGGTCAGTGAGGTCAGCTCAGAGGTGCCCCCCTTCCGCCCCCCAGCAAAGGACAGGGTAACAGATTGCACTACAGCTGTGCAAGAGCTCAGTCTGCAGGCAAATAACACAAGCAAGCAATTCAAGCAGCCTCCAGCCCAGGCCCAGAGCGTGGGATCCCCGGGTTTGTTTAATTACACCACTTAGTTTACATTTCAATGGCTCCACATCCCAATGAGCTTTGTCTGAGCCAGCAGCAGCAGCAGCAGCAGCTCCGACTTGGGGCTCCCTTAAGAAAGCAGAGAAGGAGGGGAGCGTCTGTGCTCACATCTGAGAGCCAGCTGTAAGCAGAGAACTCCCAGAATGCTGAGCACAGGGCCCCCCCACTCTCCCGAGAGCCAACTTGAACCTTGCCAAATGGTGAGTCCCTTCCTGGGCTAACAGTCCTGGGAAGTCACACTGGTTTGCCAGAAATCTGGGGCTTTCCACAGTGCAGGAGGTTACTTAAGGAGGCTGGATGAGAACTTAGCTCAGACAGGAGGCCACGGATGCAAGAGAGGAAGAAAGAGAGGCTGGCAGGGAGGCTCTGCTTACCGCGGTGGTGGCATTGGGCTTGGCGCCATGCTGGAGCAGGACATTGATGATGTGCGTGTGGCCTTGCTGGGCAGCCTGGTGCAAAGGTGTGTAGCCGTTCTGTGGATGATAGGCCCCGGGGAGAAGGAAAGTAGGTTAGCCTTCGTTTTCCATTTCCTAGTCTTACTGACAACAAAACCATCAAATGATGTTTTGTTTATTCCGAGCCCCATTTTCCCAGCAACCCAACGCTCAGCAGCAGGCCCTCCCTCACACCTTCTGCTGTGCTAAACAAAGCAAAAGCCTCGCTTACGAAACACAAGAGAAGCAGACTCCAAATGATTCTAACCCTTAGGTATATTTTTCTCACCAATTAGCATTAAACATGAGAATGCCATGGAGATTTAAAAATGGGAAAGGACATTATACATTCAATTTCTTTCCTAGAAAACTTGTAGGGTAAGCTAGTTTTTCATTGCCGATTTAAGGGCTGTGGATAGTATAATATCCACTGCTTGTTCACCGTAAATCTAACAATGAAATTTTGTATTCGTTTTCGTACTTTTTTTTTTCTATTCCAGTGCTGGGGCTTGAACTCAGGGTCTTGGGGCTGCTTCTGAAGCTTTTTCACTCAAGGCTAGCACTCTACCACTTGAGACACACCCCCACTTCTACCTTTTAGCTGGTTAATTGGAGATAAGAGTCTCTGAGATTTGTCTGTCCAGGCTGGCTTTGAACCTTGATGCTCAGATCTCAGCCTCCCAAGTAGCAAATTATAATCATGAACCATCAGTGCCAAGCCTTATTAGCATCTTGAATGATGTTTTTGAAAACCTCTGAATGTGCTCAATAAGTTACATCAATCAGCCCGAGTGGAACTAGGAATTCCTGATTTGTGAGTTTGAAAACAGAGCATACCATATATTTCTTTGGATTAAAGAACTGGGAGTCTCCAAGTTACATTGTATGTTAATAGGAGTAGGTAGAGCATGCATATCTCTTCAACTTGAACAAATCTGAGTACACTGAGCTGGAAGGTTATGTTCCGAACTTGCTTTGCTGAAGCAGATCGTTTCAGTGTACTGGGAAAAACTTGCGATCAAATCAGCTCTCCATTCTCCTTGAGAACTTCTGGATCCGGCCCCATATGCCATTATATCTTACAGTAAATTGTTAAATCGATGTCAGCTACTTGAACTTTATAATGAAGCAGTTCAGCCACTAACCTACATGGATGTGGAAGGTTCTTAGAATGAAAAGTCCCAAACGTTGCTTTTTTTCAAAATCACTTTAGAACAACAACAACCAAAAAAAGAAAAGGCCTTGGGGTGGGGGTGGGGTACTTGTAGCCTGTGAAGCATTCATATGGCTGAATGGCTGCTTGGAAAAAAAGGAAAAATGAACATAAGAAATTGTACCTTGGTTTTTGCATTCACATTTGCCCCCTGTTTCAGAAGAAAGTTGACCATCTTCACATTGCCATAGTGACAGGCCACAATTAAAGGAGTGTAACCAAGCTGTAAATAATAAACAGGTTAATAATAATAATAATAAATAGATCACAAATTCAAAGCATTATTTTTGAAATGGCTAATAGCCAAAGGGAGAGCAATTCTGTCTGGAATATTTCAGAAGGAATCCAAGTTGATTGTACAGTTTCACAGATAATATATGCATCTATTGGATACAAATATAGATAAGGACAGATCCCCAAGCACATAGAACTTTACATCAGCCAGGGAGTCCTAAGATATAGATAAGTTACTTTGCAAAGAATCAAGAGAAAAGCACAGGGGTGACTATTTGAAAACAGAGTAGAATGACTCAGGAAGAGACCCTGGAAAGGTACCACTAAGACAGGCTTACGGATTGGGTTTGGTGAGCTGCTGATGGCTCACACCTGTAATCCTAGCTACTCAGGAGGCTGAGATCTGAGGATCACAGTTTGAAGCCAGCCTGGGGCAGGAAAGTCTATGAGACTCTTATCTCCATTTAGCCAGCAAAAAGCTGGAGGTGGAGGTATGGCTCAAGAAGTAGAGCAATACCCTTGAGTGACAAAGCCAAGTGAAGGCATGAGGTCTTGAATTCAGGGCATAGCACTGGCGCACACACACACACACACACACACACACACACACACACACACACACACACACACACACACACACAATGGGCTTGAATCATGGCTCAGAAAGGAAAGTGCTTCTTCCAGAACAAGGTCATGGAGAAAAGGAAGCACCAAAAGGAAAAGCAAAGACAAAGGACCAGCCAACTCAGTTTTCTATTTGGTATCCTGACACCGCACTCTCCAGGTGGATTTGAGTCCAGCAAACCCTTAGCAAGAGGAATGACATCGTTTCAATGGACTTTTGAGAATGGGTGTCCTGGACCTGGGCTAACCTGGGCTAATGTGAGCATTTGGGAAGCATCCAGGTTGGAACTTGTTGCAGCCTTGACAGTAATGAGCTTTACCTTTGTATGAGCATCTTTGTCGGCCCCATGCTTTGTAAGAATATCAGCAACATTGACTTTATCTTCTTGGGCTGCAAGGTGTAAGGATGTGAGGCCACTCTGTGGAGAAATTGCAAACAGAGGGGACAATCAAAGAGGAAAATCTACACCATCGGCCTTTGGGGTTTGGTTTCTGTTTTTCCCACACTTGGGTTTCGAACTCAGGGTCTCATGCTTGCTCAGTAGCTTGCTTGCTTGACATCCTATTCCCTGAGCCATGCCTCTACTTCTCAATTATACTATATACCCTGAAAAACATCTCCTCTGCCAAGAAACTGCATCTTTTTCTAGCTAAGTCAAACTCTTGAAGTGAAGGCTTTTGTTTTGTCTTACTTTGTTTTGATCGGAGACTTATTCTCTGAGTTAACCAACACCTTCAGCAAATTATATTTTCTATTTTCTATATTGGGCATCTATGATGTGAGTTTTTAAAATAACTCAGCTAATAAGATTCGAAACAGCATTCATTTCAAACCCACATGTGCCTCTTGCTGAATCTCTTTGTTTCTGTAAATAAGTTACCAAACAAATATTACTGCAATAGTATTAAAACCTTAGCAATAATTTGTATTTTCTATCAATAAAATATCATGTTACAAGAAATTAGTTCAGAATAATTTTCTCCAGCCTCTAGAGTGTACATATTTTTTGGGGGGGAGGGTTTCCTCTAGATGCTAAATTTTAAAAAGTAACTTTCACAGGTTTAGGAGTACATATAAACTGGGTGGTTTTATGTAAAAATATTTGGTATATGTGCATTGGATTTATTTAAATATACAATTAAAGTACAGTTATGAATAAATAAAAATGGGGGAAGCAAGTAGGAGATAGAATAGTTTATTCCATCAATACCACATATAGAAATCTCAATATACAAAAATAGCTCTCATCCAACAAAATTGGCATGTAAAGATTTAGCTGGGTAGTGGTGGCTCACACCTATAAACCTACCTACTCAGGACACTGAGAGTTATCATTCAAAACTAACCCCAAGGGGCTGGGAAGGTGGCTTAGTGGTAGAGCGCTTGCCTTGCATGCATGAGGCCCTGGGTTCGATTCCTCAGCACCACATGAGCAAAAAGAAAAAAGCCGGAAGTGGCGCTGTGGCTCTAGTGGTAGAGTGCTAGCCTTGAGCTGAAGAGCTGAGGGACAGTGCCCAGGCCCAGAGTTCAGGCCCCACGACCGGACCCAAAAAAACAAAAAACTAACGCCAAGCAGGAAAGTCTGTAAGACTCTTATCTCCAACAAACTACCAAAAGGCCAGAAATGGAGCTGTGGTTCAAGTGGTAGAGCACTTGCCTTGACTAGTAAAACTCAGAGACAGTGCCAAGGCCCTGAGTTCACATCCAGGACCAGAAAAAAAACATCCTTAAGTAAATTTACAAAGGAGTTCTAATTCAACATGCTAGTTTGTGAGTGTAATACACCTTGATCAATGTCGCCCCTTCCACCAATATCCTCATTTCTCCTAATCCATCCCCTCAATTTTCCTACTTAAGTTCCTGCCTTTATAGAGTTTATATTTTAGCTTATAGGGTATTCATATCTGTACTCCTCTCTCCTTATTATTATTAAATACCTTCCTCCTCTTCCTATGCATCTTGTAGCTATATTCTGAGGTAGATACCTGTGCTTAGAAAAACTTCACATCCTCACCTCCAATTTACATTCAACTTTAACCCTGTTGAACACAGGCCTCTTGAATCTGGAATCCAAACCAGCAGAAATGAGAGCTGTTTGGGCTGACAGGGGCGCTTGCTCATGAGACCTGTGGAGTGGGCTCTCCTGACCCTCATGTCACATGATGAAACTGAGAAAACGAATCTAACAAAAGAAGTGGTTGAAGGGATGGAGGCATGGCTCAGTTGGTAGAGTGCCAGCCAATGAGCAAGTCTCAGTCTTGGATGAGAGAAAGAAGGAAAGAAAGGAAAGGGAAGGGAAGGGAAAGGAAGGGAGGGAAGGAGGGAGGGAGGAAGGAAAGAAGGAAGGAAGGAAGGAAGGAAGGAAGGAAGGAAGGAAGGAAGGAAGGAAGGAAGGAAGGAAAAGAAAGGAAGGAAGGAAGGAAGGAAGGGGGAGAGAGAGAGAGAAAGAAAGAGAGAGAGAGAGAAAGGAAGGAAGGAAGGAAGGAAGGAAAAGAAAGGAAGGAAGGAAGGAAGGAAGGAAGGGGGAGAGAGAGAGAGAGAGAAAGAAAGAAAGAAAGAAAGAAACCAAGAAAGAAAGAAAGGAAGGAAGGAAGAAAGAAAGAAAGAAACCAAGAAAGAAAGAAAGGAAGGAAGGAAGAAAGAAAGAAAGAAAGAGAGAGAGAGAGGAAGGAAGGAAGGAAGGAAGGAAGGAAGGAAGGAAGGAAGGAAGGAAGGAAGGAAGGAAGGGGGATAAAGAAAAAGAAAGAGAGAGAGAGAAAGAAAGAGAGAAAGAGAAAGAAAGGAAGAAAGAAAGAAAGGAATGAAGCAAGGAAGGAAGGAAGGAAGGAAGGAAGGAAGGATTTGAAACTGCAGAGAAAAATCAAGATGCAAAAATATAGCCCATCCTGGTAGAGAAGAGCGACTACCTTGCTTCTCATGGTGTTCTGAATCCTTCTACATCTTGCCTCTCTTCCCATCTTTGAGGAATAGGCTACATCCCTGTGTCCTTTTCTTTTTGTTCCAAGTTATACTGGATTGTTTTCTGTTCACCAGCCCCTGAAAGATTCTTGGTTGTAACCAGAGGCTAGAGGCTAGAACCAAATACCTTGGTTGACATGTGGATGTTAGCTCCCTTGTCCAGAAGCAAAGTGACCATGTCTGCATGGCCCTCCTGGGAGGCCAGGTGGAGTGGAGTGACTCCCTGCTTCGTCACAATGTTAGTCTCGGCTCCGTAATTCAGGAGTGTGGACGCAATTTGCATCTGATTCTTCTTGGCAGCGATGTGTAAAGGTGTGTAACCATTCTAACACAAGAATGAGAGCATACAGACAGACAGACAGAGAGAATGCTTAACAATTGCTGATATGCATAAATATGTATTTCTAATAATAAATATATAAGTATACATAAAGAAAACATACAAGTATAATCATCAGAAAAGGTAAAATACAAGGTGATAGTTAATCCAGAGTCTCACTTAAATCAAAAGTTTCCCTTCAACCATTCACCATCTTCACCAAAGAGTGTCCCATTAGACCATGAGTCAGTTAGTTACAAGTACAAAGAGCCCAGAGCTGAAGTCTCCTAAACAGTAATAGAAAATAAGGCAGGCTCTTCTTCTACTTCACAGTCCTTTAAGGAGTACCTGAGGGTGGATTTCACATCTTCCTGTCCAGTCTTCTCTTTTCCAGACTCCATTTCCTATTTCTTCAACTCTTCTTGACCGAAGTTCCATTTCTGTGCCTCTCTCCACTAAAAAAAAACTATCCTGAGCTGACTAGATAGTGTGTCACATCGCTGTTGAATTGTGGGATCTAGTACTGCAGGCTATAGTTTAGATGCTGTTCTAGTAATACATAATAAACTGGAATTCTTGCTATGTGTTTATTACTATCTTACTACTAATATGCTTCTGATGGGATTGCACTTTGAGCAATAAATGTTATTGGCATAAGCCAGGCAGTTGTAGAAATACAAAGGTGAGAGTGTCAGAACTGAATTTAAATAGCTGTCTTCAAACAAAAAAAAATTTTTTTTTAAATCAAGCTTCTAGTAACCCCTTGGTCAATGTAAATCTGAGATCCTCTTCTTCCCACAACCTGCTGCTCATAACATGAGGTTATTGCCTCTCATACACTGTTGACAAGAGCCAAGTAGTACACTCTACACTTAAATGGAAACAAAATGAAAAAGGAAATCATTGGAACTAGGGTTAGTCTAGAGCATACATCGTTTTCTTTCCCTTATCAAATCAGGTGGATTTTTTCAAGAGCACTGTGTGAGACAGAAGTAAAAAACAGTGGCTTTGTCACAATGGTGTTAACAGGACGTCGATTTGCTGCTTCTGGTGAGACCACAATAAGAGATATTCTGAGGTCCTGCCACCTCCTTAAATCTAACTGCAAAATGTGCAAAAGAAGGGAGAAGAAGGTGGAGGAGGAGGAGGAGGAGGAGGAGGAGGAGGGGGAGGAGGAGGAGGAGGAGGAGGAGGAGGAGGAGGAGGAGGAGGGGGAGGAGGAGGAGGAGGAGGAGGAGAAGAAGGTGGAGGAGGAGGAGGAGGAGGAGGAGGAGGAGGAGGAGGAGGAGGAGGGGGAGGAGGAGGAGGGGGGGGGAGGAGGAGGAGGAGGAGGAGGAGGAGGAGGGGGAGGAGGAGGAGGAGGGGGAGGAGGAGGAGGGGGGGGAGGAGAGGGAGGAGGAGGAGGGGGGGAAGGAGGAGGAGGAGGAGGAGGAGGAGGAGGAGGGGGAGGAGGAGGAGGGGGGGGAGGAGGAGGAGGAGGAGGAGGAGGAGGAGGAGGAGGGGGAGGAGGAGGAGGAGGAGGAGGGGAAAGAAAAGAAAAAACACTAAAATGCAGTTGTGAGAAGTTAAATGTCTCTGTACCACTCTCCAATGTCAGTATTCCAATGGTCTTATACTATACCCTGTTCCCACTTCTTAAACAAAACATTAACATATTTCTATTTATTTGTAACAAATATTTGTCTTCTAGCTTCTGAAGCAAGCTTAGCAGCTCTCCTAGGTGAACTTTTCAGAGGCCAGTTATAAATCCCAGATGTTCTAGAGGCTAGAGAATATTTCACTTGAGTATATGAGTTTAGTTGAATAAGGGTACATAGACTTTTGTGGACCTTACAAGTTTTTGTTATCATGTTTTGGGCTGTTTTTTTTTTTTTTTTTGTCAGTAGCAGGGCTTGAACTTGGGGCCTGGGTGCTGTCCCTGTACTCTTTTGTTCACAGCTAGCGCTCTACCACTTCGAGCCACAGTGCCACTTCCAGTTTTCCAGTAATTAATTGGAGATAAAAGACTTTCTTGCCCAGTCTGGCTTTGAACCATGATCCTCAGATCTCAGTCTCCTGCATAGCTAAGATTACAGGTGTGAGCCACTAGAACCTAGCTTGTTTGTTGTTTCTTTGTTTGTTTAATTTCTGTACCAACTTTCCCCATTCCTCCCATCTTATCTACCAAGGTTAGGTAAGCTATCTGGGTATTTGTTAATCAGACTCATATGGTTGGAAACAGGAATGCATTAACAACAACAAACACAAGAAGAGACATCATTAATGTGGTGGTGTTGATCTGGGAAATGGAAAGGAGTTATTGGTCTGCAATCCGCAAGATCTGAAGAGTCCTTTACCCCATAGAGTAAAAGTATTTTTAACTAAATAACTAAAACTTACCTCATTCTCCCTGACTTAAAATAAAGACTAAGAGAATGTTCTGAATATTGACAGAAAAAAAAGATGTGAGAGATTCTAAAGATCAAAGGACTGTGTGTTAAAGGAGAGAAAATTATAATGAATAAAAAAGATCTGTGTGCATGTATGTATGTGTACAAATGTACATATATTTATAATTCTTTATAATATCAAGCTTGGTTACATACGAAAGGTATGATACTACACAGAATATGCTTCATATGGAATATTCCATTTAAATATATATATGTATATATACAATTAAATAGTGTACATATCTATTAAAGAAATTAGAAGTCCATTGTGTCAGGATGCAATACATCTGGAGGTTGAAAATGTCAGCTCCAAAGTCCGGAAGCTAACAGTAACTCTGAAATTTATTTAAGAAATACATCTACTTAAATCTCACTTTCTTGTTTGCAAAATGAGAACATTGCAATACAAATCTCATCAGATTTTGCACAGGACTAAATGAGATATGGGGTATACATGCAGAGCATAGTGTTTGGTACATACATGCTGTTCGTTTTTTACCACTTCATCTAATAGAATATGGATATTTTCTCATCACAACAAATACTATTTCTTTTTGTAAATGTTTTTGCCAGTTGTCAGTGGCTTCTGGGATACATGCCTGTAAAATACCAGCTACTCAGGAGGCTGAGGTTTGATTGACTGAGGTTTGGATCCAGTTTAGGCAGATAAGTCCCCAAGATGTTTATTTTCAATTACCCAGTTAAAAAAAAAAAAGTGGAAATGGAGGTGCGACTCAAGTGGTAGTGTGCCAACCTCAAGAGAAAAAGCTAAGGAAGAACATTAGACCCAAGGATTTACTCACACACACACACGCACACACACACACACACACACACACAATTGTTCTCAAAATATATTAGTGACCAGATGAAAACTGTGATGATAACTTCTGTTGTGTGACATTCATATACATGTTCATATATATTTCAAAAGAGCGAGTCAAATGGTGGGAAATGACCTACCAAAAGGCATGATTAAGAGTTCTTTAGGAAGTAGATGCTAGATACACAACCCAATTCATGTAAGGACTTAAAAATCCACACTGCAGTTTGCACAAGTGAAAAAAAAAATTAAAGACAAAAGGAACAAGAGTCTTTCATATAGCAGAATGAATAGCATTCTGTGTTACAGGATGGAAAATGAAACCCACAATGCCTCCATCACATTTCATCCCTCGAAACTTAGATATTCATATCTACAACGTTAAATATTGGCAACCAGATTCGTTCATTTCCATGGCTTAGAAGACCAACCTCAATATCTGCTGACTCTAAAATCCTTTAAAAAGTTTGGTAGAAGCAGCTAGTAGAAACAAAACAATAAAAAGAGATATCAATACCAAGAGCTACAGTGATGGTTGGTGTTAGGGTTGGCATGTAGTTAATATCTGCTGTGATGCTCACCTTGGCAGTGGCATGGGGGAAAGCACCCTTCTCCAGGAGCAGCAGCGCCACCTTCTGGTTGTCATAGTGAGCAGCGACATGGAGCGGGGTAAGGCCATTCTGTAAAGGTGTGTTTAAGTTTCGGCATTAATACATTAGTGTCAGCGGCCCTGCAGCTATGGAGATGCATGGACATTGAGTTCAATTAAGTTGATGTTAATTCATTAATACAGTCAATGGAAAGTAAAGAGTCAAAATAAAGATATAATTTTCATACTGAACGTGTGAATTAAAAAGGTAAATTAAAATTCGCTGAAAATGATTGAGCACACAATTAGCAACAGGCAGTTGGGTGAAACAAGAAGAACAAAAAAGTCTAAACTGTTCACACCTGGAATCCTAGCTACTCAGGAGGTTGAGATCTGAGGAGCATGGTTCAAAGCCAACCCGGGCAGGAAAGGCCGTGAGACACTTATCTCCAGTAAAAACCACTAGAAAGCCAGAAATGGCACTGTGGTATAGTGCTCACCTTGAGCTGAAGAGTGCAGGGACAGCGCCCATGCCCAGAGTTCAAGCCCCACAACCAACAAAAAAAATAAAAAAAGAAATATAACATAGCCATCAAGTCCCCAGTGGCTCAGGCCTGTAACCCTAGCTATTCAGAAGACCTGTGGTTAGAAATCAGCCTGGGCAAGAAAGACCATGAGACTCTTATCTCCAATGAACTAGCAAAGAGCTGGAAGAGGAGCTGTAGCTCAAGTAGGAGAGCAGTAGCCTTGAGCACAAAAGCTCAGGAGAGCATCCAAGTCCTGAATTCAAACCCTAGGACCAGCACTAAATAAATAAACATATAAATAAATGACATTAACATCAACAAGAATTCTTCATAACAGAGACAAGTAAAGGCACCCCTTCTCAACTGGTGTGTGTATGAAAGGTTTTGAGGGGGTACCTCCACCCTGTCTAACCAGCACACATTCATCAGTGACACAAATATTTCTGCAAACATTTGACTGAGTTCCATAACTAAAATACACTATGGAAGTACGGTACGCTCAGGCGAGGATTCCAATGGTGAAATTTCCTCTCCTCTGAAGGGCAGCGGGGAGGTACACAAGGAGGTGAGGCAGATGGATGGAGAGACGAAGAGCTGGCAAATGCGGTGATCAAATTCAGTGTACACAAGTGAAAATGGAGCCGTGTAATTTGAGAGTGTGGATGGGGGTTGGGAAAGCTGGCGGAGAGCAATGGAGGAGGTGACTCAGATGAAGGTGCATTAAAGTGATTGATTGGCTTGAAACCCCTGTGTCCAATTTCTTAAAGGCAATAATAAAGGGAAAAAATAAGGTAAAAATAACATGCATGAAATAAAACACACCACTGAAAGCATGTACCTTTCCTGCAGAGTCTGCAGCTGCACGGCGTTGCAAGAGAAGTTTTGCCACATCCAGGCTTCCATACTTGGCTGCCACATGCAGGGGAGTGAAGCCCTTCTGGAGAATGGGAAGAACAAAATGTACAAGTGATTTTTCCTAAATCCTCACAAAATCTTCATTAAGATATTAAGCAATCTTTGCTGATTTTCCATCTGGAAAAAAAAATGCTGTCAGTATAAAATATGTTAGTCGTAAACAAAGACAAGAATGAAAAAATACAAGCTAACCTTCAAAAGTTTGGTTTGATTTTAAGGTTGTGGAGACTGAAATTGGATGTTGTCAGTTTGGGATTTGTAATATCCACTGGAGCCAGTAAACTGGCTCTGATTTGGACCCCACCTCACCCCCCAAAAAGCCTGTCTTTCCCCCCCCCCTCTAAAATTAATAGAATTTTGAGAACAGCTTCCTCCTATTTCTTACAATCCTTCTTTTTGGTAACACCTTAATTCCAGGTTTCTTTATTTAAATTTTAGGATATTTTGGGAGCTGTGGTTTAAAAAAAATAGAATTCTTTGCAATTCGCTTGACATATTTTCTTTTGCAAAACAAAATTGCAAGATAAGTGGTCTACAGAAGAAAATATACTCCTTATGACAAAGGTCCTCCCCTCTGGCTTTTGTCCCCTTTTTCCAGAAAACTCAGGCTGTCTGAAAGACTCTTTCCTCTTGGAAAATACATCCTACTCTTGGCAAGATGTTGGGTTGATTAACGCCAGATTTTTGAACACATGGAAAGCTGAATGTGCTTTTCAAAGATGGCTGTTGTGCACATTCCTACATACACACACTCCATGTTTGTGTGCTTAAAGAATAGTGGCACAATGGGCTGGGAAGGTGACTCAGTGGTAGAGTGCTTGCCTTGCATGGAGGAGGCCCTGGGTTTGATTCCTCAGCACCACATAAGCAGAAAAAGACAGAAATGGCGCTGTGGCTCAGGTGGTAGGACGCTAGCCTTGAGCTGAAGAGCTGAAGGAAAGTGCCCAGGCCTGGAGTTCGGGCCCCATGACCAACAACAACAACAACAATAAAAAGAATAGTCACACTCTGTGAGAAATGCAAGGACCTTCCTGAACTGAGATCTCAGGGACATACAAAACCTGTAGCATGATCCCAAATCTAGACTCTAGACCAGACACTTAGAACACCATGCTCTTCCGACCCTACAGTGGGGGTTGGGAGTTCTACCCTGACCAGGCCCCTGTGAACACATCGCAAATACACTTACATTCATGCCCCCAACTATAGCTTATCTTTGGGTCATTTGGGCCCTACCATAAACACTGAATATCTCCCCAAGTGCAAAGATCATCGTGTCATAGTTTCACCAGTTTTTCTTTGTGCTTAAAAATTTAAACACACACACACACACACACACACACACACACACACACACACACACACATTTGGTACTAATAAGTCCTTGGAAGAAAGTGGCTCTTCTGGCTTTCTACAAGAGTGTGACAAACATAGGAAGGGTTTCTTTCTTCTGGCATGAGTCCACTTGGAACTCGCATTGGCAGTGTGAGTTCCGCCCCAGAGCAATGCCAGGGTGGTACTCAGGATGAAGGAGAGTGCTTTGAGGCAAGCCACATGAGAATGGAGAAAAAAATGATAACACTTTGTCCATACAGTGATGCTAGAGCAGTGAGTGAACTTTTGGATACATTTGGAAACACAGCTTCAACAAAACTCCATAGAACCCTCACTGTGGAATGACAGTCAGGGTGAGCAAACAGCTCCTGACTCACCCAGCCCTTCCTTTATGAGACACACACTGCGATGTGATCTGCCTCCGAGATTTATGAACACAGCCCTCAGCATGGTGAGTCACCTATTTGTCAGCACTGGCCATGGTTGCTGTTAAACTGCTCTAGTTAATGGTGATTTCTACTTTCCCATCCTCCTCTCCAATGGATTTTATTTTACTTCTAAATATCTTTGAAAGACAAGAGACAACTCCCTTCCTCCCTCCTAGCTAGTATCCTTCCCTCCTCTTCACCCCTTCCTTCCTTCCTTCCTTCCTTCCTTCCTTCCTTCCTTCCTTCCTTCTTTCCTTCCTTCTTTTTCTTCCTTCCTTCCATCCTACTTTCCTTCCTTTTCTTCCTTCCTTCCATCCTTCCTTCCTTCTTTTTCTTCCTTCCTTCCGTCCTTCCTTCCTTCCTTTTCTTCCTTCCTTCTGTCCTTCCTTCATTTTTGGGTTGATCATAGGGCTTGAGATCAGGGCCTGGGCACTGTCCCTGAGCTGTGTCATTCAAAGCTAGTGTGATAACACTTTGAGCTACAGCTCCACTTCTGGTTTTCTGGTGGTTAACTGGAGATAAGAATTTCACAGACTTTCTTGCTCCAGCTGGCTTTGAACCCCGATCCTCAGATCTCAGGCTCCTGAGTAACTAGGATTATAAGTATGAGCCATCAGGACCCAGCTCTGCTTTTACATATCTTAATTCTACTTACACTTTCATCTGAGAAGACCATCATCAGCTCCCACTTAGATTGTTATTAGTATTATATGATTCTGCTTAATTTCTGAATTTCTTGTTAAAGTTCTTTTTTAAAAGTTCTTTTAAAAAGTTATTTTTAAAAGAACTTTTTAAAGCCGTTTAGATTTTCAGATGTCAGGATTTGAATAAAGATAATTCCTTATTACAAAATGTATGTGGGAGTGCATGCACGTGGGTGTGGGTGTGGGTGGGTGAGTGTATGTGTGGGTGTGGGTTTGAACTCAGGGCCTGAGCACTGTCCCTTAGTTTTTTCACTTAATGTTTTCATTCTTATCACTTTAACCACAACTCCATTTCTGGCTTTCTGGTTAATTGGAGATAATGGTTTTATATACTTTGCTGCCCAGGCTGGCTTTCAACTGTGATCCTCAGAGCTCAGCCTCCTGAGTAGCTAAGATTACAGGCGTGAGCCACCAGTGCTTTGGTCAAAATATTATTATACTTATACACAACTATAGTTATACATAACTGGTAGATAGCAGGCAGCTCTCACTCCTAGAGCAATGAGGGCACATCACTGTCTCAAGTTTTCACTTGTAAACTTCCTTCTCCCAGGCACAATGTTTATTCCTACTTACTCTCAGCAAATTGAAATGGACTTTTCATTCATCTGAATGTTGTAGTGTGGAAATAATTTTTCCTTGTGACAAATTCATCATTCTAGATTTCTGTTTCCTTTATCTACTCTTCTGCACTGGCTCATTTTCTATTGCTTCAAAGAGCTGTGAGCATTTGTATTTTATCCTGCTTACCTCTACATAGTGAATTTCAAAGAGAAAGTATAAAGTGAAGGAAAAATGATCTGAATACAAACAAAACCCAGGATGATGGAGGATCTTTGATGTGAGTAGCGATACATCAAGTATGAATCTCCAGCTCGATTGTATCTCGACACTCAGTACTTAGGCCAAGGTATACTTGACAGAGAAAAGACCAATGGTAAGAGCAGGAGCTGGGGATTTAGATGGGGACCAGCTGGTAACTAGGGATGGGGAAATCACAAGAGAAAGTGAACCCCACAGCACACAAAGCTACCAGGAATGCCAGACTCGTAGTATATTTTTTTCCTCATTTGGAATCTGGGAAGCTTATTTTCTTTCTCTTATGATTACATCATAGATTTGACAGTGGAGAGGGAAGAAAAAAGTGCACAGTCCACTTAAAGTCCTAGGAACCAGTATTGGAAATAACACTGGCATTGGGAGAATGAAATGTAGAACTCTGGGGGTTTGGGTGTTGGTGTTGGGTTTTGTTTTGGGGGGGTTATTTTGGTGCCAGTCCTGGGGCCTTGAACTTAGGGCTTCGGTACTGCCCTTGAGCCAGTCCTGGGGCCTTGAACTTAGGGCTTCGGTACTGCCCTTGAACTTTTGTGCTCAAAGTGACCGCTCTGCTACTTGAGCCACAGCTCCACTTCCAGCTTTTTCTGAGTAGTCTACTGGAGATAAGAATCTCACAGACTTTCCTGCCTTGACTGGATCCTCAGCTCTCAGCCTCCTGAATAGCTAGGATCACAGGTGTGAGCCACCAGCACCTGGCTGCAGAATTTTTATATGTACATATACATATGTATATATATAAATACATATACATCTATAGACATATCTATATACATAGATATGTGTATATATATATAAATATAAAATGTGGAGTTTCACATCCTCCTTAATCATATAGCCCATGAATATAAAATGCCCAAAGAAGGAAGTGAGCCATCTGGAGATCCACTCTCCCAGATGCCCATGTCCCGGGCCATCCTCTCGGCCACAGCTACCCGGAAGTCCATCTCCTTACCTTGGTGGCCAGGGAGTGAGCAGCTCCCGCCTCCAGGAGGACAGAGGCCACATCCAGCTGGCCTTCTCGGGCAGAGATGTGCAGGGGTGTGTACCCGTTTGTGGTCGCCGCGTCTGGATGGGCCATGTGCTGTAGGAGCAGCTGGACGATCTCTGTCTTGCCCAGGCGGGAGGCAATGTGCAGAGGTGTCTGTTCCTCCTACAACTCAAGTCAAGTGAGAAGTTAGAGCCCGGAAGACCCAACTCCACGGACCACGTGTGTCATGGTGTCGTGTGTCATGGTGTCATCTCAGAAGCTCCAGGAAATACATCCCCAAAGAAAGCCAGTGTTCCTGCGTCCTCCACACTTTGTATCTTGCTATCCAGGTGACTTCTTGGGTTCTCTAGTTTCTCTTGTTTTTTTTTTTTTCTTAAGTACTGGGATTTTAACTCAGGGCCTTCCCTTGGCTAAGTTGTCACTCTATTGCTTACGTCATACCCCCAACCTTATTTTTTTTGCCATAGTTCTCTTTCCGATAGGGTCTCATGTTTTTACTCCCACGTGGCGTTGAGCCATCACCACTGGTTTATTTGTTGAAATGAGGGTTGTCTGGCTAACATTTTGTCTGAGTTGGCGTCAAACCACAACCTGGCCAATCTCTGCTTCTGGAGTAGCTGGGATTACAGGCATGCGCCACCACACTCAGCCCTAGTTTGTTTTTTGTTTGTTTTTAAATCATACGTACATTCTTGAAATTGTTATTTTCTGGACACCCCTAAAATATTTCCCACCTCATGAAAGAGTCTACCTTCACTTATGTATAAGTGCAAACATGTTCAAACTCACGGCTTTGAGAAGAAGAAATGGAGTCAAGGAATTTTAAGACCCAGATCATCCTCTAAGAGCTTTTTTACTTAAAAGGAAGGATTTATTTCAGGGAGCTGTATCAAGTGAAAATGACCCAGGGAAGCTGGAAAAATTTTGTTCTTACTCTATTCAGTAAGCCAGGGATACAACTGCTGGTCATTTTCTTCAGGGAGAAACTGCATAAAGAAGACATTGTAATCTGGTTTTAAAAGCCACTGTTCCAGGAAATGCTGCTGTTGAGTCTGCAACTCACATCCAGGACTTCAAAGATGAACTGAGGCTCTGGCAATAAGCAAACGGAATGAGCTACTTGCCAAGTGTTCTTAGTTGAAAGGGAGAAAGTCTAGAGCTGGGGATAAGGGACAGGAAAGACTTGCTCAAGGAAGCTCATGAAGTCACCTGATCGTAACCGCTAGTCAGGATTGATGTTTTCAGGGTGAAGAGAACCAGGCCAAATAACTGTCTTGTGTAAAAATAAAATCGAGTTCAACCTTAAGTGATGAAAAGGGGGTGTATCTTTACAATCTACCCGAGGGGAGTCAAAATAAAAAGTGAAGAATGAAGATCTGGGCCAGAGTCCAAGGCTGTGAATGAATAGAGGAAAGATAGAACAGATTTGTGCAAATAAATGCAATACCTCAATGTTATTTGTTTTAATGATGCTATAAGCATTGCATGGATTTTAGCATGGCAAGAAGCAAGTAATACATGATAGCAATAAGGTTATTTTAATCAAAGAATTGGGATGTGGTCAAGCTAGGTAATTTATCCATTTCATTCATACATGATGCATATCTTTAGACAGAAGTAAAGGTATAAAATGTACTATTAAACCACTGGGTTTTTGTGATAAAGAGATTAAAAGGAATTTAGTGAGTTCTCAAAGATTGCCCAAGGTCATGAAACTACTAAAACAGAATTTGAATTCAGGCACTGGGTTGAACAATGTTTCTTTGTCTGTGAATTCTATAGAAATAGACACTATGAGACAGCCATAAAAAGAACTACCAGGACAAGATGGGTCCCAACAGCAGATGAAGAAAATGGACTTTTACAAAAATCAGTAGCAATGGAAACATCCATGAAGTATAAGCGACGAGAGGAAAGCTACAGAGAACACCCACCTCTCAGCCCCCCACAGACCTCAACAGAGCACATTCAAATGTGCTTTGCATTGCAGTAGGGAGGGGAAGGCAATGATGATCTTATTTTTAATCCAGAGCTGAGAAGAAGCAATCTTTGATTAGCATGGCCAGTGGCAGCTATTGCTCTTTAGTTTTAGGATGTGTGTGTGTGTGTGTGTGTGTGTGTGTGTGTGTGTGTGAGAGAGAGAGAGAGAGAGAGAGAGAGAGAGAGAGAGAGAGTGTAAGTCACATACCTTTTTTCACAATGTTGAGTCCATCTCCAATAAAAGTGTAAATGGAAATATCATATACATGGATGGGGAGTCCTGATCTCCTGCATCTCTTCCAAATGCATTATGAAGCACCTTAGGACTGTGATGCAGTCTGAGAAGTAGCCAGGCTCACCTCCTGTGTTTAGCCACGGCCCACCTCCTGTGTTGGTTTTTTCCAATCTACCAACATTAGGAAAATCTTCCTAAGTCTCAATCCCTTTTATAGACAGAAATCACAGTGGCAGGAGCTACATTCAAAACAGTGGGTGCCATTGCTACTGTTTGTGACTAGCTAGCAAGCTGGTGGGACTTAACTTCCCTGTTGAGTTTGCTAACATTTTGAAGGAGTTCAGTTTCAGGGCGACTTACTGAAACCTGGAGACCCTGTGGTTGTACAATGCCCAAAGCATTGTACCCCACCCCTTAAAGCAAAAGCTCCCAGCAGGGCAGATAGGCCCCGGTGCTTTGTTTGGTTGTATTCACTTTAGACAAGAAGAAAACCTTCCCGAGAGGTGAACCCAAGTGTACCCAACATTTGTACTCCCCAAGACGTTCCTGTCACTCAACTCATCTCTTCTGTTTGTACAGTAGAGTGGGTTCTGTTTTCTGGAATTACAGTATGACACTTGCACCTATTCGTGTGTGTGTGTGTGTGTGTGTGTGTGTGTGTGTGTGTGTGTGTGTGTGTGTTTAGAAATCAAGAAGTAAAACAGAGCAGAAGCTCTGTGTTCATTTTTTCCCCTCGCTCTCTTCTCTGAGAACAGCCCCCACCCCAACATACTTTAGGGGAAGTGGACATACCACACCCCACGTGGCTCTAGAGAAACCCCTATTCTTCCTACTCCATCTCATAAAAGGGCCACAAAAATGAGTCTGGGCCCAGGCTTGATGCTCTAGCCTGGCCAGACACTTGCTCAAGAAGGGAATTGCATTCATTAGAAGCCAGTGATGTGCTTGGGTGAGAAGGAGCAGGGCTCACTGCATTTCAAGTGAGAAGTAATGAGGAAAGGCAGATAACAGCTCCCCGACCGCCTTGTTCATCTCTGCCTCTCAACAGAGGGAGTTATGAGAAAGATAGGGAGCCACAGGAGAAATCTGCTTTCTACCCTGACACTATGACCACATGCAAATGAGAACACTTTTGAACTCCAAACCACCCTGCAGCACAGGACTTCCCAGTTTATTCCATATGATACACAGTGTTCAAAACGCTTTCTGAATTGCAGGGCTCTGCACTCACGTTAGCCCAAACCACACCATTCCAGGAAAACATCAAATGATTACATGGAAATCGAAAATTCGTGGTGTAAATGTTCCTTTTAATAGAACAAGTGAAAAGAAAAGCTTCCTTGGCCACTGCTCAGAGAATACAGCCCCCAGAGAGGAGCCCGGCTGTCATCTGTGCACTTGCTAGAAATGTAGAACGGAGCCCCAAGGGGCACTGAAATCAGGTATCAGGTGATTTTCACTGAACTTTGGGAGTCTCGCTCTGTAGGGTATGGTTTAATTTTTATTTTTAATTTTAATTTTTTTTGCCAGTCCTGGGGCTTGAACTCAGGGTCTGGAAATTGTCCTTAAGCTTCTTTTGCTCAAGGTTAGCATTCTACCACTTGAGCCACAATACCACTTCCAGCTTTTTCTGTGTATGTGGTACTGAGGAATCAAATCCAGGGCTTCATGCATGCTAGCCAAACACTCTACCATTAAATCTCATTCCCAGACCAATTTCCCAATTCTTTTTTTTCTGGTCAGTCATGGGGCTTGAACTCAAGGCCTACTGCTGTCCTGAGCTTTTTTCCTCAAGACCAACACTGTCCAACTTTGAACCACAGCACCCTTCTGGTTTTCTGGTGGTTTATTGGAGATAAGAGTCTCAGGGACTTTCCTGCAGGGCTGGCTCTGAACCACAGTCCTCAGATCTCAGCCTCTTGAGTAGCTGGGATTACAGCTGTGAGCCACTGGGATCTGGCTATCTACTCTTAACCGAAGGATGCTCTATAGAAAAGATCTCAGTGGCATCGTTGGATAAGTAGTACTGCTGAAAAGAAATTTGATATTTAGGTAGATTAAAAAACAAATAGATGTTTATGTAGACTGTGTGACTCAATGTGGTGCTTTCTTTTGTTATATGTTCAAAAATAGAGCTGGTCGCTGGTGGCTCACATCTGTAATCCTAGCCACTCAGGAGGCTGAGCTCTAAAGATCTCAGTTCAAAGCCAGCCTGGACAGGAAAGTCCATGCGTCTCTTATCTCCAATAAACTAACAAAAAACTGGTAGTGGTGCTGTGGCTCAAGTGGTAGAGTGCTAGCCTTGAGCAAAAGAAACTCCGAGACAGTGAACAGGCTCAGAGCTCAAGCATCAGGGGGAAAGGAAAGAAAGAAAGAAAAGAAAGAAAGAGAGAAAGAAAGAAAGAGAGAGAGAGAAAGAAAGAAAGAGAGAGAGAAAGAGAAAGAAAGAAAGAAGGGAGGGGAGGGAGGGAGAGAAGGAAGGAAGGAAGGAAGGAAGGAAAGAAGGAAGGAAGGAAGGAGGGAGGGAGGGAGAGAGGGAGGAAGAAGAAAAAAAAAGAAAAAGAAATGTGATTATGCCTTGGATGACATGGCCATGAAATATCAAAAGACCCATTGCAATAATGAGATGTACAAGTCATTATGTCGAAAAACAAACTTTACAACTTTGGCTAGGGGGTGGGGGAGGGATGAGGGAGAGATGGGAAGGGATGGGAAGGGGAAACAAAGGAGGAGGCAACAAAGCTTGATAAGAAAAGTACTCATTACCTTGACCATGTAATTGTCACCCCTCTGTGCGGTATTTTCACAATAAAAACAAAAAGAAGTTAGAAAGAAGTACAGAACATCTGGTGATCTTGACCTTCAGTTTTCTATATAACTTAACATTTTTTTATTTTTTATTGTGAAAATACCGTACAGAGGAGTTACAATTACATGGGCAAGATAACGAGTTCCTTTCTTATTAAGCATTGTTGCCGTTGCCTCCTCTTTGTTTCCCCTTCCCAGCCCTTCCCATACCCCCCCCACCTCCCCCCTCCCGATCCTCCCCCCACTACCACCAAAGTTGTTTTTTTATTATTTCCTCTTTGGTGACTATTCAATCATTTTGATCCATTTTTGTTATCTGTAAACTGTTGCACACAAGGTTTCAATTCAACATGTTAAGGTTTGAGTACGTGCTCATCAGAGTTACCCTTTCCATTATTCTCCCCCATTGCCAGTCACATTTTTTAAAGGTGGAGTTTGCAATGGTATCCAAAATAGTGGAAGGGTATAAAAATAGGTTAAAACACTATAGAAAAAATGGCATGCATCTAAGGAAATAAGTACACTCTATTAAAAATTGAATAATTACAATTTTAGTATCAGGAAAGTAACAAAGGGCTTTCTTTTAAGAGAAAGAAATGGAAAAGTTATTTGTTATTAAATGTAGAATACAAAAACTATACCAGAAACATTGATACAATTTCTGATTAATGTGAAGTTCATCACACTTGGGGTGCTTCTGGTTAACTGTAGAAATAGTTCTTAAACAGTGAAATGCCAAGGAATCTTTAAAAAAGAGAGAAAAATGACATCGGAATAATACTGTTGGCAAACTAAAACACAGTTACACTGTAGTAGTTACTAGAGAATATGTTTGTACTTCTCACAAAATGGATAGACAGGCAGATAAAGACTAAACCAAAGACAGTTATATAACAGATGTTTATGTGTCAAAGCTTCTGCCAACAAATTTCAAGTTCATGATCATCCATAGACCTCACTGTAAAATATATATATATATATATGTATATATACATATAAATGCCTATTAAATTCAGTGAGTCATAAAGCAATGTCTGGTAAAGATTTTTGAGTTGTCTGTGCCCTAATCTCATATTTTAATGATAAAGACAAAGAAGGCAAGTGACTTGCTTGAAATCACTTTTATGCAAGTGATTTTCATGACTCAACTCAGTTTTTATTTTCCTAATGGAACCAGCATGTTATGACTCATATGAATTTTACCTTAACTTGGGTTTATCAAGTATTGGATACAGTTAAAAAGGGTTTACATAGTTCAAAGGAACTCCAGTGATGATTCTGAAAAACTTAATAGAACAGCCTAGAAAAGGAAATGGAAGATACAACACATTGACCAACATTCCTTTGGTGATCCGGATGAAGAAAGAAGATGAGAAATTACTCAGGAGTCTGAGATATGAAGATGGTGTTTTGAAGCCAGCCCAAGCAGGAAAGTCTGTGTCTTATCTCCACTTAACCACCAAAAAAGCCAGAAGTCGATCTGTGGCTCAAGTGGTAGAGCACTAACCTTGAGCACAAAAGCTCAGAGACAGTGCCCAGGCCCTAAGTTCAAGCCCCAGTGCATGCACACACACACACAGACATACATGTGTGTGTGCGCACACACACACACACACACACACAAATGAGAAATAAAATCAGGAAATACAATTTTGAAAACTGAAGACGAAAAGAAAAAATATAACCTGTGATAGCATTTGAAGTCATTAGAAAACAAGACAAGTCTGATTCATCTGTAGTGCCCAGACTCTTCCATTATAAAATAGTGGAAATGCAGAATATCTGAATACATAGAACTCAGAGTAAAAAGCAAAGAGGCTCTCCTTACACAAGAGAAGAGAGTGAAGCAGGTGAAGGGAAACCATGAAAACTTTGAGAATAATGAACTGTTAAGTAGCTTTTAAGAACAATGAAGATGGATTGACTTTGGGGGCTATGAATAATTTTGTATCCGTGTAATGTAAGAGAGATTGCTAAATTCATTAAAATACGTAGTTTCCTACATTTAAAAAATATTAAAATTTTGCTGGGCACTGGTGGCTTGTGCTATAACCCTAGCTATTAAAAACACAAAAATAAGGAGGATTATACTTTGAGGCCAGTCAGGAGCAAATGTTTGTGAGACACCCCATCTCAATCAATAACTGGGTGTGATGGCAGACATTTGTCAGTTCACATACATGGCAGGCTGAGATCAGGACACAAAGCCAGCCCAGGCAAAGACACTCCAAGATGTCATCTCAATCAAAAAGAAGCAGGACATATGCTAGCGGGGAAAACCTGCCATCCCAGCTATACTGGAAAGTATAAACAGGAGGATTGAAGTCCAGGGACATTTGAACAAAAAGCCAGACCCTATCTCAAAATCCACCACAGAAGAAAAGAGCTGGAGGCATGGCTCAAGTGGGAGAGCATCTGCCTATCACACACAAAGCCCTGAGTTCAAACTCCACTACCACTAAAAATAAATAAAAATCTAAATCAATGCTATCTCCCTCTTTTGCTTTCATTCTCTCCTCTCACTCTCACACTCTCTCTTCTCTGTACAAGTGACAGAAAAGTAGGTCAGGAAAAGGATACACTTAATAGACTGGAAGCAGGTCACCTCCATCAAAAGAGTAACCATGATATGTGAGCATGCCAATTCTAGGGCTTGAAGTCAGGTATTCATACTCTGACTTAGCTTTTTCGCTCAAAAGTAGCTGGTACTCTACCCCTTGAGCCACCCCTCCACTTCCAAGAATGACAATAACTTGACTTACCCCAGCAAAAAGTTTTACTGAAGTGTTATGGGCTTGGATACATAAGTCTCTCTTAGGACCAAACCACAGGCAGAGTCACTAGCTCCTAGCTAAGGAAATCTACTGACAACATTTGACCTCTGGGACCTGGTTTACTGGTCTGGGTAAGTCGATGTTATGTTTTTTAAATGTTAAGATGGACCACATTTTTTTATTGTGTATCTTCACTCTTATTTATTTAGTTACTTTCTGTCTAAGAAACTTTTTGAACTGTACTCCATGGCATGTTCAACTCAAAGAATCAAAGAACAAGAGCCTCTCTTAATAAGTCTCATCTCAGTGACCAGTGGCTCATGCGTATCATCCTGACTACTTGGGAGGCTGAGATCTGAGGATCACAGATCAAAGCCAGCCCAGACAGCAAAACCCATGAGACTCTTATCTCTAATTCAAAACTGAAGCTATCCCAAGTGGAGCTCTGGCTCAAGTGGTAGAGATCCATCCTTCAGTGGAAATTCTTAGGCCCTGAGCTCAAGCCCCAATACTGGAAATAAATATTTGTTAATCAACAAACCAACAAACAAGATGAGTCACATACACTGGCCCAGAAGAGAACTTGGGAGCACCAGCACCTACCCTGGCTCTGGCATCCACCAGGGCACCGTTTCTCAGGAGGCACCGGACGACTTCCACCTGCCCTGCCCGGGCCGCCATATGCAGGGCAGTCTCACCACGCTGCCAGGAAAGAAAGATCACCCAGTCATAAATAAACCCGCTGCTCTGGGTCCTTAAATATACAGGTCCCTTAGTTACGAAATTCGGCAATATATCCATGGGTTTTAGAAATATATGAAAAGGCCAAGTTATTTAGTTGGAAAAATATGGATCTTTTTGTATCTTCTCCATCTTTATAAGGATAAAGCTTAGTTTTTTGTAAATTGTTCTGTCATGACAAATTAGTAAACTTATCCAAACACCTAGGATAACCTGCAATTGAATTTGATTTCACAGTCAAGCTAACATAACTGACATGGCCTTATAAACCTAAAACCTATCATTTATCCCATTTCAATGGGGAACTTGAGATGTTGAAGATCAAATAATCACACAGCAAAAGGAAAACCACATTTGTACCATACATAAATGACTTCCCGTCCCAAAACTCAAACTTCATTTCTGAAATTAGCTATTTCGCATCTGATTTGGTTTTATGAGGCTTGGCGATTAACTGTTTATATACAAAATCCAATTGGCCCAGGATGTGCTCTATTTATGTTAGCAAGCATATTTGATTACAGACAGTGAATTGAGGTCAGGGAAGTAAGTTAGCAGCAGCATCGCTTGAGGTCAGCGATAAACCTATCTTCAGATAGCTTTGTGTTCTACCAAGGTCTGATGCACTCACAGGGAAGTGTAAGGGGAAGGGCTAGATGTAAGATATCTTCTAGTTGGTAAGCCGTTGTTACCAAAAAAGGCAGGGTTTCTTTCATTCATCCATTCATTCAACTAATTGTATACAATATTGCAATAAAAATTAGGACAGTTTAATTTGTCACAACTGATCTAGAGCATCTAGTGTTAGCCAGGCAAGTGAACTATTTCAGATCAGTGGTAGCCCTTGCAAATTTGGTTGTGGTTATTTCTGACAAACTCGTGTGAAGAACATGTTGTGGTTATGTATATGGTAGACCAATCTGGAAAATTTAAAGTGAATGTTTACTGTAGTATGTCTCTCATTGTTCATTTTCCTAACTTTTCAGAGAACCATTCCATATGAAGTTACAAGAAATTCATGCCCAGTGATTGGATTGTGTAAACATTGAACTGATGGCCTTCCTTTCCTTTCTCTTCTTTGTTGATTACTTTTTTTCCCTCTACTGACCTTTTCTGAAATTATTCTGAAAATGTTGACTTTTGCACAATAGTGTGTCTGGAGTTTGTTGGGTTTGTTTTTTTAGGCAAACAACAGGTTAATTGGGTAGCAATATTTGCTTCCATGCTTGAGAAGTAGTGCAAGATTTTCTCTCTGTACAACCAATTTCTAACTTCTTTTCTATATCACTTACAACTGGTCTCTGAATAAACAACTAGCTACTTTTCAAAAATACAAGGCAAAACTTAATATCCAGATGTGATTACAAAAGGGTTAGCAGTTCTACTAATTCTGGTAGAAATAAAGGCAAGAATAAATTCCTCCTAAGTAAAATCCTAAAGGTTCCAGTTCGTGTTCAATGGTAAATTTTATAAGTCAAATTATTAATATGGGAATATTTTAAAAATCTAAAAATGTTTCTAAACATTTTTATTATCTTGAAATAGTCTTTATATTTTGGTGATCTTTATTTTATATTTAAAAGATGTTGTTTTATAGGTTTTAGATGTTTGAAATACATGAATGGGATGTGAGCCTACATTAAAGCATTAAACTTTATAAACAAAGGAAAGTGCTAAGGAACACACATAAAGTATCTCTGCTTCATAACAATGAACTTACTGAATTCTTATTAATAAATGACATCGATGAGAAATTATCCTTACTCTTTTATATATTTACATTTTTTATACCTGTATAAATAAGAAAATGAAAGGTGTTTTATTGGTTTGTTCAATATTGCTTACATTTCCTTATTGTTCGATATACTGTCTCAGCCTTATTTTCCTCATTTTAACTAATAAAAGAGTACCAATGTTTTTAAAGCATAATATAAAATGTGAACTTTACCATGAATCTATTGACTCATTACAGGAAGAAGAGAAAGCTTTATAAATGCTCTGCTTGTAACATCCATCACCCTAATGGAGTTTGCTTTTCTACTCCCATAATCCTCAGTGAATCCTTTGGGCTATGGGTGGGGTGTAGCTGGCAGAGAAGCTACCCAAGGGTTTGGAAGTGCTTTCATAAGCTTCCTGGCAAAGGAAATTTTCAGGAAAAGTATCTGCATATGATTGAGTTCCTGGTACATTTCACACTTGCAGTGAATTTTCAGACACAAAACAAGAGCGACAAGAGAATGGGTTTGCTCATGTCCAAAGCAGGTGCTAAACTTCATGCCCCTCTTCTCAGTGGTTAAGCTGACTGCAGACAGCTACAGGGACGTCCACTTTTGCCCATGAACTTGAAAAGCATCGAAGCACACAGACAGCATTGCATTCAAAAAATGCAACATGATTTCAGGCAACACACAAAGGCGCCAAAGGTGTTTGGATGGTAGGGGGGTCAGGAAATGACCAATTCTGTCACAGCAAGCAGGCAATCGGGTCAGTATCCACACTTCGTAATTCATTTGCAAAAGCTTTTGGATCCAGTCACCAAATACTCAGCTTCTGAGGATACACACATTCACAGGCATCCCACTGCTAGAGAAACTGAAAATGCTTCTAAATGCAGGATTGCCAGTTTTAGCAAATAAAAATACAGATGGCTACATTTTTAATTCCAGACCAACAATGTTCACATCTCAGCTGTTGTATGGGACATACTTATACTAAAAAAAAAAATCAAATTGGTATCTGAAATTGAATTTTAATGGGGACTCTTGTATTTTCTCTGGCAACTTTACCTATAGGCATCTGCTCCCTGAAGGTCACAACTTCTAAAAATAAATAAGAATAAACAAAAAATAACCAGGACTGGTACTGAGAAGAGGATTAAGCTGGTGTTCCCCAAGTCCTTTTCCTGAAGAAAGCAGAAAGTAATGGTCCAAGGAATCAATAACCAAAATGAATGACTTTGGAATAACTGAAAACCAGGAATTAAAGTAATATACAGAGGTGATCAAATTTGAGAGTCTGTAAAACCCTAAAAGCGAGTGAAACTTTTTTATTGTAGTCCTCAGAGTATTATTTCTTTTCTTTGGAAAATCTATATTCAGTCTATATAGCTCCATTACACCCAACATACTGGAACCACATAACCATTTAAAGATTGGAATTGGTCAATTAAGAACAGAAATTAATGAAATAAAGACTAAAACAATTAAAAAAGAGAATAGAATGTGTGTAGGTTATTCTTTGAAAAGTTTGCAAAAAAAAAAAAAAACCACTTTCCCAAAATGAAAAAACATTTACCCTAGGGAATTTCTGTCAAGCATCTCAGTGGATATATTTGTAACGAGATATTACTGCCATTTCACATGATAACATAATTTGACATAGGATCTCTATTGCTCCCGATTCCATAGTATTTAAGTGCAACTAAGGAAAAATGAAAAAAGGTAGGGGAGGGAAAGGTAAGCTAGAACAGAGGACTTTTCTTGGAAGTTACTGGCCTAAACGTAAATCTGTTCAGGTCCTAGTTTTGTTTGCCATTCTTTAAAGGTGAGGGATGAGGATTATTACTTTATAAGCAAAAACAGATAATGAATTCATCTAGAGTTCTAAGGAATTACTAAAAATTAAACTCGGGTTGGTAGGTTGTGAAGTTTCTCTTGTACTTGGTAATTAGAGATTTCCACATACTGTTCTTACTTCAGGACCAACAAGTTATAAATAGGGAAATATAAAAACAGACTTCTTTTTTCTTTTTTTGTTGTGGTGTTTGAACTCAGGGCCTGGGTGCTGTCCCTGAGCTCTTTTGCGCAAGGCCAGAACTCTACCACTTTGGACCACAACTCCAGTTCTGGTTTTCTGGCGGTTAATTGGAGATGAGAGTCTCACAGACTTTCCTGCCCAGGCTGGTTTTGAACCATGATCCTGAGATCTCAGCCTCTTGAGCTAGGATTATAGTCATGAGCCACCCAGTACCTATCCAGACTGCCTATTTTTAATGACTTTATACTTTAACTTTTTGATAAGATAAAAAGAATGTAAAATAGCATTCATTTATTATTTTATTATTTTTTTGTGTCAGTACTGGGTCTTGAACTCAGACCCTCACAATCTCATTTGGGCTTTCTCACGCAAGGCTGGCACTGTACACGTGTGCCACACCTCCATTTCCACTCAATGCATTTTAGATGTATGTTCCATCTATCTGCACTGGGAAACTTAAGTTGTCTCATTTCCACAGCGTCCATCTTCTTTCCTAGCACACCGCTTGCCCTACTGAGGCTTTCAGTGAGGATCTGGCCTTATTTCCGTATATTTTTCAAGAACCCTTCTCAACACTGAGCTCCCTGTTCTGATCACACACACACACACACACACACACACACACACACACACACACACTGTGCCTCTCCTCCTCGCAGTTATGCTGACCCAAGCCATACTCACAATGTTAGTGACATCTGGAGAGGCTCCGTTCTGCAGCAGAAGGAGGACAATGTTCAAGTGGCCCATGAAGGCCGCCACATGTATTGGTGTGAGGCCAGACTGCGAAACAAAGCAACAGGAGTTTTACTCCTCTGCACCAGTGAGGTTTTGGGGCTTCTTCAGATAAATCAAAGTGAGTGGAGAGGACAGAGATGGGTGAAGAAGGAGAAAAAGGTGAAAGAAGGTGTGAGAGAAAGGGATGTGTCGTGACAAGCTGAAACATTGGTTTTTTCTACCTCTGTGATAGCTTGGATGGAAGCCCCATATTTCACCAGCAGTTCCATGACTTTGATGCGGTTTTTCTTGCAGGCAATATGCAGTGGAGTAAAACCATTCTGTGCAAAAGACAATCAAGTTAGTGGAAAACATGCAGAAACGGTTGTCACACAACTCCACATGCTGCTGGCACATTGCAAGCAATAATGTTACATAGGTCACGTCATGTCACCATTTTGGCAAATCCTGCAGGGACTGGCATGGGGAAAGCAAGGCGGGAACGTGTGCCTATTGGCTTCTTGGGGGCTGGTTTGTATGTATTTCTGCTGTGTTCTTACAGATGAAACAAAGTACCCAAGAGTTTGTTCTTCAAAGGAGCAAACACAGAGGACAACTGTATTTCAGAATTCCTAAGTTTTAGGCTGGACTGATTATCCAGGTGATGAGGAGTTGAAGAATTGAATAGAAACATGTATTTTTATGATGCAAGGTCATTTCTCAGAGCAAATCAAGAGTTTGTCTATGTTCAAAATCTAATATTGACTGCCTTTTTAATATATATCCCAGGTTTCTAAATCATTTTACAAGTGTTCCAAATTAGCTGAACATATTTGTTATTCAGACATTACATTTTCTGTTGAAAGTTTATGTTTGTTCTGGGCTTAATCTCAGGGCCTGGGCAATGTTCCTCAGTTTTGTTGTGTTTTGTTTTTTTCTTTCAAGGCCAGAGCTCTGTAACTTTAGCTTCAGCTCAATTTCCAGCTTTTGGGTGGTTAATTGGAAATAAAAGTTACATGGACTTTCCTGTTCCAGCTAGCTTTGAACTGTGATCCTCAGATATCAGCCTTCTGAGAAACTAGGATTATAGTCATGAGCCACCCCACTGGTGCCCAGCTGCAATTATTTTTTATACTTTGTTTCCCATGTTATATTTTGTTTTATAACAAAATGATTAACTTTCTGAAGATTTTCAAGGGAAGTGTAGACAATTCCTGGATAATTGTAAGAAGATGTCTCTGAGAAGAAAAGAAAGGAGGGGAAATCTATAAGGAACTTCGTAATTTGACAAATGCGCTAATATCCAAGAATTGGACATTATTGGAAATTATATAAAATTTAATTCATTCCATGCTAAATTGTCTTGTGTTATATTTCTTATTTTTTATTTGAATATAGATCATTTATTGAGCTATGTGTATTCCTCTAGTTAGCAATTTTACATGTCCCAAAGGAAGATGATTGTCAGGCAATATTTTTACATGCTAATAGTTCCCAGGAATGCATATGGTCTTACTTAAGCTAATGATTTTTTATACAGTACAATGATAAACATAATTAGCTTGTTGAGTTATTGTCCCTATTTATAAACTTTAGAATAAGTCAGATCTAAATAGTTACATGTCTTTGTGATACATACGCTATTTGCAATTATTAAATTGTGGTATTTCATAAGATTATTGATCACTGCACAATAGGAAAAAGCATTTTCAACTGCTTAGAAGAAAATGAAGGAGTCTTTAACTCCCATTTCTTGTCAGGAAGAGAAGGAAACGCTTCTCTTTTGTCTCTATTTCTCTCTACTTTTCCTTATTATATGAAGATGGCTAAAACTTTTGGGAAAAAAGGAAAGAAAATAAATATCCTCATGCAACTGTACAGAGCCCTGATAATACAGCCACTTCCCAAACAACTACTCATGAATCAATTCCAATAAAAATTTTCAAATAAGACTATTTAATATTTCATGATTTTAATGGTGCTTTATTAAATACTAATTGAAGAAGAATTTTAGCTAACATAAACCATACTAGCATATAGGAAAAAAAAGGATGTGCTCTTAGATTAAGAACTAAGAAATGGCAGCCATAATTAGTACACGCCCAATGCTCCCAACAATTATTGTTAGAGTATAAGCAAAGCAAAGAAAATGAGCTGCTCTAGAGATGGCCTGTTACATTTTTTCCTTAAGTAGTTCCTGGGCTGGTTTCTATCAAATGCTTTCTCATAAATAATAAACTAAGCATCATTTCCTATTCATCTATGATGGTACTTAAGCCCATAAGGAACATCTCCAAATCAACCTTCCGCCAACTCTGCACACTTACATATCACATATGTTCATCATTTCAATTCTCCTTTTTTCTTCAAAAGAGATGAATAAAGTTTACCTTTTTTTTCATTCTGGTATCCGGACTGTACCTAGTATCAAGAACTTATTTTATCATTTCTTATTTTTCAACCTCTTTTTTTTCAGTTTAAAACAAAATCACTCACCACTCTAGAATCCCATACTGTCTGATTGCAACGGAATGGTTTAGAAATGCTTCATTGATGCTCTCTTAAATCTATCCTTGCCCACCATTATCTATTCACAACCACAAAGGCATGAACTAGGCAGGCAAGTTGTAGGTGGTGACAACCTCAGAAGTACTGACTACATATCTGTCACCATGTACAACAGTGTAGGCAATATTGGTCAAGCAGTATGGGTTTGCTTATTCCCATGAATGTGGACTAGGCCAGGTTTACCAGAGCTCTGGCATTCGGGTTGGCTCTCTTGTCCAGAAGGAGTTTGGTTACACGGTAGTGGCCACAGTGTGCAGCAACATGGAGGGCTGTCAGGTAGTCCAAGGTGACATCATCAACAGGCGCCTTGTGCTGTAGCAGATGCTTCACACATTCCACGTGATCCCCCTGGGCAGCCATGTGAAGTGGAGACAGGCCATTCTGCACATCAAGCAAAACACAATCATCTTGTGTTTAAATTACTTTCTTGTTCTAAGACATTGTAAAGTCGCTTCTTGATCTCTAACACGGTTACTGGCAGGGGGAGAAATGCTTTCGATTTTATATCTACTCAATATCGGATACTTTCTAGTTGATATTTGATAGATGACAGATTCTCTTCAGTGGAGAGGAAATTAAAAGAACATTTAACTTTATAATTACATTATTTTTTTCAGCAAAAGACATATATGCTCTTTGTGAATGAATGCATAATATTTGTGGCAATTAAGCCTAGTTTTATAATTATCAAGAAAGTATTGTATATACAAAAATAAGTGATAGCTATAGCTTAAATTATTTGTATCCCACTCCATACACAGGAGTGTACATTCAGTTCTCTCTGCCAATGTTTCGTTACCTATAAATAGAGGGTTTGGCAGGTGAAGGTGGAACAGATGGAATGGGTTAGAGAGATAAGGAAATTCTTGCTATCTCTAAGTCCACCCTGTTCTCATGTTCTGTGATGGCTTTTTCCAGTGATCTTCTGTAAGAGTTAGAAGAGGGAGAAACTGAAGTGAACTATGTGTGTATCCTTGACCTCACAAGGTCACTGGTGCAAGTCTAAATTTTTGGTATCGTTCCAAATAGCTTTAACTTCAATTCTATAAGGCCGTCAGTAGCAGAAACACATGATAGCAGGGTATAATATTATTCATTATCAACCTAAGGTTTTTTAAAATAAGTTCAATAAATAAATTTCAAGAAAATATATGTTAAATTAGAAATAATAAGGAACACATTAGTAGAATATTGTACAATCAAGAGACAACATTTTCTTTGCTTGTGAATTCCAATACAGTCACTAGCAAAAGGATCATTGACCAAGTAACCAATTGGATAAGCAATCCATTCAAAACAGAACACAGCCCAATAGTCTCAGTCAGTAAGGTGATTTTTTAAATTTATTTTTATTTTATAATTTATTTATTATTTATTTTTTAATTTATTTTTAATTTATAATTTATTTTGATTCCATGAATGTAGGTTTTTTTTTTAAGTTGTACTTTTTAAAAATTTATTTTATTTTATTTTTTTACTGTGAAAATACTGTACACAGGAGTTACACTTACATGGGCAAGATAATGAGTACATTTCTCCACAAGTAAGGTGATTTTTTAAAGTGATAAACATCTAAAAAGCAATTACATTAAAATCTTATTTGTGACAGCTCATGAGTTCAAGTGATTAAAAGTATTATTGTTTCTGAAATAATGTTAACTCATAATTATTGCTTTTATATTTAGAAATCTATAAAATAAACTTTTAGAAGGAGTTAGTAATAAACTGGAGAGGAAGGGAATTGCTCAGTGGGAAACATTTTAGACCTCAATAGTGTATGTACCAGAGATTGAATATTTCTCTGAAAGTTTATCATTCTTCAATATTGTTTTATTCACATAATGGTATGTAAAAAATAAAATAGGCACCATGCCATCCTTTGTTTCTTTTGAACTTATTTACTGAGTAGGCACTCTTCAAACCTTATTCAAATACTGAGAACACAGACTGCCAGTCTTCCTAGTGTTGTTTTCTAGGTTGGAAGATAGACGGGTCAGGACAAAAGGATTACCTTGGCTGTTGTTTTGTGAATGGACTGGGCTAAAGGAAAAGAGATGAAACTAGTTAGCAGCTTCTCGAAGCCATCAGGAGGAGGATGACCTGGATGAGAGTTACATTACTGAAACTGTTGAGAAGCTGCTGACTTAACAATACTCTTGAAAGAAGTGGGGAGGGGTTGGAAATAGGAAGTAAAAAAGTGTAAAAGAAGCATTTAGCATGATATGAGCTATTAGGTCTGAGAAATTTGTGGGAAAAGTGGAATGGGGTTAATTTGGATTTTAAAAGAGTGAGAATAGGAGGATTATCGCTGGAAATGGGGATAATACAATCATAAGCTGGGTTTTGAACTTAATTTGAGCCGCTCAATAGACATCCAAGTGGTCAGGGAAAACTGACATGAACATATGATGCATGGGTCATCAGCACTTGGACACTATTTAAAGATTTTATAGCAAGTAGTACAGAAAGACAGGAAGTGATACAAAGGCAGAGTTCTGGAGTTATGATATTTAAAGACCTGACAGATGAGAAGGAACTTATAAAGGAAATTGAGAAATGAAGACTAGAAAAAGGAGAAAATCTATCTATCTATCTATCTATCTATCTATCTATCTATCTATCTATCTATCTATATATATATATATATATATATATATATATATATATATTACATATGATGCCATGGAAGACAAATAAGAAAATGTATTGAGAGGAGTAAGATGTTCCATTAACAGTAAATGTAGAGATTCTAGACAATATGGGTTCTGATTCATGTAATTGGACAGATATAAAGGTAGGAGAATGTGGAAATCCCTTTCTGATTACTCTAATGATCTCAGTGTGGTGGGAAGTCAAAAAATAGAAATTTAAGAAATGCAGAGAGAAAAAATAATCTAGTAATACAACAGAAAGCTAGATAGACAGTGTGATTGTTGGGCAGCATTATGGCTAACTTCAGGACCCTGATCATAGTTTTGAAGCCACTGTAACCACATTTAGGTGTGGCTGGATAGAGGGGGGGTGGAGAGAGAAGGAGAGGAAGTTGGTGTGAATATGTAGGGATATACTGACTATGGAACTTACACTGGGCAAAGGGCCCACGCTGAATAAGGAACAATGAGATTACAAAAATAATTTCACTATTCTAAGATAACTTTTCTGGAAACTCTTTTAGAAAATAGCATTTACTATTCTAGAAAAACTATTCAGAAATTCTTCTAGAAAATAGCTTCTACTGCTCTATGAAAATGAAAATGGAAAAATCCCAGCAGAATAAAAAGAACCTCTGTTACTGAGGTTGTGTAAGGAGCAAGCTAAAACATAGAAGGGGCAGTTGAAGAGCAGAAAGGTAGGCCGACACATTATGGAGGATTTACAATTATTACACTAAAAGGCTGGGCCAGAAGAGTCATCTGCTGATCTTCTCAAAAAGTGATTGGGAATTGGAAATAGATTATGGTGAAGATTAAGTGTGCAGAGCTAGATTTTCAAAGAATGGGGGGAAGTTGTTTCAAGGAGGAAAAAACGAGGAGAAAAAAGTCTTTTTCTTCAAGGAGAAAAAGAAAAATTTGTTCTGAAGAGAGGAACAACAGACTGACATCGGGCATTTATTTCAGTTCTGAGCACTGGTATTACCTAACTCCAACCTGATTAGCTCCTCTTCTCCATGTTCTTCATCCTGCATATAGCCCGACTTTATGTCATTATCTCCTCTTGTGTTTTGTCCACATAATTCTAAGCTTTTAAAAAATGTACTGGTTGTATTATTCCTCTTGATTTTCCCCAAGTGACCAGAGTGTTACTTGGCAACTTGTGTCTTTTTCACACATGATAACTAGTCATGATACAAATGCATGATACAATCATGCAAACATCATACTGTATCCTTACATCTGAATAATAATTGATCTTGAGGATGTCTGTATATATATGCATATATATATATATATCACAGTGAGGGTCTATGGTCTTCATTAGTATGAGATGACAATTGCAGACCAACTCCAGAAGCATATGACTCATGGAACAGCATATGTTTCTCCTGATTTGCTTTTTTATTAGCATGATTGATCTGAAATTTTATTACCATTTAAATTATTATCTATCATTGCCTTACTCATGCAACTGTAACCCCTTTGTACAGCATTTTTACAATAAAATAAAGTTTAACAAAAATATTATCTGTTCACCAAAACTTTTCATAATTATCTGTTAACCACCCAAAATGTTTCATTTTAAGATATATATACACATGCATCTATACAATGCATGCATATACATTATATACATTATATATATATATATATATATATATATGTATATATGATGGAAATGGGGTTTGAACTCAACTTCATGCTTACTAGGCAGGTGCACTACTGTTAAGTCAAATCTCCAGCCCTTTATGCACTGGTTATTTCTGAGGTAAGGTTTGCTTCTTGCTTAGATGTATCTCTGCACTGTACTAAATCTTTCTACATTTTTCTGACATGACGGGCATGCACCACCACAGCTAGCTTCTTACACTGAGATGAAGGCTTTAGAACTTGTCTGCCTGCTTTGGTCTGGAAGTGTGATTCTCACAATCCCAACTTCTCAAGTTAACTAAGATTACAAATGTGGGTCACCCGTACCTGGCTAAAACACAGATTTGTGTAACACAGTATATATTTCTGAAAACAGAAATAATGCAGATCATTAATGTCCCTTTATATATTTCTGACTTGAGTTTTCACCTTTCCAGGACTGGTAAGGCACATCTTTAAAGACTGAATTCAGTCTACATATATTTTACATGTATGGGCCAGGTTGCTCCAAATGATTTCAAGTCAACAGACAATTTAAAAGCAATATAAATGGAAAAACTATCTGTTTATGTCAGTTTGTCTCAGACACAAGGTTAGCTGATAGTGATCTTGTTGGAACATAAGAAGTAAACATTGTATGGGGAGAAACACAAGAAGAGGACTTCACCTAAGTTTTTGTTGTACTTAAGGATCGAGGTGTTGCAAAGAGTACTAAATTGCTTTTTAACATAGATTACTAAATTGTTATTGATGTTAGTTTGTTTCATGATAATTTTCATAGTCCATAGAAAGACTAGGTAATGGGAAACTACATGATAATAAAGTTTTAAAACTATTTTGATAACAACAATCTCCAATAACTCACCATATGGTTTTTGTTCATATGAAAAAATATTTTTCTCATGTTTGTGCATATAAATGAAATGAGGCAACAAATGTTATTATGAATAATATTCTCATTTAATGGTGTGTTGTAGGTGGCTCATCTTTACTTACTTAACTTTTCCTAACCCCATATGTAATCAGGCAGCAGCACTGTTAAGCAGTTATGTCTACTAGTATTGCTTAAGAGACAAAGTCTGGATAAGCTACCACATTCATCTTTGACTGCTAATTGTGTGGCTCTGAAAGATAATTCTGTGTGCATTTTATAGTTACCTCACAGAACCACGAAAATAATTCTCATTGACTCTAACAGACCTTGGAGATTCCAGTTACCAAAATAGTTTTGCAATTTTATTAACATGTAGGGGATTCATTGGGTACAAGAGACATTCTCATTTACATAGAGAATTCCTATTGTATATAATGCAGTTCCAATTTTCATCAGCAGAAAGAGGAGCATATAAAAATATAGCAAAACTGAAGTATATTTCTGAAGTCATAATACATGTATCTGTCCATTTTAATAGCCACCCCCACACACACACACATAACTAGAAAATACTTGGCAGATGCTTTCATTTCAAGAAGAGATGACCAAAACACAGATTTCATGCTCTGAGTCCTCACCTTGGTCCTGGCCAGCAAGGGAGCTCCTCGCTCCAACAGGAGCTCCACCACCTGGTCATGCCCACTTCGCGCAGCACAGTGAAGGGGTGTCAACCCATCCTGTGGAAATAAAGAATGAAATGGGCCTGAATTCACGTTTGTGAGTGCATTTTTATTTGCAGCTTCCATCAGAAAGAATGGCAAATTGCCTCATTCATAAAGAAATGGAAAGACTTGGAAAAAATTACACTAAGGGAAGTAAGCCGGACCCAAAGAAAAATACGCTGCATGGTTTCCCTCAGTTGTAATCACTGAATGGGCCCATAAATCTACAAGTAAACTCAGTGGATAGTAAAAAGAAAAAACAAATAATTACACCTGGACATGATTAATTAAACAACAATCTAAACATTCACACAGTGGGAATAAAGGTGGATGTCCTTAGAAGAGGATCACAAGGGCTCAATCGCTATGTGCATAAGATCAAATAAAATGATGCTTATCAAAATGAACTCCAAGAAACAGAAGAGGCTTTATCATCATCATCATCATCGTCATCGTCATCATTATTATACTATTGGTGGTTCCTTTTTCTTCTTCTTCTTTTCTTTTTTCTTTGCTTTATTCCCATTTGCTGGTGTTTTTGATTTCTGTACCTTTGTTTTATGTATGTTTATCTGATCTGGGGAAGGGAAGGAGAAGCACAGAAATGGTGGGATAATGGGAGAACCAATTCAGCAGTGAAACCCTCAAGACACTATGTTAGAATGAACTACACAACTTGTAGAGGAGGGAAGTCAAGAGGGGAAAACTGGGAAAGAATGAGGGAAGGGGTGATACTGTTCAAAAGGAAATGTCCTCATTATCTGACTTGTGTAACTAACCCCTTTGTACATCACCTTTACAAGAAAAATTTTAAAAACAAAAAAGTAAGATTGCATCTATTGCCCTTCAGAAAAGGAACTCACTCCTAGTGACCCTATAGAATTGTAACCAAATAACAGCTGTCTCTGAGACAGAAAATGAGAGAGTTAAAGGGGAAACAGGAGAGAAAGAGATCTTGACTGAGGGAAGTAGAACTAGTCAAAACGGAGACAGGAGTCAGCAAGAGAATCCCATCTTTAGGAGGGCTATGGGAAAGAAATTGTTGTCTGTCCCCAAGCGTGCACATTCAGGAAGGTGGAAAAGGAGAGAATGTTGGATTTGTTGGACTTTAATTTAAAGCCCTACTTGTTTGGAATCATAACTGGGTTTATATTAAGTTATACTATTTTCATTTTGCTGTCCTAGCATAACTTTTATTTAAAAATTCATTTCTAACTTGTCCTCTCTTGAACTGCTACGACTTACATAAATTTTCCTAAAGTGCACACTGAGGCTTGTTATAAAAAAAAGTGGAGGGGTTGGAGCTTTTTCATATTTCCACTATATTTTTCAGTGTTTAAAGATCATATAGTTATTTCCCAAAGATGTAATTTAGTATTAGAATTAGGAATAGAATTAGGTCTATTTCCATCCAGTAAAATAGGATACCAGCAACATGTTAATGGTTTTTCTGATGTTAAGACTTTTAGGGTGCAGCCTCTATTCCAGAGCAATCACCAACCTCTGTCTTATTTTATTTCCCTTTAGCATAAGCCCAAAGCAGAATAGTTAGAAAATACAAGGTAAAATAGGGACTAAACCATTTTAAGGCCAGTCATTGATGGCTAGGCTTGTAATCCTAACTACTCATGAGGCTGATATGGGAAGACTGTGTTTCAAAGACAGCCCAGGTAGAAGAAAAATCCTCAATAATCTTTGATTGATCAGCCAAAAACTAGAAGGGGAACTGTAGGCCAAGTGGTAGGGCACCAACTTGAGTGAAAAGAGTTATACTCTGAGTTCAAGCCCCAATATCACACACACACACACACACACACACACACACACACACACGTCGTGCGTGCGCGCGCGCGCGCGCGCGCGCGAAGGAAAACAAGGAAGAATAATGAGCAAAATCTAAAAGAGGAGAAATGAAATTCTGAATGTATAATTTCACCTAAGGAAGTGAAACTTAAGGAAAGATATAAAGATCCACTAAAGGAAAGAGGTGGAGGAGGTGTGGGCAGCAATCACAGAAAATGTAGCACAATGAACAATTAAGACGCTTTCAAAGCTTCAAATTGATCCAAAACTCTTAATGACTCATCTTTTGTGTCTTTACTTTCAAGACCATCTTTCCAGGTTATGTTACCCTCTTAACAGAAATAATTTCTCTGAGATATAGTATTCTTCCTAGTAGAACGTTCTGGGGGTTCTTCTCTAGGTATTTTTTCCATATGGGCTCCAGATACATGCATTCACTCAACTGGGCTTGTGCTGTGGGGCACCATGATTGATGACTGGGATTCTGACCAATCAGACCTGTAGGGACAGCATGTTCCAGTCACACTCATTCTTTACAACAGTTCTTCTTTCCTCCAGTCTGCTTACATCATTCTTCTTGATGTCCTTTTTTTTTTTTAACCCAGATCCTCACATTTTTTCAGCTTGTTTGCTCAGCTAGCATTCTACCACTTGCACAACACCTCTGCTGGTTTTCTTGCTGTTACTTAAAGATGGAATCTCCTAGACTTTTCTTCTGCCTAGGCTGGCTTTGAACCTTCAACTTCAAACTCCTGAGAAGCTCAGATTACAGGTGGGAGCTATTGGTGTTAGGCTCTTGATGTCTCTATCATCATAAAAATGCTAGTAACTAAAACTGGTTTTCGTTTTGATCATATTATATAGTACTGTTAACTGTATTTTTCCATCTTGGTAGCTTCATTCCTCAATGGAGACTTCCATGTTTTCTCAACAGGAAAATAATGCATACTTCATGAGTTGTTAGGAAAATGAAGTAAGATGATATTTGTAAAACACTTAGTGGGAGTATCTAGAATATCAAATATGGCAACTGGTAACTAATATTGTTACTATGTTAATTATGAATTATGACATCTAATCAAAAGTAGCAAGGGTGAGTGCTTTTCTTGATGTGCTCTTTTAGTTCATCATCTTTTAATGTTTTTGGTATACTTTTATTGCTTGTACTGAAATGTGTATTTCAATATCTTACACATAATTATCAGATAGACTATCTCCATATTTAAATAATAAATAAGTTTTAAAAACAAAAAAAAGAATAATGCCCTTAATAAGCCTGAATTAATCATTTCATTTTAGCTAGTTATAAAATTTATGGTTAAACATAAACATGAAAAAGATTAGGATTTCTTTTTTCAATAGCAGTAAGGGACTCTACTAAAAATGTCTCTGACTTTCCCACTTGAACCTACTTCATAAAGGGAAAGCCAACAGGATTTGAAGTCTAAATAACTGACAAAATGGTGCTGAGAGGTAAAGTTTACTTCATAATAATAATAATTGGGAGAGGGTATCAGTGGGAGAGGGTGAAGGGACCAAAGAAAGGGTGAGGAAATTGAATATGTTCAAAGAACTTTGTGAGCTGATATGAAAAGTGAAAAATGAAGCCTGCAGAAAATGGATTGGGAAAAGAGGGAAAGAGAATGAGAGAGAGGTGGTGGGCATGATGATGATTAAGGTACATCATGAACACGTATGGAAATATCTTCAGGAAATCTCCTTTCACAAATAATTTTTTAAAAAACACCCTAGTAAATAAAAAGAAAGCCTTCTAAATGAGAAAAAGCAATGAAAAATTCAAGGGAAAATTCTTGTGCAGATACACTAATTTCAACGTATTTGGGATTACCATGATTCCTAGGAGAACTGAAAACTCCCACACAAGGGAAGAAGAATAATTTTAATCTATATATAAAAGCTCTATTATCATACCTAAAATGAGAGTTGAGAAAATTAAAATTTTTAACCTCATTTTAAATATATTTTCAAAATACAAAAGAAAAAATACGCTATATTACAGGATGCTAGAAAGCACATTCTATATAATTCCAGCATTTGCCTACCAATTCCAAACCACAGTCCTTGATTTCTATTTAATTTCCCACTAAATTGTGTGCTTGATAAGAGGGATATAGCTCTTTTAGCTATAACTAGATTGGAAAGAACCTACCAATGATTTTAAAACCCTATTACTTAGGGATAAGAAAGTATTTTAACTTACTCAAGAAAAAAAATCTCAATGCTATCCAATACTATATTTACTACCAGCTTATATATACTAAGGAGAGCTCAGTTTTGAACATATCGCTCCTCAATTCTACATTTTGTGAAATCATGTCAGTAGCTGTCAATTGCCATGGTTGGAAATCAGGTGGCTTGCTTTCAACACTTTATTTTCTGGTGCAGAGTTTGATCTCAGGGTATTGTGCTTGCTAGGTGTGGTGCTCTAGTGCTTGGATCACTCCTTCAGTGTGGCTTTTTGCTGATTACGTTGGACATAAAGTCTCAAAGATTTTTCTGCCTGGGCTGGCTTCAAACTGTGATTTCCCAGATCTCAGCCTCCTGAGTACATAGGATTACAATGGAGAGCCACTACCTCCTAGCCAGAATCGGTATTGTTGACAAGTACACTTTCATGCATACCCTGTTATCTCATTTAATGGAAGCGCATTAAAAACACAGGATGATATTTTACCTAAGTTTGAAATGAAAGCTACCACTTCTACTGAAAGAAGTGAAAGCATAATATGCCAATCTCATGCTTTCTTTCTATATAAGCACACTAGCAAATCAATAAAATACCACCACTCAGGAACTGGTTAGGAAAAAAATAGATTCTGAACATATATTAAAATATTTCATGAAAAAGCCACATTCTTAAAACCTAATATTTGCCAATAAAACAATAAATTTGGGTTGATGGTATTTCTAACAACCCAAAACAGAAATGTGAAAGTCCAATCTTTAATCTCTGTTCCCAGAAAACAAGAAGGAGGAGGAGGAGGAGGAGGAGGAGGAGGAGGAGGAAGAGGAGGAGGAGGAGGAGGAGGAGGAGGAGGAAAGAAGAAGAAAGAAGAAGAAGAAGAAGAAGAAGAAGAAGAAGAAGAAGAAGAAGAAGAAGAAGAAGAAGAAGAAGAAGAAGAAGAAGAAGAAGAAGAAGAAGAAGAAGAAGAAGAAGAAGAAGAAGAAGAAGAAGAAGAAGAAGGAAGAAGAAGAAGAAGAAGAAGAAGAAGAAGAAGAAGACACCTTAAAACCATGTCATTGAGAGACTAGTACTCTGCTTCTCCGTGCAATAGTGAGCACATATTAATTTCACTTTATGATATGAAACCTTTAAGTGATGTATGAGATTTAAATGAAATGCAGGAAAGCAATTCTTTCAAAACAGACAGCTGATGTTTACTCACTAGTGCTGTGAGGTGCTCTAGGTGGGAACAAATACATAAAAATGGCAGGAAATTAGAAGGAAAGGCACTTACCCTAGTTTTGGCATCGATCTGACCACCTCGATCCAGCAGGAGCTTCACCATATTTGTGTTTCCCCGTTTAGAAGCCACGTGCAGAGGTGTAATTCCATTCTATACCATGAAAAAAAAACAAACAGAGCATATTGGGTATGGCTAGCCAGGAGGACAAAGCTTCTCATATTAAATGACACAAGGAAATTGTGATCTGCTCAGTATTTTGACTCATGGTTCTAACAATTTCAATGTCTGTAAATCTTAAGGAGCAATGAGTATACAAACCACAGAGCATAATTGCTAAGACAATTTAAACATACAGAATGTAAGCCTGGTGCCGGTGGCTCATACCTATAATCCTAGCTACTCAGGAGGCTGAGATCTGAGGATTGCGGTTCAATTGAAGTTCAAAGCCAGCCCAGGCAAGAAAGTCCATGAGACTCTTGTCTCCAATAAACCAACAGAAAACCAGAAGTGGCTCAAGTGGTAGAGCTCCAGCTATGAGCTGAAGAGCTCAGGGACAGTGCCCAGGCCCAGAGTTCAAGCCCCATGACTGATAAAAATAAAATAAACATACAGAATGTAACTACATGAAAGTCATTAACTATAACATATAATGACTAAAATATATTCATTATTATACACATGGATCTTCAGATCTCAGCCTCCTGGATAGCTAGGATTACGGGTGTGAGCCACCTGTACCCAGCAGTTTCATTATGTATTGACTTGAAGCTGACAGTTTATGATATGTGGCATCATCTTCAAATCCTTTCAAACCTGTGTTAAAACTTCCATACTTCACTATGGAAAATGGCTTGTCTGCGTATGACTTTACAGTCTCATTTGTCATGATAACTTCCTATGGCTTAGAGAAACAATAAAAAGCAAAATCTAGAATTGTTAGATATAATCCATGGAAAGGGATACAATTTTTTTAATAAAAGCTTTAAGAAAGCCATCTGTATTCATGTTTATTTTCTCAAAATACCCATTCATGGCTGTTGAAGACAAGAAACTATTTTCATGCATACCCTGGCTGTGAAATCCACCGCAGCTCCCCGATTGAGAAGAAGAGTGGCCACGTTGACGTTTCCATAGTGCGCGGCTATGTGCAAAGGGGTGAAACCACTCTATGGAGAAGCAAAGAAGTGACGGTGAACAGGGCAGTTCCACCGGGTACGAGCTGTACCCACAGGAGTCACGCATGAAACCACAGGGAACCTGCCTACCACAATTTAAACAGTAAACCCTTCCATAGGGCTCTTGACATTTTTGTGTTATAAGGTTGTAAATAGTGCCATAAAGAAATACACATTCTGCCTTTACTGGCAATATGACTATTAATTACCACAGCTAGTTATCTGGGCTTGAATTCTCTTTGTGCTCAAGGCAGGTATCGACCACTTGAGCCCCAGTGCCACTTATGGCTTTTTCTGAGTAGTTAATTGGAGATAAGAGTCTCACAGACTTTCCTGCCTGGGCTGGCTTCGAACCAAAATCCTCAGATCTCAGCCTCCTGAATATCTAGGTTTACAGGCATGAGCCACTGGTGACTGGCCAAGAAAAGTATTTAAAAACAAAAATTAATCAATATACTTGGTATCTATATCTATCTATCTATGAAATAAAGAGAAAATGATTGTTAATTCATATTTGAAAATTAAGCAAAATCTTATCAATAAAATAAAATGTAGTTAAGATAAACTATACAGGCATTAGAGAACTATTCACGCTCAAAAAACTTTTTTTTTTATGAAACCTGAATATCTTAAATGAGAGAAAGCATATTCCCTGTCATTTCTTTTTCTGATGAAAATTTAGGTAGAAACTTTTGCTGTTTTCATAATAGACATATGTTAACTCTGCTCTTATTAAGTACACAAAGATCTGATAATTTTCCTCACTGTAGAAACTTCATGTTGTAAAAATAAGAGTATGGGAAAATACAGAGCAATCATTGGCTATTGAATCCTACATTTTTCCCATTGTTTTCTCTTATTATTTTTTTAATTTGCCATGAACTTTGATGTGTACCACACTGTTTTAAAAAAATATTTTCTAAGTCACCATTGTTACTTTTCTGTTGACTTGATTGTTTTTTTTTTATTTTTAAAATTCCCTAAATAACAACTTGGAACTTTTCCTGTGCTATTAACACATTAGCTGTAAATAATTTCTGGCTGTAAAACATCAAGACATCAAGTAAAAATAGTAACTATTAATCCAAACCCCACAACTGTGATGGAGATAATTTGTATTTTAGGCCCGGATGATGCCAAATATTTGTGTCAAAAAGAAGAATTACGCTATAACCTGGTGATTATTTTATAAAATATTTGGGGATTTAACATATAATCCACAAAAGGTTTTTCAGTTTTATCTTGATAGTTCTTGTCTTTCAGACATATCCTAAAGTATATGTCTATTATTCCAGCAATACTTTAATTTCAAGGAAATATTTTGATTGCTGTTGAATCACTTCCAAATTACTCAAGTATAATATTAGTTTTCTTACTTGTAAAAAAAAAAACTAACTTATCATTAGCTAGCACAGCAGCTCAGACTGTGAATCTTGTTCTACAGGAAGCTGATAGCAACCCTGGCCAAGGGCTCTTGCCTGATAAGCATGGGTTGGGGAGACTGATTTCATCTTTCTCAGAATTAGAGATGGAAAGCTTTCTCTTCTTTGTTATTTTATATTAAAGAAATATTTATAAGTGGGTACAAATCTATCCAAACAGCTACTTTCAATCACAAATATTTAGAGCCTATATTCTGTTCAAACTGTCTTATAAAGAGTCATCAAACAGTACACCCCAAAAAGTTAAGGATATTAAAATCAGAAGTTTAGATTAATTTTATGGTGTTTTTGAATTACTTCACCAGGAAGCTGAGTTGGACAATTTTTCTTTTGTCTCTAGTATAGATTCCATGCACAGATATGGAACAAAAGTGGTGATGCAAATAATCCAAGTGTATCACCATTTCAATAAATAAAGTGTAATTCTGAAGATAACAGTGGCTGGGCACCAGTGGCTCATACCTGTAATCCTTAACTACTCAGGAGATCTACTACTACTGATATTTGAGGATAGCAGTTTGAAGCCAGCCCAGGAAGAAAAGTCCTTATGAGACTTATCTCCAATTAACTACTCAAAAACCAAAAGCTGCACTGTGGCTTAAGTGATCAGGCACTAGCCTTAAGCAAAAGAGCTTAAGGACTGGCCCAGGCCCTGGGTTCAAGCCCCACACTACCAAAAATTAAATAAAAACATACATACATTACTACCAGTAAATACTAGGTATGAATGTTCAAAGATCCATTGCCCCAAATCCCAACCTAATGATCAAATAAAATGTTAGTCTAAACAATAGTTCATTCATGATGTACTGTGTTCATGAATTGATGAATTGCCTTGTTAAATGGCAACTCCTTTGTACAACTACTTAAATTTAATAAAAATAAATAAATAAAAATACCCTAGGGATGCAAAAGTTAACCTACCTAGACAAGCAAGTGCTTGTGCCTTTGCACATGTACTGATATATTTATGTATAATATATTTTCAATTATTGTATTACTAACTCTCTGTAGCAATGAGCAAGAATAGACCACACACACACACACACACACACACACATACACACACACACACACATACACACACATACACACACACACACACACACACACACACAAAATGTTATTGAGATGCTTCTGAACTTAATGTTCTTGTTGATTGATGTGACCTATTGTGGTATGCAGAAAATGATTTAATGGCAAGTATTTTAGGACTTACAAGAAAAAGCAACTGCTTTGCTCATTAAATGCTCAATATGTTATTGATTACAAACAATGTGGTAAAGAGAAAATATACCGGAAAAAGAAAAGAGCATCTGCAGTTAGATAAAAGATTTTTAAACACAAACTTAGTAATGGACTTTGAATTTTCATTTCCTTGAGGTCTAATCTGAGAATTTTCAAAAATACGTGATCTTGTTTTTGCAAAAAAAAAAAAAAAAAAAAAGAATAAAGTTCATTGATTGAAATATGTACTCGGAGACTTTTGTTTTATGTTGAACTCAGAAACTACTGTAGTAGTTTTGCTGATTTAATAATGCTTCCATTATTGCTGCATTGAATATATTTGAGTTGTCAATGTTTCCTAAATTACGAGAGATTTTTTCTAAGTAAGTTCCCTTGAACAGAACTGTCATCATTAGTATATATTAGTGGGTATTTACTGTGGTGAGGGGAAAAAACAAAATAAATTTAAAAATAAGGTAGAGGTTGGCATATGCACAATACTGTACCTCGGTTGTTCTATTCACCATCATCTGAAGCAGTGTTGTGTGGGAAAAAGAGGGAAGACATTACACAATGCAAAATTAAGATAAGAAACAACTTGCTCCTTGCAATCAGATTGCCTTAGTCAAACAGGCCAAAACACAATGCACTGGGAAAAGATAGCCTCAAATCTACACAATACACTTGTATCTTTCACATTCTTTGCCTACTATTTCTAGAAGAAGGCAGCAAAGATCTCAATAGCTGAGCCATATCTTTTAAAGAAAAATTGTCTAGCATTTAGAGAGATTAACCCAATAGACAGTCCCCTTCTTTTTTGAAATACCTCTGAAAGCAATTCATCTCTTTTCATGACCCCAAGTGACTTTGCATTGTCACCGTGGCCTATTCCGTGACGATACCCCAGGAGTCTGGCAGCAGGAGAATTTCTTCCCACCCATCCATTTGGCTTTTACCTTGGATTGTACATCCGCATTGTGATCGTTCTGAAGCAGGAGAGCTGCAGATTTGGTGTCATCTTTCCTGGCTGCAATGTGCAGGGCCGGCAGCCGCACTTTCCCTTTGGTGTCATTCTCCAAGAGGATGGCCACTGCCTGGTTATGTCCCTGCTGGAGGGCCACAGCTAGAGGAGTAAATCCATCCTGGTAAAATAAAATGTTTTTTAAAAAAATCATCTTCCGTTAACTTTTGTATTCTTGGGGTTCTACTCCACGAAATGATGTTTCTGCATTAAAATGACTGACTAAGACTGACCAGCAAGCCAGGTGCTAGAGCCTCACACCTGTAATCCTAGCTATTAAGGTGGCCACAAACTGGAGGATTGTGGTTTGAGGTCAGTTCAGGCAGAAGTTTTTGAGACCCTTAGCCCATAGACGGGCTTCATCAGGCATCCCTGTCATCCCATGTAATACTGAGGCTGAGATTAGCAAGATCCCAGTGTGGTCAGGCTTGGCAGAAAAGTCTGCAAGACACCATCTCTTCAAGCCTAAAGGAGCTGAAGTGCAGCTCTGGTGTGTGGCTGGGCAGTCAAGTAGACTGCATTCTAAAGATAACCAGTAGAAACCAGGACTGAAGGCAAGGCTCAGCTCTACTGCACCAGCCAGCAAGTGAGAGACTCTGAGTTTAAAACCCCTAATAATGCAGAAAATATATCTTAAAAACAAGTGCAGGAAGAATTAGCAGGTGAAAGGATCACATATTACTACAGATTGTAATAGATGACTTGTCATACAGTGGAGTTGTTTAATCACATTGTTTTCTTTAAGTTCCCTACATTTTTTTTTTTTTAAATCTGGATCCTAGCCAGTTACTGGTGGCTCATGCCTGTAATCCTAGTTTCTCAGGATGCTGATATCTGAGGAGAGTGATTTGAAGACAGCCCACGCAGGAAAGTCCATGAGACTCTCAAATCCAATAAACTATAGTACTCAGAAAAAGCCAGAAGTGGCACTGTGGCTCAAGTGGTAGAATGCTTGCCTCTTGCACAAAGAGGCTCAGGGACAGTGCCTAGGCCCTGAGTTCAAGCACCAATTATGTGTGTGTGTGTGTGTGTGTGTGTGTGTGTGTGTGTGTGTGTGTGAATTCAGTACCTTCTATTTCTTAGGCAGGTGATCAATGATTTCAGCTACACTCCCAGTAACTTTTGCTTAACTATTTTTTCTGCTAGAGTCTTATTCCAGGGTCAGTCTTGGACCACAAGTATCCTACCTATCTATACCTCTTATGTAGCTGAGATTATGTGATCCACCACATTCAGTCTTAATTTGTTTTCCCTTAGATTTCTGAAGGAAATAAAAATTTCTCCAAGATTATCAGATCATGTGTGCAGAACCAAGCATAAAAATTAAATTTTCTTTTTAATAAGATTTGAATTTTAAACATGACATACCACTTCACAGAGGAGAGGACTTAAGATGAAGCAAAGTCTTAAGATGAAAAATAGTAGATAATATTTACAACTTTGGCACAAATTAAGTACTCTATAAATGAGGAAGGAATAGTTGTTATTATGTACATATTTAATTTGATTGCCCACTGGAAATTTATAATTAAATAGTATGATCTTTGCTGGGTTTTTGTGTGTGTGTGTGTGTGTGTGTGTGTTTTGTGATGAAGAATTAGAATGCAGACAGAATCTTACTAAGAAATTTTAGCCTTCAATTTTGACATGCTCAGGAAAAAGGAAAAGAGTGGAGGAATATAAAAATGGTACTTCCGGGGCACAGTAATCTCCTCAGAGAATTTAACTTTGTGGAGTTTATTATAATCTAGACCTTCTTGGATAAACCTAAGTATTTCTAATGGTTTGTCAAGTATCTTAACTGTGAACAAGAAATTCCTTTATAGTTTCATTTCCCATCATTTATTTACCAATTCTAATTAACTACAGTTAGGGGAAATTTTTAAACTTTAAATATTTCTTCACATACATAAAAGTCCTTTTTTGTCATGTTGAACAATCCCATAATTATCCAAACTCTAACGTCTTGATCAGTAGGTAATTTAGCCATAGGGAATGGGAATGCCAATTTTTTAAAAGAATATTAAATATATTTACAGAATGAGGCACTTGAAAAAAGGTACACAAGCTGAGTCCATGGTGCGCACCTGTAATTCTAGCTGCACGAGAGACTGTGCACCAAGGATTGGGATTCGAAGGTAGGCCAGGTGGAAAAATCCATGAGATAATTTATCTATAATTAACCCTGGAGAAGATTCGTGGTAGAGCACTAACCTTGAGTGAAAATGCTCAAGGATAATGCCCAGGCCCTGAGGCAATACCATCATAGACACAAAAATAAAATAAAGGAATTCACTCAAACTTGACAAGATGTTTCTTGATAGCCATTAAGGTTAATGGTGAGATTTTCTGAATTAAATTTATACACTTTGAATTTTTTTTAAAAAATGGTAGCTGGGCTCCAGTGGCTCATGCCTGTAATCCTAACTACTCAGGAAGCTGAGATCTGAAGATAGCAGTTCAAAGCCAGCCTGGCCAGGAAAGTCCATGAGATTCTTATCTCCAATAAACCACCAGAAAACCGGAAGTGGCGCTGTAGCTCAAGGGTAGAGTGCTGCCTAAGCCGAAGAGCTCAGGGAGAGCACCCAGGCCCAGAGTTCAAACTCCATGACTGACAAAAAAAAGTTTTAAGCCACAGTCTGGGGTTTCTTACCTATAATCCTAGCTACTCAGGAAGCTGAAATCTGAGGATAGTGGTTCAAAGCCAGCCAAGGTAGAAAAGTCCATGAGTCCCTCATCTCCAAATAAATTACTCCAAAAAAGCCAAAAGTGGGGCTTTGGCTCAAGCCAGTTCTAGCCTTGAGCAAAAGGAACTCAAGGACTGAGTTCAAGCTTGAGAACACACACACACACACACACACACACACACACACACACACACACATGTTTTAGTTACTTAACATTTTTTTAATGGAACTGGGATTCAAGCCCCCATATGATTTTCTTGCAAATGGAGCTTTTCTCATGTGGAAATCAAGAAGATGTTAAATGTGTACAGCATCCTGTGTCACATGGCCTCCACCAATGTCACTGACATTAAGGGACATTTCTGGAGGAGACCTGAAGGTCTAGATGAAAGGAGTCATGAGTCAACTGAAGATGTCACACCAATGAGTTTACTTCAACTATACACTGGAGATAGGAAAATCTATTTTTGTTTGATAAAGAATTCTAGTGCAAAGGTTTCACCTAAGAAATGATTCTGACTTCAAGGGCAAAGAAGAAAACTGCTTCTGTTTCCTGATTTGGGTATATTTCTCAGAGACACAATTTCTTGGTTATCCAGTTTGCCTGAAGATCTTTACATCAACTCGTGGATAAATCTAGCAGTGTGCCGTCTCCGGAAACATAAAGACCTCACATCATAAAATCCACAGTGCTTGCTCAGGAGTATAAGGTCTGGGTGTGGATGCAGAATGTGAACTTATTTCATAGGGATAGGTTGTGTTTTCCAGTAAGAGTGGGAAATGTGGGCCCTTAAGAGTGACTTCTTGAGAAATCACTTTAATGACAATAAGCTGTCAGAAAGTGGCTGTGACTGTGGCTACATAAAATCCTTCTCTTTAAAGGACTGAAAATGGGTTTCATAGATTTTGATGACTTCTTCCAATGCCGCACAAAAGGAGGATCATGCTTATGTTTGCCTAAAAATTTAATTGTCCAGAAAATTTAAATGTCCTACTGGACATTAATATTTATCTAGGTAAAGCTAGAGTGGTGGTATTGACTTATGATCCTAACGTGGGAAGCTGAAAGAAGAGTGTCACAAGTTCAAGACTAACATGGGCCATATAGGAAGATTGTATTTCCTTTAAAAAAAAGAAAAAGAAAGAAAAGAAAAGAAAGAATAAGCTATGAGTCTAAAATAAAGATCTAACTTCGTGAGCTGTGTATACACACCTGAGGTATTGCGCTACTGTAGCTAATAATAGAAGCATGAACATTCATAGCACATCTCACACACACTAATTGCAACTGGTATAAAGAATATAGATGTGAAGATGAAAGAACTCATGAGTCATAGGGCTGACCACCTTACCTCTGTAGCAGTGCTCTGGTTGGCTCCATTTTCCAGCAAGTATTTGACAACATCGATGTGATTCTCCTGGGCTGCCATGTATAATGGAGTGAAGCCATTCTGAGGACAAAAAAAGACATGCATAATCATTTGTGCAATTGAAACAAGGGAAGAATTCCATGTGAGGAAAGGGAGAACATTAGGGTGCAAATCTTGGAAATGGTGAAGCTGTTTAATGTACCTGCACACTGAGCAAGCTATTATCTATAACTACCCCTGTAACACGAGCAGAGCAGAGCAACTCCTAATGCAATGAGAAAAGGACAGAAGAGAAATATTGCCTTCATTTTCTGACTTGGTTCTCATTTCTCCTCACCTGTCACTGGTAAACTGAAGATACTTAGCATCTTAATATCTGTACAATTCAGCCTAGGCATGATGACACATGTCTGTAATCCTGGGATTACAGGAGACTGAGATCAGGAGGATTGTAGTTCAATGCTTGGACAATAAATTAACAAGACCTTCAACTCAACAAATAAACTAGATGTGGTGCTTCATATCTGTAATATTAGTTGCGTAGATCGGGAGAACTAAAGACATTCTCAGGCAAAAATACAGACCCTATCTGAAAAATAGCTAAAATACAAGAGGACTGAAACATGGCTCAAGTAGTAGAGCATCCTATTTAGGAAACACAAGGCTCTAAGTTCGAATCCCAGTACTCCACTCAAAATATGTATAATATTACAATATCTATATATCATTATAGATATTTCCCCTAAATAATGCCTGTATAATATCAATAAGACCTATAAAATATCAAGTCATAAACTTTTAACAGACAGCCATGTCTTGAACACGCACAATTTAGTGAATATTCTTAGTGGAATAAATTACTGCTCTCATCAGAGCAGTTTGGGAGACGTTATGAATGTTGAAAATCAAAGTCTTGCCGGACGCTGGTGGCTCATGCCTGTAATGCTAGCTACCCAGGAGGCTGAGATCTGAGGATCATGGTTCAAAGCCAGCCTGGGCAGCAAAGTCTAATCAAAGACTCTAATCTACAATAAACCATCAGAAAACCGGAAGTGGTTCTGTGGCTCAAGTAGTAGAGCACTAGCATTGAGCTGAAGAGCTGAGGGACAGTGCCCAGGCCCAGAGTTCAAGCCCCATAATCAACCAAAAATAAACAAACAAAAAAAAAAAAAACCAGTCTTTACTACTGATTGTAAAAACATGGCTTGCACTGAATGTTTATATATACAAATTTTTCTTTTAGAGCCCTTCTGAAATTTTGTGCTCCATTCTGACATTCATGTCATCAATTATTTATTAAAATCTGGCGCAAAGCCTTTTCTCGGGCAGAGTGATGAAGATAAATGCAGGTATCTTCATGAAACATAATTGTGATGACAATGCATGAATACACTCAGAAAAAATTCACTGGTAGGCCATGATGATCATTTGAAATGAAGTTTAACTTGGTAGCCTTCTTTTTGATGAGGTTCCTAGGAATATCTAAACTTATTCAGGGAAAAAAAAAACAAAAAACAAAAAGCAACAACTATACTAAATAAAGAAATTTTAATTCCTAATCTCTTAAAACCTAGCAATTTCTAAAACCGTGTCATAGTATTAAAGACAGAAGAGTCTCTTAAGCTTCCTGCGCATTAGTGAGAATAAGTTAAGAAGAAAAACAGGTAAGAATTCAGATTATTTTTTTAAAAATGGGAAGAAAACTGTTGATCACAATTTTCTGGAAAAAGAAATTCTGTTAATGCATGAAAAAAATTATTCAAAATGGCCAAGATCCAGGAATACATAAGTTGCATATGTACATAAAATATAAATATAACTAGATTATCACAACTAGGTTATGTAAAGGAATTCAAATTTTATTGTCAATGAAAATCTGAGGGGATCGTAGCAAGGATAATCGAGAGAAATAAAGGGGGCAAAATGTGCTCAGCATATATGGAAAAATAATAAAAATCCAACTATCCAATTCATTTATGCTAGTTATTAAAAATAACATAAAATGTCCAGACTTCCCATGGTGAAAGAAAAACCTAAAACTGAGCAGGAAATTTTCTAAGAAGAGAAGATTATCACAGCTAAGGATTCAGGGCATCTTGTTAGCTGGCTAGCATGCTTTGTAGAGCACAACAAGCAGGTGAAATCCTGTGTATTTTAAGAATTCTGAGGAGGTGGCGGAAGGATGGAATTAGAGACTCAAAGGAAGGAAAAGCCAGGGAAGATGGGTGAAAACACAGAGTGGGTGTGGACTGGGGATCTTACATGACAAGTAGAAGGCAGGGATACAGGGAGACAAAAAACACTTTTAACAGACCACGACAATTTGCTAACATTTTTCCTCCAGTAGAACCTTACAGATAGGGCTGAAGAAAGGAAAGCAGGCAGTGGTGAGCAGATGGGCAGGGAAGGGAGATTACTATCCGCTGGCCTCTGCTTAAAACCCTCTGGACCTGGGTCTTAAGCTGTAGACATTCTGTGGCTCATCAGGGAATCCAGAGGACCGGAGAGACATGAACATGGTGACCTCAACCTCTCTGACTTCCAGTCCATAACTCAGGCACCTTGCTTCTGGAATCCTGATGTAACTCTTCTCAAACGTGGACCCAGGGCTTGCTTAGTCCTCTTCCTTGTCACCTTCCCACTAGTCTTTTGGTCACTGAATAATGGCCCTTACATCCTTATCTCTGGAGCCCATGATCCATACCTTGCCCAGCGAAAGGAACTTTGTAGCTGTGAGTAAGTTAAAGATTGTAGGATGAGGAGACTACCCTGAATTAACCAAATGGGCTCAGTATAATCACCAGGGTGTTTAGAAGAAGGAGGCTGTGGGAGAGGAGAGGAAATGCCACACTGCTGTCCTTGGCAATGGAAGGAAGGATTTGACTTGGAAGCACAGCTCTACAAACTGGAGCCTCTAGGAAGAAACAGCAATATCAGTACCTTGATCAGTAACTTCCCAAACTATGACATAAGAAATATATGTTGATAATTAATGTAATGGAATCTATAATAATTTGGGAAAGCAGCAGCAAGCATCAAATACACGTCCTATGAGCTGTTCCCTCGGGAAGGTTGGAGAAGGAGAGGGTCAGACCCTGAACAGGAGCAAACTGGGCATCCACTCCTTTCCTGTGGATGGAGCCAGAAATGTGAAGAAAAGATAGGCTGGCTGTGGATCAGGGGCCCAGGATACACTAACTACAGGGATTCTGAGAAATCTGAATGTAGACCTGTTGTATTGTTCTGAAGACATAATTGTTACACTTATTTAACAGTTTGTTAGCTTGATCTATAGCTTCTAACTTTAAAAAAATGCTTCCTAAATGGACGTCTTTTGCACTTTTGCGCTGAGACCTGCAAGTACTCCATATAGTACAGGGAAAAGGAGAAAGTAATATCAACAGGAAAATGTCAAGGCTGACAACACATAGTATGAAAACGAGAAAGGGTAGCCACAGGGAAATGTCCAGGTTAGAGTAGCTCATGAGTGTCATTTGTATGCCTGTAACACAACCTGTGTGTCAGGGCCTCCAGCAGCAGAGAGGAGCAAATACAAAGAACAGTATTAAAAGACTGTGCCAGTGTGGTACCGCAAGCCTGTAATCCTAATTACTTGGGAAGCAAAGAAGAGGGGATTACAGTTCAAGGCCAACAGGGACCAGAAAACGATTGTAAGAAATTCCATCCCAACCAATGGCTGCTGCAGTGGTATAGACCTGTCATCCGGGAAGCTCAAATGGAAGTGTCGAAGTCCTGGCTTACCTGAACATAAAGTGAGACACTAATCTTGAAAATAACTCACACAAGCTTGACACCGGTGGCTCACACTTGTAACCCAGGAGGTTGAGATCTGAGGGCTAAGATATATAAAGCCAGCCAGAAAAATCAGAGATTCTTACCCCCAATGGACCAGCAAAAAGTCTAAAGTGGAAGTGTGGCTCAAGTGGTAGAATGCCAGTTTTAGGGGGAAAAAAACCTAAAAGACAGTGCTCAGGCCCTGAGTACAAACTCTAGGACTTGTGTGTGCATGTGCGCACATGGACACACACACACACACACACACACACACACACACACACATATGCACAGAGAAAATAACACAAAAGAGCTGACGTGCCTCAAGTGGTAGAGCACTTGCCTAGCAAGCAAGAGGCCACGAGTTCAAATCCCAATACTGTCTAAACAAACGAATAGATAGATAAAATACGAAAGATTGAACTTCTGCTATAATATTACCCACTATGAGAAATAGTATGACAAAAGTGTCCTCAAATTATAGTGATCACACACTCTTGTTTTCCCAGGTATATATCCTAGTGTCATGATTAAAAGTGTGCCAGTTTGGGTAATAAAGGACATAATTCTATTCCCAATGTTTATAGTGGGTGCTGCAACGTTAGTATCATCATCCTCATCCTCATCTTCATCCTCATTCTCATTCCACTGAAGGCAGTTGAAAATCCAGCACTTCAGTAAATTCACCTGTCTTATAGCTTGTGATCTGCAACTGGTATGCTAGTTCATGTGATGGAGTTAGGTCAGTGATATTCCATCTGTGGGAGGGAATTTCCCATAGACAGTAACACCTGGCTGCCACCACCTCTCCCCTAATTCACAGGAGACTCTGAGTGCAAAGACCAAGAAAGAGCATTAAGAACTTTATTACAAGTGATGCAAAACAAGCGAACAATTTGGGGCAGGGAATCGCATGATCCTGTTAGCATTTTAGCAAGTTTACTCTGGTCACAACGAATGGTTCTGAGATGTGTTGGGACCAAAATGGATGCTGGCAGAGAGTCACCATGGCATATTTACATTAGTGTACATAAAAGCTGAACTCAAGCCAAGACAACACCAACTTCGTTGAGATGTACGAAACACTTCAAATAAGGCAATAAAGATTTACTACAGACCCCAGAGGAGTTATCCCTCCTTTCCTTACTGCTATTTAACAAGAAATAGCTCACCAGAGTAATTGAAACACCCCTCTGAGTAATTAGGATGGAACAGAGCTGTGCATTAACACCAGCATAAATTTTATAGGAAATCATTTATCTTCACATATAAATGGTATCACCACA